CACAGATCGAGCTAGTTGTGAGGATTTGGACTTAAACAAGGCTTCGTTTCTGCTACGGGTAAGTTGCTTGCTTTTGTTTCTTTCTAAAAATAATGTTTTCACAACATTAAAGCATTTTTTCTTTTTTGCTTCCTCTGTTTTTAAACAGAACGTTGTGGGTAAATGGAGCTCAAAGCTTTTCGCGATCGCGCTTCTTGCTTCCGGGCAGAGCTCAACGATAACCGGAACTTATGCTGGACAATACGTAATGCAAGGGTTTCTTGATCTAAGACTCGAGCCATGGCTCAGAAACTTCCTAACAAGATGCTTAGCTATTATCCCCAGTTTAATCGTTGCTCTCATCGGCGGTTCAGCTGGAGCCGGAAAGTTAATCATCATTGCCTCGGTAACACAATCATTCCCATCTCTAATGATATCTATATCTATATGTATATCACATACTGCAACAAATCAAATCATGGATGAATAAATCTTTAACAGATGATCTTATCCTTCGAGCTACCGTTCGCTCTAGTTCCTCTTCTCAAATTCACTAGCTGCAAAACCAAGATGGGTTCATACGTCAATCCAAAGGCGGTATGTAACTTGTTTTCATGAAACCAAGAAAATATATATATATATATAGCGAAAACCCTCATCTGTTTATTAACTTCATATCGTTCCCTTTCTTATTACAGATTTCAGCTTTGACTTGGGTCATTGGTGGTTTGATCATGGGAATAAACATATACTATCTAGTAAGCAGTTTTATAAAGCTGCTTATCAATAGTCACATGAAACTTGTCGCTGTCGTCTTCTGTGGAATTCTTGGGTTCACAGGCATTGCCATCTACTTAGCTGCCATAGCATACCTTGTCTTCCGCAAAAACAAAGAAGCCACTCATCTTCTTGCAACGACAAATTCACAAACTGTGGAGACACTTCCAAGACAAGACATTGTCGATATGCAGTTACGTGGTAAAGTGGCTACATCCGATGTTGATTGAACCTTCATAAAACTTAGGATTTCGATATTTTTAGATAGTTCTAGTGGAAAGGTCCTTTACATTAATAAGATTTGGTTTGTGTCTTTCTTATCAATTTGTTTCTCAGATTCTCGTAGGTTTATGATAACAACATCAGAAAATAAAATCATTGCTTCCATAATCATATCATGCATGCATATGAGTAACATATTTTCCGTTACACACACAAAAAAAGAAGACAATCAGCTTCCATTACATCTATTCGTTATGTATAATGATTTAAGGTTTAAACAAATAACCTGATCAAATCAAACGTATTACTAGAATAAAGCTTTTACTTATATAACATATGGACGTCGTATCGTGTTCTAGGATTCGATTATGACGTTGTGTTGTGGTTCGAATCTTGAGGAAGAGGAAGATGACCTTTCTCTTGCAAGCTCTTGACAGATTCGTAGAGAGATTGCTTGATGGGTTTAAACTCCAAGCCTAAGTCTTTTATCTTTTGAGTAGTGAACTTGTAAGGCTTTGCTCTCGGATTCTTCTCGTCCGAACACCTAACATTTTTCAAAACACACAAATATGTTAATCAACATACGAAACGTACATGTTAATCAACATACGAAACGTAGATACGATTTCCTTGTGTAGCACACTAAAGTAAACGTATCACTTATTGAGGTAGCCAAAGGAGACAAAAGCCATGAAACTGGTGACCAAACTGTAGAGTAGGTGAGGAAAAAACATTTACACTTTCATTTTTGTCAACTGGAGTTAGACCCGTAACTTGTATGTTTTAAGTATAAACACAAAGACCAAAAACACAAACACGTGTATACACAATCAGATTTTGAAAGATCTCCTCGTCAGCAGCAGGTGATACATGACGTTGACCATGTGAATATGTGATATGAGAGTTAGTACACACCCATTTCACCTCAGGTGCTCAAAATAATAAATTTTAATATTATGTCACAAATATAGTCACTAATCACAATACCAAATACCACTCATGTCCCTTTTATCCTAACTGATTATATTTATTATTTTTTGTTTATTATTAGATTTACTAAAGTATCAAAAGTCAAGCTCATATACAGTAGATTGTAAATCCAGGGTTGTATTTGTTAGACCGATAAAATCGTGTTGACTTTGATGTAATGTTGACCAAAAGTGTTTAAAGAGCCAGTCATTGGACTTACTTGGTGGGAAGTGGATACTCCGGGAAGAATTTAGCCAGAATCTCAACGACCTCGCCGCGGTGAAGCGCGGTCTCGGCGAGAATGTAGCGGCCTGAGGCGGAGGGTGACTCGTAGACCATAACATGGCCTAGTGCCACGTCACGGACGTCCACGTAGACCTGAGTTAAGTTAGCATAGGTCTTGGCTGAGCCGGTGAGGTACTTGAGGATATGGACAAGACTAGCGTTGACCGCTGATTGGAGTGGTGGTCCGAGAACTAGAACCGGATTTAGCACCACCAAGTCCACACCTTTCGCTTTCGCCGTCTCCCACGCTGACTGTTCCGCCACCATCTTCCCGTAGCAATACCAATTCTACACAGCAAAACTAAATTAGTACGAGTTCCGAATTTTTTGAGGTTTTAAGGCTAAACGCATGTTTGTTTGATTTTGGTCACTTGTAAACGTAGAGCTTTTAGGTCACTTGGATTGGAAGAAAACTATGTGCTAAGAAAACTGAATTATCCGGGCGTGTCGATGCTAAATTTAAAGAAAAAGTTACATACCTTTGTGTTTTTGCAGAAATCGAGATCACTCCAACAATTTTCGTCAACTATGGTTTGAGGGTCACGGTTAGGGTTCATGTAAACGGCACCGATCGATGACGTGAAAACCACGCGCTTGACCTTGGCTTTAGCCGCCGCGTCAATCACGAACCTGGCTCCGTTCACCGCCGGCTCCAACATTGTCTCCTGTTTTTATTACACACATTTAATTAATAACTAAGATCGATAACAGAACAGAGGATTTACCGACCGATGTTTTAGAAAGAAAAATAAAATAAAATAGTTACTAACGGGATCATCGGTCATAGGAGAAGCGGTGTGGAAAACGCCATCGCAACCGTCGATTGTGGCACAGAGAGCTTCGTAGTCGAGAAGATCTGCACTGTGAAGAGTGAGTCTTTCTTTGGCTCCTTGAAGCTCTCTGAGATGATTGTTCTTGGGATCAGCTGGGTTCCGTACGGTTCCTCTTACGGTGTAGCCTCTCTCCAACAGTAACTTTACGATCCAAGAAGCAATGTAGCCGCCGGCTCCGGTGACGCAGACGAGCTTCCCGTCGACAGGCATTTTTTTGCTGCTTGGAGAAAAGCCTCTGATTGGGTTAGAAGGTCTTAAAGGCCTTAAGATAGAGTTGTATGTTAATGATGTGTCGTTTGAGAGAAACTTTGTGATTTGTATTTATAGAGAGACATCAAAAGAAGTTACCGTCTTTCTTTTATTACTTTGCCCATTTCACCTAACCATGGTAAAGAGTTGGTGAGTCAACATAAGATAACATATTTTTGTAAAAGGAACAAATCGGATAATTATATTAATATTTTTCTTGTACTGATTTATTGAAAGAGTGTGGGTTTGGTGAATGAAGATTTCTCGGGATTATTTTTTTTTATTATTATTTAAGAACACTTGACAAGTATAAGTGTAGTTTCAAAATTTTAGGTGACAAGTGTAAATGCATTCCGGAAAAAAAAAGCCTAACGAAATCGTCAACTAAAGGTGTTGTGAATCTGTCTTTTACTTTTTTGTCTATTTTTTTTTCATATTTGCAAAATGGAGAGCCTTATTTAGTTAGCTTTTCAAACTTCCAATACGTAATTGCCAAATATCTTTTGAAACAACAAAAGAAAAATTGCAGAAATTATTACATTTAAAATTTAGATGAATGTAGTTCTAGAAGACCTTGAGAAAAAGTTAGTAATCGTACGTACGCTCTTTAAGATCTTCTATACAAATCTAAGAGCAATGCTTTTTAATTTTTAATTTATATACCCTTAAAGAAAGACAAAATGGTGGTGAGAAGTTGAGAAATATTGACATTGACTCTATTGAGGAAATGTATTTTAAAAAGAAAAAAAGTCCCGAGCCCCAACTTTTTTCTAATAATAGGAAAGTTCCCTGAACCTGAAATCCATATTTTAATCTGTTAACCAAGATTACTTTGATGTATCTTCATGGAAACGATTAGTGTCTCTTTTGTTTTCAATAAAAATAAATACATCATTCTTGACCGTCAGATTTATATGCTTTTTGATAGCGAACTTTAAAAGAAATTTTTGAGCCAGAATCTGTTATGTTTCATAATATATAATATATGATACTTTAGATAATTTTTTTTTTGTTTTTTTTTTAATATATTTTCACATTTCAATGTCACATATTAGTATATTACATGAATTTGATATTTTATAACCACTTGTATTTTACGGTATTTTTTTGTCGACTCTGCTGTATATTTTATGATTGATTAAAATTGTTTTAAATTATATATTAAAAATAACTCTTTTAAAGAACAAATAATTTTTTTAACCTTTGTTTTATTAGAGACATCTTATATATTAAAACAGAGGAAATACAATTTTGTACTTATATGTTTTTAAGAGTTTGTTAAGCCATATAAAATACTGAAATGTATTACAATAACAATCATTTCACAGATGAATTATTATACAAGTATTGATAACTATAATAGAGATTAGAGTACTTAAACTCCTATAGTTTATTTTCTTGCAAAGTCTTTTCAAGCCATCTTTGAACTATGTTTCAAGTTAATTATTGACATGGGTTTAACAAGAAAGAAGAAGGTTAATTATGTTCCAAGTCAACTATGAGTTAAGTTATTTCTATTCCGAGTATTAACTTATTTTTTTTGTTTCCGAAAATTTGGTCAAGATTAGTGTCTCATTCAAACCGTCCAGTCCAAGATCGTTGAATGTATTTAACACATGACAATTTACGTACGAGCAGTTTCTGTATCAGTTCAGAATTCAACGTCGTGTCTCATAACTATATAGCTTTAACTAGTAACAACGATTATGCTTTCTAAAATACATTGTCACAACACAAACCAGGCGACGTCAAATCTCAAACTATAGTTCAACAACAATCTAGTAACAAAGAAGAAAAAAAACAGAGTCTAAGCAGAAAGAATCTTTCTGAAATGGTTTTTGCCTCACAAGGCCCTAAGTATGTATAAACTCCTTCATGAGTCTCTCTCCTCATCTTCTTCTTTCTCAATCTCAGACAAGCTTGTGCTTGTCCCTTTAACATCAACCGCTTCTTCTCTCTCTTCTGCTTCGTCCTCCATATCCTCTGTTTCTCTCCACTTCGGCTCTTCTTCTGACTCTGAGCCTTCTCTCTCACTCTCAACCTCTGAATTTGGATATTGTTTCTCTTCTTCCTTAGTTTCAGCTTCTGTATCAGCCAACTTCAGGATCTCGTCACTTTTGTTTTCGGATTGTTCTTGCTTTTCACTATAGTAATCATCTTCGCTTTCATGGTCCACATCTCGACTCACTTCCTGCTCTTCTGCTCTGTCAGTTTGAGCATTCAACTCTTTCAACGATTTAAGATTCTTTCCTTCTCTTGTTTTTTCGCTTACAACAGCCGCCTTCGATCCACCTTTGCCTCTTTTCACCTGTTTATTTATCTTTTTGCCAGAATCAATCTTCCCAACTGTTCTACTGGAGGATCTATCACCATAAATATACACACCACTTCAATCAGAACAAGGAATGAAAAAAATTTCATATAAAAAGAATAACTAGAATTCTAGCAAACACACCTTCTAGCTGAGGAACTAGTCGGTTCCACAGACACCGCCACGTTTATGCTTTTCTTGACCTTCTCCCTCTGCATTCTGCAAAACCATAACAACAGCAAACCATAAGAGGACTTCAGCTTTACATGGATCACAATGATGACAAGCTGACACATGAACCGATTTACTTACATATCAAATAAAGGAATGGACTCTGGCAGATCAATTTCCATATCCTGCTGATAGATTTTGGGGGAAATCATTTAGCATTTGCGATTACACTATCTTGCGAACAAAAAGAAGAAACTCGTACCTCACTGGCAGAAGTGAGATCCTCGAGTAACTCCCAGCGTTCTTTAATGAGGTTAAGCTCTTCTGAATCTCCATCGGAATATACTACCTGCAACCAGTGAGGGAACAAACATTCCATATGAATCAACTACGCAACAGGCATGGAGGAACAGAAGTGAGTAGCAGATCAGAGATGGCTACTCACCCGGTGCGTCTTCTTTCGACTACAATAAGACTCTATGACGCCTTCATAAAAACTGCACAGACCACCAACGGAAGAGCAGTGATTAAGGTGCACTTAGAAAGGAGAAGCATCAAGTTTCATATACACTTACGTCTTGTCCAGCGGCCACCAGATATTAACTCTCTTACCGACCAAATCCTCGCCAAAGCCATTCTTATCAGACTCCTGAAATGAGGAGATACATATATCATTTGATAACAGATATGTGACAATTAAAGGCTACTAATGGGGACGGAAGGCGACAAAGATGACTAAGTATACCACTTCTTTTCTTGCTGACCGTCTCCTCGTCGGATGGCTCTTTGACGTTTCTTCAGATTCTTCTGCCATGGTCTAGCTGCAACTTGAGAAACCTTCTTCTGCGAAGGGCGATCCAAACATGAAATTCAGCACAAAAGTTTTATAATATCACTGATTAGACAAGAAAAGTATATTATCATCCCGTTTCTACCTTGTCCCTTGATGATTGTGGAACAGGAGTATCCGAAGATGCAGCTTCCAAAGTCTTTTTCTTAGCATCTGAGCGAGCTGATGATCTTTTTCCACTGGAGTTCACAATCTTGGGTTCTATAATTGGCTTCTTCTTTGCTGTTCCCTGACTTTTCTCTACGCCATTCTGAGACCTTGTCTTCTTGCTTGAATTCCCAATCTTTCTGTCCTCTTCTGGTGTTTCATAGCTCTCCTGGTTTGATTCTTTCTTAAGAGGCTCTTCATCTCGGAAGCATGATGCCAATTTCTTCAATCTCGGTGAAGAAAACGAATCTAAATCATGATCACTCTCATCCATCTTAACCCGGCTTCGTTTAACTGAACCCGACAGAGCCCTACTAGTGGATGGGGAAGTTTCTTTAGCCAAAGGTGTTTTCTTGGCAGCTACCTTTCCAAGTGATGATTCTCCTCCATATCCTTTTTTGTGGAGCTTTTTGTATGAAGATGTCTTTAATGGATCTCTTTTCCCAGAAATCCAAGAAATGTCATAACCTTCCTCAGGATTCATCAACGAATTGGGTTTCCGTCCTCTCTTTCCTGTAATTCCTATATCCGTTTCTGCATCTGTACCTTGCTTCAGACTCTGTTTCAAATAAAACGAATTGTTTCCGTTGCTTAATTTTCTATTCACGTTAATACGTCGAGTTTCATCTCTTACAGGTCTCTTGGAACTACTTCTACAACGAATCTCCTTGCGAGAGTGCCCCAACCCCAATTTGTCCTAGATAAAGCTAATTGGTTAAATAACACTGTTAAAAGATGCTGAAACTATACAAGCCAAATATCATACCTTTAATGAATCACTTGGGGCTACTTGTCTCCCCAACTTCGTTTCAGCTGCCTGAACCCATGAAAAAGATAGCTCATAACGTAGACTCATATTGACCATATAACAACTCAATCAACCATCACCAGATAGAGCTCAGGGTATCGAGAATACCTCATTTTCCTTTGTGTTAACTATATTGCGGACTGTAGTAGTTTCAAAAACACTCTGGCATATGGAAGCAACTACTGGATAATACATATCCAAGTTGGTCCCTGTAGACTTCAAAGCTTCAATGATGTATGGTTTAAGTTTACGGGCACATCTACTAAGAACCTTCTCCACAAGACTCCGAGACGTTGGTGAAACATTCTAAAACATGAAGTGAAGACCGATCAAATCCCAGGTCAGTTGACATGGAGAACTAACTTGAAATAGGAAGAAACCTTACCTGGTTTTGCTTTTTGACACTAGATAATAGAGTATCGAGTAAATCCTTGGATACTTCTTCGGTTTCATCTAATATAGTAATCATTATCATTTCCATCGACGAAAACACCACCTGTGGATGATCAGATCTAATAGATGCACACACACACACACACACACACAAAAAAAAAAAAACAATTCAGCATATGATCTAAAGAGTTTCTCAGATACAGTAAATCAGGTTTGGTATATCTAATCTACCTTATGATGTTCAAGAACATCCGAAACATTTGTAGAATGAGGTCATCGCACTCCAAGTCCAACATGACCAAGCATGATCTGACCTTGGAAACACTATCAAGAACAGACTTGGCTTTACCATAGCTGCGAGAGGAAGCATCAGCTAATTTCTCAAAAGCTTCTATCGTCAACCGGAAGATTTCCTGTCATACCGAAGAAGCAGATGTTAACAGAGCATTACAGAGAGAGTAACTGGGATTTTGATTTGTTTTGAACCTTCATTTGATCATCACTGTAAGGAGCTTCTGGGGCAGTTATCCTCAGAATTTCGGTTAAGCAGGACACAACTGAAACCCTAACATCAGAATCAGGATGGCTTAAGAGGTCAACTGATACCAAAGCATTCTTCGATGGAATCAGGGCATTTTGCATTGACAAAGGCTGATCTTGCTCCACATTTCTAAGCAGAGACTCGGTTTCCTACGCAGAGAAATTGAGTCGTTAGATTGAAATTAGAACTTCAACAGAAACCTATAACCAATTGAACAAGATTAGATATCCGCAGAAAACGCAACCAATTCACCGAAAAGCACCAAGATTTCACCAAAAAAACAACTAAAATCAACAATCAAGCTTTCCTTATCGGCAAGAAAGAGAAACCCTAAACGCATTTCGTAAGTCCAACCTAACAAAGAAAGACACGAATTTTGTTTGAAGAATCAAAGAAACTGGTGAGAAGAGGACCCGTACATCGAGAAGAGTAAGAAGCTCGTCGGTTGAAGAATGAGGCTTAAGTATATTATTTCCAGCCTCGATGAGCGCTACCGAAAGATCGTTCAATCCAACAATAGAAGCCATTTTGTTCGTCTTCCCCAGAAATTCACAAACTTTAAAACCCTAGAAAACAAAAAACTAACATCAAACTGTGTTTTCACCAAAAAACCCTGTAATCGACGCAACGCTCTAAGATCAGAGCAATAAAAGGAGAGACAGAGAGAGCTATCGGGTGGTTTCTGAGGTTAAGTGGTGTGCTAAACATGCAAAACAAACTTATACTACTAACTTGATTACAAAAAATTATAAATCTCATTAAGGGGGAAAAAATGGGCAGGAGGTATGTATCGATCGATCGATCATTAAGGGAAAAATTGAGGAATTTTTGGTTTTTTGTTTTTAATTTGAAATTTTCAATGAACATCTACATTGTGTTGAACCATAAATTTGTTTCCATAATTGTTTCCAAGGAATAAAGAGGTACTTTTTGTTCGGAGTAATATTTTGAGTCTTTGACAATAATGAATGAAAAGATTGAAAGTAGAGCTTTACACAAATATTAGATTCTGATTCCAAGCTTCTGGTAAATGTAAATATGATTTACCAAAAAGAAATAAATTCCCCTCGTTGTATTTAGCACATAAAACACATGTTCCCGCCTTCTTCCGCTTTGGCATTTGATAAGATAGAGTTCCAATTATATACGATCTCGATTTGATACGAATAATTGGACCAATCTTTTATAGAAAGAACTATCAAATCAAATCTTGGCCAACAAAACGTGAGCAAAGATGGTTTTAATGGGTCTTGACCAAACGTGAGCCTACACTACATAACATCAAAACTTATGTAGATGCTCCAAAGAAAATTCCGAGAGCAATCCTCGAAACAAAAAGAACAAGAAAAGACAAACTTAACAAGCCATCTGCAAGAGAAAATATAAGACTTACACCAGCCTATTCACCAAGGCCAATGGTCTTGGCATTTGGAACGGTAAGCAAAATTGATGTTATGATCAGCACATAGAGAGATTTACCAAGCTTTGACATTTTGCAGTCTTCAGCTTTAATTAAACTCAGAGCGGAGGGACACGCTTCTCAATTAGCAAATAAGAGTAATAAATAACTCAGAATATCAATTAAAAGAAGAAAAAAATTACCCAGACATGTTTCCTATTTATATGCGTTTACGACACAGGAGAAATTCCTTTTATCTCACAAAACAATACCTAAATAAATAAAAAATCACTTTTCTGGTAAAAACAAAAATTCACTTTTAGAAATGCAGTAATGTCGCTAGAAGCGTCGGGGAGAAGTGTGAAGAAACTAACTAACCTCAGCCTGCGCGAAGAAAAAGCTCTCTGATTTTGATTTAACATTTTTTTTTTTATCTATACTCACTGATTCAGTGATTACAACTTACTGGGCCTGAGTAATACCAACTAATGAGCCTTAAATTATGTCCACAACACCATTATTTGAACAGAGCCAAGACATTACCAATTCCGATTCTTTACCGTTAGTCATTATTACTCCACAGTCCATTACATATTTCTTGAAAGAAAAACTGGATTTGACTCATTTTGTCAAATTCAGATAATTGTGAATGTTCATATATTCCTCTTCATTTATGAGATCATCCTAATTCTCAAAGTTAAAACATCCTAATTCCCTTTAAAACAAAATCTGGATCAATAGGATTTTGTGATCATGCATTGCATATATTCCACAAATTAATTTCCTGTAATAAGTATATAAATAAAAAACAGAGAGAGAGATATATAGTATTAAGGAATTTTTATCTTATTTTTTTGGGGGGGTTTAGATAGCAACCTGGCCATTTTCAACACCTAATCCATACAAAACACCAGAATATTTCTGCAGAGGGCCAACGAAGAAATTCTCCTTAAGCTTTCTGAAAGTACAAGACGTGAGTAAACTATCGGAACCAGCTTGGTGACAGATCCCAACTCTCTCCACCTCCAGGAGCTCCGCAAGCTTGTTCAGACCACCGTGGAGGCTGTTACAGAACTTCATCAGGTGTTTAATGTCGTACACTGTCGGGAAATAAACATTGATCAGCTCGAAGAAGCTCGTTTGAGAATTCGGCAGGTTTTGGCAAGTCAGGAGCTTGAGCAAGTAGCCGAAATCGTAACCACTGTGAAACGTGACCCAATGCACGTTCTCGTTGAGCACGATCCCTGAGGACATTAAGAGCTCTGCGAATCTCTTGGAATCGACTCCTTGTTGAGTGTTTTTAGCAAAGTCGATGCCTGATTGCTTAAGAAGGTCGATGGAGTCGAGAGCGTAGATATCTGAATCGACATCGAACTCTCGGAAATTGAATTGCCAGATGCAATATTTCTCGGTTCCACAGGTAGGGAGGTTACCTTGTTCGTTGGAGAAGGTGAGGCCGAGCTGGATTATCTTGAGGATGTTCACGTTCATCTTCAAGGTCTCGTAGTGGTAATCGGCGTTGGATTTGAAGGCCATCACTGGTCGGACCACGATTCCTGGGAACTCGGTGTCCATGGCCACGTAAGGGAAATCGTCCACCACTTCTCGGATCAGATCCATCTCCTCCTGTAGGTTATCATTCCACACTTCGCGAATTTGAATCGAGTCGTCTTTCAGAAACAGAGACATCTCTATCTATCACCAATTTCGGGAGCATCTGGATTGACGATGATTGATTGATAAACCGGTTGGAAATCCAAAACCTAGAACGGATCTAGAAGCAGACCCGATCCGGTTTTCATCAAATCTGCGATACATCCAACACACACACACACACACACAAATAAATTAATACATAAATAAATAAATTTCAACAAATCTGAAACCCAGAAATTCATAATCTCATAACCAGAATTTAATACAGAAATTCGCAGTCTCATATCATATCGGTGAATCGAACCTGATAATCAAGTAGATGGAGGAAAAGGCGGCGATTGTCGTGGCTAGGGTTTCAGAGGATGTGGTGGTTTATCGAAAGGGAAATGGAAATGGACAATGGAAGGAGAACAAGTGATAGTTTAAAATCGATTTTGTCTTTTCCTCGTTTATCTATTTTATTTTATATTTTATTTGTTCTTCCTTCTTCTGAATCCGATTTTTTTTTTCACCACAAGTTTTGTTGTTTCTGTCTTCTTATAATCCCTATAAGGTATTGCTCTTTGTATTTTGCACTATTTTTTTTACTACTTTTTCAACTCGCATTTTTATTATTTTTCTAATAATACGGCGTACCAATATTCCCAATATTCAATTACTAATAGCAGATTAATAAATTTAACCAATATGATTTTTTTATAAACCATGTTAAATACTACAAAAGTCACCTTGAAACTAAAAAAACTTTGGCATAGACATGTTGATCGTCGAAAAGCTTACAAAACATTTAAATATACCATAAATCAATTCCTTAAATAAAAGGGTTGAAAACTTAAACCAACGACCACACTATATTGTTCATCCTCTAGCATCTGCGTCCTGCAACACAAGAATACCAAGCTGAATATCCAGGTTATTGAAGCCAATTAGAGACCCTAATTTGTTATGTCTTTAACCGAGAGTGATTCATTTGCCAAGTTATGGCATAAGCAAACATAATGTCAAGCTTAAGACTCTTTATGTGCTCCCAAACAAGAGGACAATGCTGCAAACTACGGAACCAAAAATAGTGGGTACCTAGCACGTTCGTTTGCGTTTGAGATTGAGATTCCTGATCTGCAGCGTCATGTACTCAATCACTTCTTTCAGTGTGGCTTTTCTTTTTTCTTTGAAATTCCAAAGTGCCGGGACTGAATAACGACCACTTGGATTAAACTCATTCAGCTCCTCCAGTGCTCTCTTAACCGCGTTCTTCACATCTTCTCCCCACTCTTCTCTCAGGCTCCTAATTTGCTCATCTTCTTCATCCACCACTTCCTGCAACCATTATCCATATAAACAACACCACCATTACTACTAGTTTGCCAGAATGAAAAATCTAAAAATGGGACAAAGAGACATAACAAACCTGCATTTTGTCCCCTGTCCCTACGCGTTTGAATGGGTACCATGCTGGATCCTTGAGGTTTTCCTGCCACTTCGAGCAAAGCATGGCGTGTTGCACATCAGCTTCTTCCCCAGTGAATCTCTCTTTGCATGCTTTCATGAAAGGCTTTTCATCAAGTTCTCCCAACCTCTTTATTCTGATGTTCGTTCGATCACTCAACAGTTCTCTCAGTCCCTGAAAAACCCAAGACATGTAGACAATAAGTCACTCAGAGCTCAGCTCCCACAACGGCCGTTGGAACTATTCACAGAATCTAGATAGACGATATATCATGGTGAGTATCTGTTTGGTATAAAATCCTAACGCATTTGGGAAATCACCCTTGACTGCAACCTCATACAGATTTCTTTCGTGTTTGACCATGTCACCAACATTTCACTCGCACATATTATACCGGCACCAAAGAACATGGAAGCATTTTAAAATATGTACCGTAATCAATTCTTCACGGGCTTCTTGGATCTCATCATTGCCTTGGCGTTCTTTTATCATGAGAGTCGAGTTAAGTTCCTCTAGATCTTGCAACTCTGAACACTTCTCCTCCAGATCTTCATTCATTTTCTTCATCTTCTCCTTAACGTCCTCGTCATCTTCATCTTCCATATGCCTCATGACTTGCAGCTTTCCTTTCAGCTCTTGAATTTCCATTTGAAGTTTCTGCTTGCTGTCTAACTCCTTCTCAAGCTGAAGGATCTTGTTCAAAGTCTCTTCTTTTTTCCTCTGAGTTCAGAAAGAATAAAGTTACAATAATTAAACACAACCGAGAGAAGTCATTTCTTTTGGTTGGAACTTGGCATGTACGAATAGAAAATACACCTTGTGTTCTTCCACAAGTCTCACGAAGCGATCATCCGTCTTTTTCTGCTCCAGTGAAACTAACTGGAGGGCATCGATCTGTCATAACAAGATAAAACAAAAAGATCATCAGCACCCTGATAAACATAGACGCATAAGTATATACTAAAATTGATTAAATGTTACCTTCTTCTTGTCTTCATCGAGCCTTTGTCTCTCCAGTTCCGTTAGTGCTTCCTTCTTGTTCAATTCTTTGGACCAAAGCTTCAGATTTTTCATCTTAGACTCCAGTTCATTACTCAGCCATTCTTTTTCTCTTAAGATCTCGTCAATCTTGTGCCGCGAAAGCTCCTGCATTCTTTTTGTTTCTGGAGAAAAAATTAAAGAAACAAGAGTTACAAAACTAAACCTAGATGCAGCCGAGGCAAAATACAATCAATCAGTATTCGGCAAAAACCTTTTTTATAAGCTTGGTCCAGTTCCTCTTTCTCTCTGAGAACATTGTGCAGAGAAATCGCCTTCTCGTTGTACTTGTACTGGACCTTGTTCAGATCCTCATTCGTCATAGCAATCTTATTAGCTAGATCATCAACCACAATATTCGTATTCTGCATTTCCTCCTTGGAAATGTCAGAGAAACTTTTCAGGCTTCCTACTGTTGACAGGTACTCCGCTATCGACCCTTGAGAGTTGTAGTCATCTGCACGTGCGCACCAACCATAATCCTTGGACCTCCAGTCTCCTATTTTATCACTCCAGTCTTTTTTGCCGCAGCGCTTAATCTCATATTCCTTATCAAGATTTGTGGCACTATTAAACCCACTCATACCACTGTTAAACTTAGATACGACGGCAACTACAGAATCCTGCTCAAGCCAAAGGGTGTTCACCTCAAGAGGGTTGAATCTGGAGAGCTTCTTCAACCAGTAAAATGAATCAAGGAGCAAATTCTTGTCATCAGTTGTTCTGAGTGGTCTGATGACAATCCCCATCCAAGGCCAGACATAAATGTCACTATCAACTGCTTCGGGCTGCTTTTTGTACAAAATAAGTTGTAGGCGTGGGAGTTGAGCATCGCCAGCAAGCTCATTCTCCATGTACTTTCTCAAAGCGAGGTGATTTGCTTTTTGCTTAGCACTTCTACTCGCAGATCCTTTGGCAACACCAGTGGCATGAGCAAGCAGCTCCTTGTACTTGTAGTGTTGCTTCTTCTTCCCTGAGCAAAAAGGGCACCTGAATGTGTCCTCCCTCAGCTTAACCTTGTATTTCCCGTTCTTGAGTAGCTTGTAAGGCTTTTCATCACAATACGCATCAATCTCAGACTCACTGATCTCCGATTCTTCATCGGAACTGTTATTCATCCTGTGGGTTTCTGAAGCTACCCACATTGTTCCAGTCGAGTGATAACGGAGAACAACAACAACAACAACAACAACAAATCATAAGTTTCAGGAACAAAACCTTGGAGACGCATCACAGCTAAGTTTTGAGAGAATCAAACCCTAGAAACTAAAATGCATTTCGCGTGGTATAGAATGAGAGAGAGATTACCTCAAGAAAGCAAAAATGGCGATGACAGAAGAGATGAAATACCGAAGAAATCAACTTCTCTCTGGCAAGCAAAAAGGAAGAAAAGACGCGAGGAAGATGATTAGAGGGTCGAAATTTCAACCGGGAAACAAAGGATCGAGACGAAACCCTAAAAACTTACGAGGATCGCGGCGTGCAGAGAGCGATGACAGTGGAAGAGCAATTAGGGGGGGAAATAGGAATAGCAGAGGAGCAACCGTCAAAATCATGTGTTTTTTCTTGGTCACTCGATTACGATTAGTATCTGATTGATTTAATTATGTTTTAGATTAATACTATATGATAAAATTCAAAACTATAGTATAAAATTCGAATTATATGGCACAACACTTTTTCTTAATTCCCAGCGTGTGTAAGGCCCAAAGGCCCAAGACAACCTGAAAATGTTTTCCTCTTCTTCACAAGTTTTCTCGTTTCTGTGTACTATCGGCAAACTTCTAATTCGTATTAGGATCGTTCCCTTTTTTGTGCGTCACAATTTTGTTTACTACTTCCCTCCAAGTCGCATGCATCATTGCTTTGATTTATATTTGATATAGTATAAATTAACGTTTTAATCCTATTTAAGGATAATAAAAACAAAGGAGACATCAAAAGGCAAAATCTATGCTATATCTAACAACTACCAACAATTTGATCAACTCTCACTCCACTTTTGATCTTCTCCATCTCATTGCTCAGTACTTCCTTCACTTTCCTCTTTAGCTGCAAACCATGTAGGGAAACAGAGCACTCAAAACACACTCTTACTTCCTTTTGGACATCACCAAAATATTTCGGCTTAAGTTTCATACCTCATTGAGACCTTGTTCTGTTTTAACTGAGACATGTATTGATTCATCAGGTCCTGTTTCCCGGTACTTGATGATCTCCGCTTCATCGCTGCTTCTATCTTCTTTGGCATACATCACCGGAGAGCCTCCCAGCAGATCGCATTTGGACACAACATCAATCCACAGGTAGTCCTTAAACCTCTCTTTAATCTCTTTATAAATCCCAAACTGCAATGCCCTCCAGAAAAATACACAACTGAATCAGGATATATCAGACCCAATTATTTAATTGGCTCAGACACTAGTTCTGTCTTCTTCAGATCATTCAATGCCAAATGAGATGAAGATGCACATTTACGCTTTTTTCTCTTCTAAGAAAGTACTTACCTGATCAGAAGGAGAAGTCCCACATTCTCCAGATAGATCATGAACATATAGAACCGCAGTTGGAAGATGAGTGAGTACAGCAAGAGTTAGCTTCTCTAGATTATTCCTATCCTCTGTAATGACCCAACAAAGAAACACCAATAGAAACTTTATCAAATATCATATAATCATGCAAACACAAGAGAGTTTGTAGCAACTAGACTTTTACCATCACATCTCCTGAGAAGCCCAGGGGTGTCTGTCACCTGCAACGCGTTTCTGGATCATTAACAATCCAGAACATGAGGAATGTGCTTAGACGAAACAAAGCAAGTAACCTTACTTGAAATCGGTTGTAGTTCAAAACGATGTGACCCATCAGAATTCCTCTGGTGGTGAAGGGATAATTGCAAATCTGACAACCCAAAAAAATCATAAGCAATAGACAATGCAAAATTATTTATCACACATATAAAAATGACGATTGGGACGTAAGGCAAACCTCAGGCTTCCCTGTTGAAAGAATTCGGACCAACGATGATTTCCCGACGTTTGGTGCTCCGACAAGGCAAAGTGTTGGCATTTCCAAGTCAACGACTGGCATAGCCCTCAAAACCTGCAAGACGCTTAACTCTATTCATACAGTCAAAAGGGTCAAAGCACTGGAAGAGAAAAGCAAATGATGCATTATAGCAAGGAACCTTTGCTATGCTTAACAAATCATCAACAGCTCTTCCTTGTTGCTGGAAAACCATTTCAAGCTTCTCCACACCTTCGTTCAAGCGGTCTTCTGCTTCTCGCTTTGACAATGCCTGCCAAAAAAAAGGACATACCATCTTTTTAACTTTTCCTAAACTATTATATGGATTGTTAAGAAGCTTGTCACGCCTTTCGTGTTGCAGTGCCGAGCACAACCTATTTGGGAAAAATACAATATGCTTTTGACAGAATCGAGGAGTCTGACCTTAGCGCAGAGAGAAGCATGCTCCTTTCCAACAGATAGCACTTTCTTCCTCAGAACATCAACTTTTCCTAACACCTAGAAACTTAACTTATAAGCCTATGCTAAAAGCAGTTGCTGGCTAAGGTGATGAATGACTTAAGAGGGCAGATACCTCTTCATACTTTCCATCACCAAGTGTCAACTCAATAAGAGACCTCTCATATGGATGCAAGAGTCTCTTCCTCGGAAAACTTTCCATGTATCCTTTTAAAGGTAGAGCAAGTTCCTTAAACAAAGAGAAATTTTTTGATTTGATAAGACAAGAATCATTTAAGAATTTCAATCGAACACAGCGAAGGACGCAATGAGCTTACTTTCATGAGTGCATCAAGCTGTTTGGCACCTCTATTTCTTTCTCGCTTTGCAATATTAGCGATGCCTGAGACCAAAAATGGATAAAGACTCTGTTAAAGAGTCTGAAGGTAAGTGAACAAAAAAAAAAACAAGAAGATAAGGAATCAATTACCTTTAGTTGGTTGGACTCTTTTCGACTTCCTGAGTGCAGAAGAATATAAATCAATTGAAGGCATCACCATGGGGAGTTTTTGAAAAGCACCTAAACCTTCTTGTGTTGGTGGCTGTTGTTTTTCCTGCAAACCAAAATCAGAATCCGTTTTGGCTTTAAGTCAAAACTTTCCCCATGAATTGGAACCCAAATAAGACATAAAAGGGGATATTTTATATACCGAGGAGGTGGGGATTTCAATCTGCTTCTGAGTGATGTAGGAAGTGGGCAAGTAGCTTGAACTGACGACCGGAGAAACAACCGTCTGAAGATTCCGACATTGACGCAAGCTTGGGGACCAGAAAGTGGGCGTGGAGGCTGAAGAAGAGCGAGAGAGAGAGAGAGGTAAAAGATAAGAGGTTAGAGAAGGAGAAAAAAACGAAACCAGAGAGATTATAGGAACCTGTCGAGGAAATGAAAGCTTGTAGACGCCATTGATTGGGGATAAAGCTCGACGCCAATTTCATCGTGTACTACTTCTGAGAAGTAAAAAAGAAGAAGCTTTTGAATCAGACAGGATTCTCGGGTCCGTCATTGTTCGATCAGTTCAACTAACCGGTCGGAATTCATAACCGAGCGAGAGTAACGCTAACGCACAGGCACAGCGTTTCCATAAAACCAACCCTAACCGGTATATTGGGCCTAGTCATTATGTAAATTAATGAGATCATAGAATGGTCGTCTACTACAAAGATAAAACTCAAACCGTCCATAAAGTCAACAACATCCTTTCAAGCCCTAAGAGATGGGCCTATATATATTGTCTGGTTTTGTCTGGGTCACTAAATTACATCTATCGTTGACAACAATGTGTTTTTAAGGGTTGACATAAGTTTCCTAAAATGAGTAATGCAGGGAAGAGTTTAATCGGTACAAAAAATCATGATTAATTTTCCAATCCAACAATCGAAACAATAATAGCATCTCACTTTTTTCTTTGACACCACTATTATCACGCTTGCTTTTAACTGTGTGGTTCAAATAACAAATATTGGGACGAGCTTCAAATTACTAATGAGCTTGTAAATAACTTTTCTTTTCTTGTGTCCGATTCAAGAAACTTTGAAAATAGATACATCTTATATTATTAGAAAGAGATGAATTCCATCCTAAACGCTGATTTAAAACATCATGTCCATTATGCTAACCAAACAAATTGAAAACTTTGAAAAACAGAAAGGAAAACAAGACAAAATAAGACTCAACGACTACAGTGAAGTGAGCCAGCTATTTCATTTTTTTCACAAATAGAAAGAAATTTAATACAAAAAAAAGTTAAGAATATATGGAATAAAGTTGACCAATTCATGGTAGCCACGATTAGTGAGGGACAACATTATTTGGACCGGACTTTTGACAAAAAAAATAATTAATAGACCCTACAACATTTCTATTTAGACTCCTCTCCTTTACTCTTTGATACATCCACTTCAAAATCATGTTTTATATTTTTCATGATAAACAAAATCATGTCTTTTCTTTCCCATTTTATTTATTTTAGATATGCCGCAACCAGTTATTCTTTTATCCGCAAGCAAAATAATTATTAGTCAATTTACATTCACTAACGCTGTTGTTCTTAAGTCTTAACACACAACCACACACATATTGATCGTGCTTAACTGCTTATAGATATACAAGAAAGAGTTATTAATCAGAAATAAGTACTTAAGAAACGAAGGAATTACGGTGAAAACCAAACATCCCTCCAAAATATGAACATCGCACGCACAATTATTAGTTCTGTAAAACCTTTGCGATGTGACGTCGAGCTTTAGAACAAACAGTCGCTTCACCATATTTTTGAACGGTCCTGATTTGTTCCTCCGCTCCCAACAACTCAACACCACCACACACATTGACACATGCAGAGCTCTATAATTTCTTATATTAACTTATATAATTATATCTGCTTAGCACACATATTCGATTGCGTAATATGATTTAACTTTAAAGGAATGGACGAGATTGAAATGGCAATCTTAGTCCTACACTCCTACTTATGAGCTATCAATTCTCCAGATATATAGACCTATAATTGTACACACAGTTGCGGGAAAAAAAATTGTTTTTGCACATCATAGTTTTTTAAATAAAAAAAGCAAAATAAAGGGACCTCCCATTTCCATAATTAATTTGTAAAACTTAACAAATTGTATGCATTGTGTACCACGGCATAAGTTATATAGATGCGAAGGTTGCTCGAAACGAATTCCTTAGAGAAATCATATCAGTTAGTTAATTTAAAGGCACTTGAGACGTTGCTGAGGACAAACCGAGTGATGACGACGGGTAATCAAAGATTCGTTCTTAAATATAATAAACGAATAACTTTTTAAAATGTATACTATTAAAACGATGATACAAAATAATAAGATTAATAAAATTTTGTTAATACATTTGGATAATTAAACGAAAGAGGAATTCTAAAACAGTTATAAGAATGACGATAAATTAATTCTCATATCTAATCTTTATTTTGACATGTAAACATGATTGGACTCTGTTTTTAGGCATCTTTTATGAGTTGTAATTAAAAATACTGATAGCCCAGCTATATGGGTTTTATCAAATAGTTTTGTTTGTTCTCTCTATTGAGTATAAAGTCATACTCTGTTTTACAAAAAATGCTGTTTCATAATAGTAATTTGAATTGAACAAAAGAACAAAATAAAGTCTTGTCTACGCTTGTATTTTTTCTTTCTCATGCTTTATGTCTCGAGAAGAAACATAAATTCTGCCACATCCAATTTGTTGATTTGTGTTTTTCTGAAATTCTCTTTTGATTGCTCTATTTGTATGAACGTAAAAGTTGTTTATATTGAAAAATCTTATTCAAAAAAAAAAAAAATGAACAAAATATGTTTCAGATGTTTTGCTCTCTATTGAGTATCAAGTCTATAAGTGAAGTTTTGAATTGTTACGTTTGTAACCAAGAAGTTCTTAGACGCATAATTTGTTTGAATGAAGATTAGTGTATGTCAAATTAGTCTCATCTACGTCAAAAGTTTTTTCATTATTTTGTCGACGACTTCCACTATATTATATGATATATCATATGTTTACTTTTTACGATGAAATTTGAGAGAGATATATACAATATTCAGTTTAGTTATAGAATTCGTATTATATATATCTTCAACTACACTCCAATTTGCATCATAGCTTTCGACTTTTCATCGTCAAAGATTCAATTAAAAAAATTGTTGTCAATACATGGAAGGACTTTAGAAAATAAATATGTTTTTTATTTTAATATTCTTCAAATATTTTATTATTATGGCTAAAATATTCTTCTTTTTGTTTTGTTTTTGTATCTATCTGAGTTTAACACAAAAAGATTACCAAAAGAAAAAAAGAAGAAGAAAAGAGTCGACTGTGACAAGGAAAGGTCAAGAACCATCGCTTTTATCATCATTCTCTTTGTTAACACCTCACAACCACACAGAGAGAGACCCAAGTATTCGATTCTTATGGGGAAGAACAAATTTAAGCAAATAATGCATGTTGAGAGAGAGAAAGAGATCCACGATGATTCCTTCATGCTAAAAGCTTCTTTAGCACACTACTATACATGTATCATGTAAGTAGAAAAATACCACGACCCGTTTTGATAAAGATAGGAACATTTCATGTTATATGTAGAGAGTCTTTCTTAGGACACATGAATTAAAATTGAGGATTACCAACCCACTCACTCCTCACTCCAAACCAAATATCAATCATCTCATTTGGATCATAAGTCAACTCTCACATCTTCTCTCCTATAAATACCCTCCTCTTCATCTCTCTACGTACTACACAACAATCACAAAAACATATAGCTATATCCTCAAAGATCTCATTTCATCTCTCTCTCTGTACGTGCCGATAATGGACCACGAGGAAATTCCATCAATGCCCTCAACACCGGCGACAACCCCGGGGACTCCAGGAGCGCCGCTATTTGGAGGTTTCGAAGGGAAGAGGAACGGGCATAATGGTAAATACACGCCAAAGTCACTTCTAAAAAGCTGCAAATGTTTCAGTGTGGACAATGAATGGGCTCTGGAAGATGGAAGACTCCCTCCGGTCTCTTGCTCTCTCCCTCCTCCTAACGTTTCCCTTTACCGTAAGGTAGTACCTTGCTACAATCATATGTATATATACACACATTAATTCTCGTTACTGCAGTTACACTTTTACATCTTCTTGTATATATACCTGAGCATATATATACACATGTTGTGTGCAGTTGGGAGCAGAGTTTGTAGGGACATTGATACTGATCTTCGCGGGAACAGCGACGGCCATTGTGAATCAGAAGACAGGCGGAGCAGTGACGCTTATAGGTTGCGCCGCCTCGGCTGGTCTGGCGGTTATGATCGTAATATTGTCGACCGGTCACATCTCCGGCGCACATCTCAATCCGGCTGTCACCATAGCCTTCGCTGCTCTTAAACACTTCCCTTGGAAGCACGTACGTCAGTAGTTAATTTCCGTTTTATATTTTTTTATATATATATATATATATTGTATTTTTTGGATCAATTTATAGACATGCATGATGCATGAACATGCACATTGACAGTTTAATTATAAAGTGTGATCATGTAGAGGGATGTTGTTTTGGCATGCATGGTGTGTCAAACCAAGAAAGAAACGGTTTTGTAAATAATGAAATTTTATGATGGGATTGTTTGTGAAAATGAAGGTGCCGGTGTATATCGGAGCTCAGATAATGGCGTCGGTGTGTGCGGCGTTTGCACTGAAAGCAGTGTTTGAACCGACGATGAGCGGTGGAGTGACGGTGCCCACGGTGGCTCTCAGCCAAGCTTTCGCTTTGGAGTTCATCATCACTTTCAACCTTATGTTCGTTGTCACTGCCGTTGCCACCGACACTAGAGCTGTAAAATTCATACTACCAAACACAATTAATTTACTTCTTTGAAGAATCTTGAAAAACTTGTTAAATATAAATCACAATAAATATGTAACAGGTAGGGGAATTGGCGGGAATCGCGGTAGGAGCAACGGTCATGCTTAACATACTCATAGCTGGGTAATTATCACTCACTCACTCACTAGCTAGCTAGATGGATCTATGTACATCTCGATTTTCTCTTCTTGTTTCTTTTTACATATTCATGTTTTATTGGTTATGATCAACAGACCTGCAACTTCTGCTTCGATGAATCCTGTAAGAACACTAGGTCCAGCCATTGCAGCTAACGATTACAGAGCCATTTGGGTTTACCTAACTGCTCCAATTCTTGGAGCTTTAATCGGAGCAGGAACTTACACGATCGTGAAGCTGCCAGAGGAAGACGAAGCACCCAAAGAAAAGAGGAGCTTCAGAAGATGATCCATGGATGCTAAAAAGACAAAACTTTAAAATAAAAACAAAACATTCGCTATGTTACTCTGTTTCCATGACATATATGTGTCTACTGTATAATATAACGAACGATGATATATCACTGTAAAATTGCGAATGGCCATTTATCAAAATTGCAATAGCGTTTTTTTCCAAGTTGGATGGTTTTTTAGCCTCATACAGATACTTAAGAATAAAATAGATTGCTGGTGTCATCTTCTAATTCATTTTGTTGATGAGATCGTTGATCTTGTCTTCGCGGTTTCCAGTATCACCTCCATCGCTGAAAACTTGCTTCTTCCCGTGCAAAACACCGGCCTCGGGCTTGTTGAGTTTCAAGGGTCCCAAGAACCTAATAACTTCTCTGAAATGATCACCAACCCTTGCTATCTCATTCACAAGGTCTTCTATGCAAAAGATTTCTTGTTCTCCTAGAGCCTACCGTAATCACAAGTGGGAATGATTAAGAAAGGCATGGTCATTATCTGGAACGAGCTCTCCAATACTTATATAAGAAACTTTTTCTTACCTGTTCGATTATGTTGTTGTCGGTAAGAGGAACAGGATTTCCCTCTATTATTGTGTATCCCTTTTTAAATATGAGGTCCTTAACGCTCTTCTCATTCGGGTATCTTCGAGAATGACAAACATTGGTCAGAGCTCACAACAGAATCAAGCAACAGCATGGAAATGGATTGTTCAGACAAACGAGGTGAGATTGATGATTATATTTCATACCCATAAGTGACGTAGGGCTGCACTTTCAGAAGCTTTTGAAACAAGTTGTCAGATGCTTTGGCAAAAACACCAGTAAAGGTGCTCCTTAGTTGCAAACTGTTAAGAACCTTCTTGGTTTTTGGGTGCATATCATTCTTGCTGGTCACCAGAAAGGAAATGGGAGGGATGAGGATACTCGCAAAGATAAAAATTAAATCTCCAAGTGAGAGAAAATAAAAAACATCATTGGAGAATATATGTTACCCTTGTATGCGTATGATGAAAACCAGGTTTGATTTTACTGGTGGAGGAGATGACTTTGGCCTCTTTACCCTTTGCTTCATCCGGATGAGATCTAATTCCTACAGGAAAAAAAAAAACAGTCAGATTACAAAGAATGATGCAGAATTAACCCCTAAAAGCTAAAACAAACAAGTCGTAAGCACAACAACCTTGTAAGCTCAAATGAGAAACACATCTGGCATGTAGAACAATTACAGAGTATAAGAGACTCTGACGAAAATCTAATTCAGGAAACTTTAACTCCACACAAAGCAATGACAGGCCTTTAATACGCAGTTATTGCTTAAAAGTTAAAATGCAAAGCGAGTTGAGACCTAAAGGAGTATAACTTCTACTTTAGCTAAGAGACTAGAATCGGCCAGACCTGAATCATTTCATGGATTACAAAGCAAGATGTAGAAAAGTTGTAAGATGTCGACAAGTCTAGAAGCAAAATCAGAACTTGAGGTAAACTTAATGGACAAGGACCAAAACAGATGAGCAAATGTTTCTGAATACAAAGGAAATTAAGACGAACCTTGGCCCTGAACTCATGTACAAAATCTTCAGGCCGTTTGATGTCAGAAACTTTCTTCTGCTTCTTCTTGCCGGAATTACGCCCCTCTAGTTGCCTCCTCCTGATATAGGCAAGCTCATCCCTGTTCTTCCTCTTCTTCAGTATCACCTCCGGTATGTAGTCCAACCCCTTAGCTTCTTCTTCAGCCATTATTATCTTTGTTCCTACAAAAAGACAAACAGATCTCAGATGTGAGTAACTTGCATCATCACGAAACGGACTGAAATTGAGCTAAACCCGAGAAGTGAGGCTATAAGGAACACGAAGAACGTGAAGTTTACGAAGAGCAATAAGGACAAGGAATAAGCGAAATTACAGGTGTGGAGACGAAGCAATTGAACGGCGGCTGAAGGAATTCGGAGTTCTACGAAGTTAGTTGCGATGGCCGAGAACGAGAACCCGTTTGAGGATTCTAGGGTTTATCAACTTAACTCTCGCTGTCAATTAACACCTTTGCCAGAAGACCTAATTACGGTCCGGGTCGAGAACTAATTTTATCTAGACTCTAAGGCCACCATTTGTGGGCTTATGGGCTTATCTGCCTTTGAATGAATTAGTCCATTATTATATGATATCAGAGGAGGAAGGTGATGGGCTTGTGAGTGTTGTCAAATGTAAGAAAATCAATCACAGGGAAAATCTGTATCCTGGCAAAAGTAGTTTATGACTCTTTTTTTTTCTCTTGTGGTTATCAAAAAATGGGAGGGTGGTCCATAAATATTTTGGTGTGGAGGTTGGACCGACAAGGTAATCTAGGAAGAGATATACTGTCGAAATTGATTAGACAAAGCAAAAATAAAAACAAAATGCATCACCTCACAAGTCACTACGATGAAAGCAAAAGAAAAAAAGAATGTACTTTTGAAACTAAAAGCTGGATGGTTTCTTTTTTCCAGCAGATGGTTTTAAATTTCTAAATGCAATCAATAATAAATGTTTGGGAAATCATATGTTGGTGATAAGATCACATTTGGATGTATTAAAAACTGAACCAGTGTGACTACTTCGTATTTTGATTGTATTACTCTAATAAGGTCGAAATTAGATGCTGTGTTCTTCTCTCTTTTTTTTTGTTAGAGAGTTATATGCTGTTATATTTTTGATGTTTCTACAAACACTTTTTTGGTGTTCACCACCGATATATTTCCAGTTCAAATAACAACCAAAAAGAACTGATTTAACAGATAAGTTGACTTATACCAATGATGTATGGTTTCGTAAGTTAACAAGAATGAATACATAGTCTTAAACAATGATTAATGACATTTTTATGTGAGATGGATGTGTATGGTTTTTTCAGTTTTGAGCATTCAACCGAAAACGGGAGAATGGATTTTTTTTTTTTTTTTTAAAGGAATGAAAGGGATTGTCGGGGAGATTTGATTGGCTTCTTAATCCTTGTCCAAAGTGCTAACTTACCTAACACTTAAACAAATAAAGACAGCTTCTTCGTTTAGGGTTTTGAATCAAACGTCTCACCTAAACCCTAAAATAATGGAACTACGTACATACGGTATATACATGTTTATGATTCTGAAAACGTTTTATAATGAAAAAAAACGATAAAAAAGATAGAGGTGACAACAAAGACAAACTCATTTGATTAAGATAGCATTTTTACAATAGTTATAACATGAAATCATGAAGACTCATTATTCATGTCCCAAAATAAATGTATAATTCAGATAGTTACAACATCAATTTTCTTTTTCTTTTTTTCAAGTGTCCACTACTATACAATTACATGTGTGTGCTCTGTAGCTCTAGCCTCTAGGTCAGATTGCACACATCAAAAGTGTCATTTTTTCTTTAAACATCATTCATTTTTATTAAAAAAGGTCACATGTCCGTGAGTCCGTCCAATCCCATAAATAGAACTCACACTTCACTTCCCACGACCACATCACTTCACATCCATATCCAATTTTTACTTCTCTCCTCTTTATATTCATATTCTCTCTAGGCTATTTTACACAAAAATATACATGGCTCCGATCATCAGCATAGATCAAGAAATATCAAAAATCAAGAAACGAGGTCATCAAGATTTTGAATTGGAGTTGACCCTTTTGCCACGTGGTACGACTTCATCTTCAGAGCTCAATCTCATCGATTCTTTCAAAACCAGCTCATCATCGACTTCTCATCAGCATCATCATCAACAAGAACATTTGGAAGATCCAAGAGTGTTCTCATGCAACTATTGTCAAAGAAAGTTCTATAGCTCACAAGCACTAGGCGGCCACCAAAACGCTCATAAACGCGAACGCACCTTAGCCAAACGCGGACAGTACTACAAGATGAGTCTCTCCTCCTCCTCCACTTCTTCAGCTTTCGCTTTTGGCCACGGTTCAGTCAGCAGATTCTCAAGTATGGCATCGTTACCGTTACATGGCTCGGCGAATAAAAGATCAACGCTAGGGATTCAAGCTCATTCAACGATCTATAATCCCTTTTTAGGAAGACAAACAGCCAGTTTAAGTAATGTTTTCAAACGACAGAGCATTCACCAGAAATTGGGCATTGGAAAGATGTTGCCAGAGAAATTTCACCATGAATGCGCCATCAGTGGTAACAGTAACAGTACTACTCCTAAGTTGGAGAGGATTGAACATTTCAAGAGCAAGCAAGAAGATCATAATCAGTTTAAGAAGATTGACTTGACTCTTAAGCTATGATCTCTTAATAGTCATCCTCTTTTTAGTCTCTATGATAACTTTTTGGATTTTCACTATCTTTGTCTGATATAATGATTGACAATTTGTTAGAGTTTCATTAATCAAGTTGTACCAATTTTTTCTTCTTAATTATATGTTGGTGCAGTTCATTTTTTATGTCTATTTGATGTCTGCGTAGTACAATCCTCAAAACTTGTATTAGATTGGACTATGGGGAAAATGTTAGGTATAATTATTAGACCGGTGTAATTATTATAGTCACAAATATGGATATCTCATATACAACATACATGTAATATTGCTGTAAGGAAAAAAAAGTATATATCATATTCACAGCAAAAAATATGTCATAGGTTCAAGTGAATTTAACCCCACATAATAAATTTCCGTGTATCCAAAAATGATGGAATTACAAAAATATTGTAGAATGGATTTATTAAACAAAAAATATGTACCACGTTTTACGCATTATTGCTCACTAGATTGTCACCAATTTAATAGGCGTGAACTGACTTTACTCAACCAATATGAATATTTTTTCTTTATAAATCAGGTATAATTGTTTTAACAAAAAAGAAGAAGATCATATACAGACGTTGACAAATAAAAATGATATTCAAGTGGACGATTTTCATATAGTGACTAACGACAAAATAAAAGCATAAACAAGATTCTAAGTTTCTTAGAGAAAAAAATATAGAGTGGATACAATGTGATTATCGAAGAGAGGTCCTACATGTAGTTGTAAGAAACAGACATTCATCTATAAGTGAAGAGTTCTTTGTAGAGGTTGTTGTTTACATTGTCATGTCCATGTGACTATCAAAGTTAAATTTAGATGGTCCTTTTTAATCTAATCTTGTCACCGTCGCTTTTATTATTTCACAATTTTATCACCATTATATAAAATAAATTTTACCATTATTGAATCTAATCGATTAGTACTAAAAAATAACCCTGCATTATTGCCTATATTTATAACAAATTACATTTGTTACTTCACATTTCACGATTCCTCTAGTTTTTGTAATGATATGTGACCATGTGGGTGACACTGAAAGGATCTATTAGTGAAAATTACTCATTATCTTTGGATTTAGTGAATTATAACCCAAAGATTCTGTGAAGTTTGCTTTGAGTGGGTCCGTATCAAGTTGATGTTTACATTAAAGTTATAATTAACATAATTCAAAATTGCTAATCATTGCAATTAACAATCAATATTTCCACAAACCAAGATGTTAACGATGCGGAAATCATGTTGTTATGCACCATAATTACTTTACTAATCCCCACATTATTCTAATACAACGTCACATCGATTAAGACTTTTGTGTACCAAAATCATATTTCACAACGGTAAAAGATCCAAAATACCCAAACTATATTTCACAATGGAAAAAAGATCTAAAATCTTTAGACAATGACGTTTTCATTCTCGCTACACGGAAACTTATTAGAAGCTAAAATCCCTTTTTTACATATGATTAATTTTCATCAAACTATAATCTCAGTGATTATCCTATTCACGAGAGAGAGAGAGAGTCGACCAAAACACAAAAAAATGAATTAAAAAAGGAAGAATATGTCCAAACTCAAAAAGAATCTATGCATCTGAGATAAATAATACATAGAGTAACAAACCGATCCAAATTAAAAATTTAAAATCAAACATTACATATTTCCCAAATATACATGTTTAAAGTCAAAACCGAATCAAACACAACTAATCATAGTAGTCCACATTCGGAAGCTAATCCACAGAACTGAGAGTTACGGAATGTCTTTCCTAATTAGATGGATTCAGCTCGCTAGTCCCTTTAACATCTGGTGTTTCACAGTAAACTCACACTAGGGGAAGTAAGAACTAAAAAGTAAAAATATTACTAAGACACAACAAATCTATGAAATTGCTCCTCCGTTAAGAAACACTAGAATTGATTTGGAAGTCACCAGTTTAGACAAAAGTCAATGTTAGATAGCAGATTCCTTAGGGGAAGTTTTTTTTTACCCAACACAAACTTCACTTTCTAAAGCACTTTCAGTCTCCATTGCTGGTAAGAAACAGAGCAAACAAGAAACACCAAAAAATTGTGACATGTAAAGCTGATATTATTTGAACACGTGACCGTATGCATCGACGAGTAGGTTTTACACAATATTGCAACAAAAATTTTGCAATTGAATTTATTTCAGCGTATCCAAATCAATGAGAGTCATACTCACATGCACACTACTGCATTCGGAGAAAACAAACAGCGACAAGCAGAAGAGTTTTGATGTCTATTTCTGCTCGACGTAAGATTTAACGCTCTCCATCCATCTAACGTACTCGTATTTATTTTTGTTCTTCATAAAACGATGCAAGAAAACACCAAGCTCGTCGCTTATACCTCTTTCCTCTAAAAACTGATAAAGAGCGTCTTGAAGCTCATCATCCAATTCCCTGTAATCACAAAACGCAAACACAATAACGTCACCGTTATTCATAGTGATCCTATATCTCAATATTTTGGTATTCAAGAAAAGAATCAAGCCATCGTACTCAAACTCTGGTCCACCGTAGGAAGACGGTGAACTTTGGGTGCCTTTACGAATGCAGAGCTTCGATATCTCTATGGTATCTGGCCAAGCAGAGCACATGATCTCTAAGGTTTCACCAGCACCGCCCTTAGAGATATTGACGACGAAAGTGATGTGAAGAACACACTCAGGTTCAGTGCTGGTGGATTTTGACGTCGGAACTGATTTATCAAACATGGTTGCTTCGATTTTGATGTCGTCTTTGTCCCCAAATTTCCTTTTCAAGCTAATCCACTGCTCTCCAGGCCGTTCATCGACAGTGAATGGTCCAAAACTGCTAGGGGCCTGCGAATATGCATAACCAAAGAGCTCAAAACTATCGAATGATTCTAATTTCAGGTAAAGGTATAGAAGTTCAATAAGAAGAACCAGAAAGAGTACACTTTCTTCATTACTAATCCAATATTTAACAAGTTGTATCAACCTAAGTTTCGCAGAGCAAATCTGAAAAATTCCTATGCCAAAACTAATAATCAAATGATTCATAAGAGTATTGCTGAATTTAGATTCAAGGAAGGCTTAGCTTTTTGCCATTGACAAATAACCATAAATCGGGAAAATGATTCATAGAAAAACCTGGAGAGGAGGCGAGCGATCGAGCTCGTACTCAATCTCATTACGGATTAGTCGGCAAATGTTTCCTTGGAAAGCTGATTTCTGCATTTCTGACACGTAACTCCCCGAGCTTAGACATCTGCGTCTGATTATAAAGTTAGGGTTTTGATTCGAGGGGAAAGCGATTTTAGGCGCAATCGAAGGGGGCGAATTAGAGAAAACTGTTCTTCTCAGACATCTGACGAATCGAGCCATTGACACAGAAGTTGTGGCGACGATTGGGTTTTCCCCTAATGCCCCTAGGGTTTAACTGTGTGAGAGCATCGTACGGCTTATAGTGCATTTCTGGTTTGGATTTAAGCTAATCTACACCGTCAATTCAGAAACCATTAAAAGTTATTTATCTCATTTGCAAATGGTTCAAAATTGTATTGGCTAACCAAAAAAAAGAAAAAGGATTAATTTTTTTTTTGGCGGCAAATGTGATTCTCCCCGCCCATCACTACCAATGAGATTAGAAGTTGCTAGGTCTTCTTTACAGTTTTAGTGTCAGGACTCAGGAGAGAAACCATTTTAATTGATCATCTCTCTCTCTCTTTCTCTCTCGTTTCTCTAATTCTTTCACGCTACAATGGCGACGGAGTACGAGCGAAAAAGACTGGAGAACATTAGACGGAACGATGAGATGATGGTGGCTCTCAATGTCCGCGCCAAAGCCTCTCTTCTCTCCGCCGCAACCAAACGCCCTCGAGACGAATCTAAATCATTTCAGAAGAAGAAGAAGAAGCCGACCAAATCCGAAACGCCCATTGTTATTCGGAAGTCTCTGCGCACCAGAGGCTTGAATCCTGATTCCGGTGGCTTACCCGATGGGTTTTCAGATTATCCCAATCGTATGGCTCCTCCTCCTCCTCCTGACAAGTCATCGTCTCGTCTATTGGCTCCTCTGCCCTTCGATGCGGCTTATGGTGGAGACGATTCTCATAAGAATTTCGTTGAGACTATTTTGGGTATTGCGAGAAAGTCGATGGTTAATGGAGAGATTGGAACGGTTAAGGTCTCTAAGGATGATCCTCCTTTGGTTCCTAGACATTGTGGCACTAGGAGTTCTTCTCGCCTCTCTAATGCCTCTGTCAAAAAGGAAGAGCCAGTTTTTGCGATTAAGTCTTGTGGAGGAAAATTGGTTAAAGGAGAAACTGGATCGGTTAAGGATGAGAATGAGTCTCCTATGGTGAACACTAGGAGTTCTGCTCGCTTATCTAATGTTGTTGCCAAAAAGGAAGAGCCAGATTCATCTATCGACTATGTGAAGAAGGAAGTTTTTGAAGTTGGTTTTCCAGTGAAGCCCGAGGAAATTGAGTTTGGGGGTGGTTTTGATACGGGATCGCTTAGTTTAGAACCGCATAACGTAGCACGTGTTGTGCCTGGGAGGATTTTGGTTGTAAAGTTCTTACCTTGCGAGAATGTGAAGCTGATTGCTGCAGGGGACAAACTTGGGCATGTTGGGTTTTGGAATTTGGATTGCCAGGATGAGGAAGATGATGGGATTTATCTTTTCCATCCTCATAGCGCCCCAGTTTCATCTCTTGTCTTTCAACAAAACTCTTTCTCAAAGGTAAGTTATTTAATTATAGGAGTTTTCTTGAAACTTTGGTAGGGGAAGAAAAAGTTCTCTTTATAGTTTCGTTATGCTCTTTTTTGTTGTTGTTGGTTTTGGTGCATCTTATTGGCAGGTTATTAGCAGCAGCTATGATGGTCTTATCCGGTTGATGGATGTTGAAAAGTTGGTTTTTGATCTGGTTCATACGAGCGATGATGCTATATTTTCCCTCTCGCAGAGACCAAATGATGAGCAAAGCTTATACTTTTGTGAGGGATATGGAATGTTGAATATATGGGACCTCCGAGCAGGAAAGTCATTGTTCCAGTGGGATTTGCATGACCACAGGATCAATTCTATAGACTTCAACCCGCAGAATCCCCATGTCATGGCTACAAGTTCCACAGATGGGACTGCTTGCCTTTGGGACCTGAGAAGCATGGGAGCCAAAAAACCAAAAACATTGACGACTGTGAATCATGCTAGGGCTGTTCACTCTGCTTATTTTTCACCTTCTGGCCTTTCACTTGCAACGACGAGGTAACTTTTCATTTTAATTAATGAACTACGGATACCGGTTTCACTAATCTCCTTGGTTTAAGAACTCACATCAGATGCTGTTTGTTTTGTTTGAAACACTGATATATGCTCCACATTTGCTGACGTTTATTGACTCTCTGCGTTTTGGTATAAAAGTTGCACATACTTCCAAAAAAAACATTGCCTATGTGACTCATCAAGAAAATGGTTTCGAGCTGCATATGTTACTACTTTAATCTCTGAAAAGTTTACTATTGTGAATGACTATGTAGGGAAAGCATGTGTAGAGTGGAACTGATTTACTATGTAGCTCTCTCAAATACTTATTTTCTCTGCATCGGTAAATTGTGGAATATTAGTGACTCTAAGCATGTTCCACTTCTTAGGTTTGTTAAACTCTCGCTTTATTTTCTTTTGCAGCGTTGACAACCATCTTGGTATTCTAAGCGGCGCCAATTTTGAGGATACTTCCATGATATATCACGATAATATTACCAATAGGTGGATCTCCACTTTCAGGTAATTTCCAACACTTTATACCATAATAAGCTCAGTTCCAATACACATTTTTCCTTGTGTTCTGAGTATGACGAAAAAAATCATTGCACAAGTAATTGTTATTATTCATATAAACAATCGATACACTTTGTTTTCCATATTTTACGAGAAATGAAAAATAGACAATTGTTTTCTTCTGTTTGTGATTGCAGGGGAGTATGGGGGTGGGATGATTCATATGTCTTTGTTGCCAATCGGTCAAAAGGAATTGATGTAATATCTCCAAAACTAAAGCGTACGGTGAAGGAATTGCAAAACCCTCTTATGAGAGCTATTCCATGCAGAATCCATTGTCATCCTCTGAATGTTGGGATGCTTGCAGGAGCCACCGCTGGAGGGCAAGTGTATGTTTGGACAACAAAGTAGAGGATTTATGTTTTTTTTTTTGTTGTTTTTTTGGCTTAGAGAAATGTATTTGTTTGGAAATGATTTTTTTTTTTATTTAAAAAAACTGTAGATCTAATAGCATGAAGTTAAAGTTAAACCCCCTGTGATCTGTATTTAATTGTAAAGGAGTCCGACAAATGAATGCAAAATGAGAGAATTGCATCAACTATTGGCTACTGCATTAGTTCAAAGCAATGCATCAGATTCTTAAATCTACCACCTAGGTTTCCTTTCTAATCATCTCAATGAGGTCTAGGCGAATCCTCATTAGCTTGTCTCTCGCCTGGTTTCTCTACATCGCCCTTCTGTTCTTTACTCGCTTTCATTTCTTCTTTTGGTGGGAGTTTAGTAGATTGATCTTGGGTTTTGGTTTGAGTATTCCCTGAAGATTTCTTTGTTTCCAAAACAATCTCTTTTATTGTCTCTTCGATTTTTCCCAGTCTCTTTTTCATCTCCATCAGCTCTTCCTGAGACTTGGTCGCTGCTTCTTCTTCTAACGCCTGCTTTTCAGCTTCTTCTTTCTCTTTCTTTTCGTCTTCTTCCCTTTTCTTCTCCCCAAGTTCCTGAGAATAATCCAAATATCATGAGGCATGTGCTCAGAACGAACATGGAGGACAGACATTTAAGTCCTGACTCAAATCTCTTCAGAAACTCATATCATTTTGATAATGAACAAGAACAGTAACTCACTGCATCCATGATCTTCATTTTATGGCGAGCATACTGAGCAACCAGATACACAGCTGTTACAAGTAACAATAACCACATAAACAAGGAACACTGAGATCTTTGGCAGAAACATTGAACAGAACACTAAGGAGAGAACTTTGAAAGGGGTGAACGGAAATACCTACAGACGGCAAGCAGACGATAATGAATTGCACCACATGCCAGTCAAGCCTAACACAAAGTAAAACCCATAAGAGGGCATACTACAAAAGAGAACAAGCTCAAGAACTCAAACTTACTCTCAGAGACAGTTTCAGAACATCAACTAGATAACAGCGGCAACAATCGAAAACAATGTTCAGTGATCTTTCCACTTTTTCACCTAATAAGTTAACATTCCACACTTTTGAGCTAATGCACATTACTATTGCCAACATTTCAACCTCAAAATGTCCTTACTTTTCCAAATTTTAATGGAGTCTTTCCATGATTTAGGGTTTACAGAAGCCTTCATTTCCGAATTGCAGAATTTGGTTCATAGTTGAGGCTGATATTTGCAGAGAAGAAAAAGAGAAACAGTAACAACATCTGATGTTGCAGAAACTAAAGCAAAGACATGATGGACGAAAAAAATCCATCAAAAGAAACCGCCACTAATTCAAGAGCAAAAACCCTATACAAAAAAAAACCAAAATCTCCAGGAAGAAATTACCCAAATTTATTCTTCTTCGGTGGTTCAGTGAACAAGATCTTCGCAGCAGTCACGAAATCGAGGTTATCGAGTTTCTTGTAAGTCTCATCGTAGCGAGAAACAGTTGATTCAGTCTCGCTGTACTGAGCAACACTAGATTCCGTCTTCTCGATTTTGTTCCCACCATTCTCTCCTTTAGTGCAGAGACGTCTGATCCTGTAGTGTCTCAATCGGGCTGAGAATCCGACCCACGAGCCTCTGCCGCGAAACATCCCGGTTTCTCCCGGCGACAGCTCCACTCCGCATTTCCCACAACAAATTAGCGTTTTTCAAAACGCAGCTTTGAGGCTTGTGGGTTTTCGGGTTACCCGGATCGGACCGGTCTTATTAAAATAAGTTAAAAACTCTAAACCGGGTTTCCTTTTTAGACCCTTCGATCATAAATTCATAATGGAGTTGTAATCTGAGTTGTAATCAAAATAACAATTGCCATCAAATTGGTAGCTTTGTCAACAACATTTGGTTTCCTTTTATTTTTCAATTGTCTCTTTCACTATGCCTTTTTCCAGACTATTTCTGAGCTACGATATAGTTTGGACCTCTTTCAGTTTGGACTTCTTTTTCCGTTTTTTTTTTTTTTTAATTAAGCTTACTGAAACGTATTATTTCGAATTTATCCCAGCAAAATTAGTGGCCGGCCATATTTTCAAGATCGAAAGTTGAACTTGTCATACCAATCGTAGCTCTAAAGTTTATAGTTTTTTTTATTGCCTAATTTAAGCCAAATTATTAACTAGAATACTTTTGTGGGCACTACATTAAAAACACACATAGATTCATGATTCGTAATGTATTATGTTCCCAAAAATTTATTTTCCGCAAACAATAATCGTTTATTGTACTATCACACTTTGCACCATAATTAGCCGCACCACTTCCGCAGACTAATTTAGTTTATATTTAAGTCAAATTAAAAGAAAAAGGGTGGTCTCGAGACAAAAGTTGAGCCAAAGATAAGGAATATTAAGCTTTATATTGGACCCCATAATAAACTGTAAATTATTAAAGCATACCGCCAATATTAATTTAAGTTTCAAGGTTTTATAAACCACTGATATTTTTTTTTGTTTGTTAAAGATAAACCACTGAATTGTACAACGATTCTTGTATAGGTATTTAATTCGTTCGTGAATCTTCATGTTCGTTTATGGAAAAAAATCAGAAATATGTCAAGTGAAAATAATACTATAATTTTCATAAAAAAAAAACAAAATTGATTTATTTATGGAAGTAGATGATTAGGCATTATTAATTCAAGATTCAAAACTAGTAGCTAAACAAAGTCTCTTCTTCTCCTTCAACATTTTAATCGAAAAGGGAAAACATAATTGACATCGGAAATCTCAAAAGACAAATCCTTGGCATTTTGCGTAATTATGTTAAGCTTGAAAAGGGTAAATTGTCATCAACTCGGACAGTTTATATAGAACGAGTCGTCTTCCATCGCAAGAACTTCCGACGGCCGCTCTCTGCCGCCGGCGATACTCTCTCTCTCTCTTTCTCCTCTGTCTTTCTCTCTCTCTATTTGAGGAATGGCGGAGTCATCCGACTGATAAGTCTTTACTTGTAAGCATTAAACCTTGAAAAGAAAGAGAGGAGGAAGGAAGAATTTGAAAGGAAGGAAAATGCTTTGCCGGAAAAGCTCAAGCTTCGTGGATAGAGGAAATGTTCCTGTTTATCTCAATGTTTACGATCTAACTCCCATTAATGGCTACGCTTACTGGTTTGGTCTTGGCGTTTACCATTCTGGTGTTGAAGGTTAGTCTTTTGAGATTCTTTGGTTCAGATTTTCTTGAATATTTTTTTTTAATGGGTGTAAAGGTTTTAGATCTATCTAAATAGTGAATTCAATTTACAGATTATGTCATTTTAGATCGGATTTTGTTTGGATTTAAAGTTGTTTAATCCAAAGTGTTGGATTTCAGTTTTCATAGAGACTCATATGCATAAGGGTTTGAGAAAGGCAACAACAACAAAAAAAGTCATAGAACGAGATATTATTTATCGAATCATATTTATTATTTCTTTCTTGAAGAATTTAGCTTCAAAATCCCATTTTTTTTAAAAAAATTGGTATGTGTATATACATAGTTCATGGGATAGAGTACGCATTTGGAGCTCATGAATACCCAAGTACGGGAATTTTCGAAGGGGAACCGAAGCAATGCGAAGGATTTACGTTTAGGAAGTCGATTTTGATTGGTAAAACGGATCTTGGGCCTTTGGAAGTGAGAGCTACAATGGAGCAACTTGCAGACAACTACAAAGGGAGTTCTTACAATCTCATCACCAAGAACTGCAACCATTTCTGCGATGAAACTTGTATCAAGTTAACTGGGAATCCAATTCCTAGTTGGGTTAACCGTCTTGCAAGAATCGGTAAAATCTCTGGTAACTCCCCTCTTTCATCTTTACAATTTTTCAACAAGTTGAGACTGAGATCTGCATCTAGTAGTTCTGTTTGCAAGTGAGCACAGTGAATGCTAATACACAATTGCTTGAAAGTCTCAGCTTTTTTTTTTTTTGAAATGAAAAGTCTCAGCTTTTTGATTAAATGTAGACTAAACATGCTTCAAGACTAAAATTTACTTCAGATTTGGCTTGAAATTTCTATCTTTACCCATGAGTAAACCGAGTTTAGCTTCAAGGATTATCGATAGAAAAGCTTCGAGACTAGATTGTGAACTAAGTTGTGCTTGAAATTTTTTTCTTTTATTTGTTTCCTTGGGGTTGGCTTGAAAGATTCACCATCTTTATGCTTGAGTACCAAGTTCAGCTCTTGGGTTTATTGACATGCACGTTTTTTCTAATCTATAAGAACAGAAAACTTAGCGTTGGGTTTGGCTTAAAGTTCCCATCTTTAGGCATTCTGAACATTTTCGGGAAGGACTCTGTTTCTGTGCTCTGAAGTTAGAATTGCTCTGTGTTAATTAGGGTTCATGTGCAACTGCGTGCTTCCTGCGACAATAAACGCGACAAAGCTTGGAAACAACCGAATCAATCAAGACAAATCATGTGAAGCAGAAACTGAGAAGAAGAAACTGACGAGTGCATCGAGCAGAGAGAGATCTACGATTGCTACTCCGTCGTCGGCATCCTCGTCTCCTTCAGTTCAAGTTCGTGGTCGAAGCAGGAAAAGGCGTCCTCGTTCTCTGCAACCATCATCGCCACTCATTATCGGATCTTCTTCCGTTTGACTATAAATAAAATCTGGGATAACTAAGTTTGGCTTTCTTGTTAAAAAAAAAAATCCATTTTTTGATCTCTCAATTAGAGAGAGCACTCTTTTCTTTCTGTTTTTTTTTTTCTTTGTTTACTCAATTGCGATTGTGCTTTTGTAATCTTGTTAATATGCAAACCTTTTTCTTTCTTTTTCCCTTGTAATAATCTTAATTACCATTTTCGTTTAAGTTCGCGGATATTTTTTTAACACAACTATACTGTATATCAAATCAACTCTCAGTAAAATATTTAGTCAATCATCAGAAACATGAAAAAGAAAAAGAAGAAAAAAAGAAGACTATGAAATTGCTCTTTCTGAAACTAAAGGAGAATATATTCCAAAAACTTTTTAGATTGTTATCTCACTTTCGGCAGTATCTAATCAAGATATTTAAATATCATTGGCAAACAAAACTTTTATGATGAAAAGCAGAGGCCTGTCATTAGAACTTGAGCCAACACCACAGCTTAAGCTAAGAGCAGAATATTAGAATATAGAACTCATATATATCTATCGCAAGCATTATCTGTTCATGGAGGAAGGGTAACAATAATCAAATTTGAAGTTTGTTTGACTGTGATTGTGAAAAATGGAGGCTTTAGAGCTGAGACTTGAACAGTTTGAAAAATATGAAAGCTTTCAGGCTTGTTTTTCGCGCATCCACTCAAAAAAGTTGTCGAGAATCAATGGCCATGCAAGTTCTGGATTGTAGTTGGTCATGTCCGGGAAACTAATCTGTAATGGAAAAAAAATTTCACATGCAGTATAGAAGCAAATAACGATTTGGTTGAAAATGGCCATCGAGGAGGAACGACACTAATATGGAAGGGATTACCTCATTGCAGAATCGATAAAATCCCATCCATTGGTCCATGTTGATGACTTTGTAATCATTTTGGATCTGTTCATAATGAGATGATATGATTACAAACTGATAAAAACTTTGAAAGATAAGATCTTCGGAGATAAAAAGGTGGATCCAAACCTTCAGATAGTCGACAAAGTAGTCAACCTGGGCACGGAATGTTGATCCTAAGACGATATCTAGGAGTTGACAAATAGTCTCAACGTCGATGCTCTTTTGTTTTTCCTCTGGATGGATGGATAATAGTAATTATAACCAAGGTCAGACAAGCACACGAGGCGAAAACACAAAACATATATCATTTCATGTTCATGATGATTACCTGTCAAACAATACCGGAATGCATAAGCATAGAAATCTGCAAAATTCGATGGCACTCTGACCTAAAGATGTAAAATAACAAAGAAAGATTAACACGATTCAACCTTTAAGATATCCAAAAGATGCCAACCAATGTGAAAGAAAAGAAAAGAAAGACGAAGCTTAAAAGTATGAACCTCTTTCTCGAGCTCTGGAAGGGCTTTCCTCAATTTTCTCATCGTGTCAGCCCTTAACGACTTCAATGCTCTTCTCCATTCATCCTATAGATGTTGCAAAGTGAGTTAAGGTCATACAAAAAGCAAAAAGCGAGAACCTAATTTCAATTATCAAAGTAATAAGTTTTCTATCTCATTCGTTTGATGGGATAATACAGGGAAGAACAAGTTTATTACCAGTGTGAAGTAACCCTGTTTTTCAGCCTTCATTTTCCTGTAACGATGAAATTAAAAAGGGTATGAAGGATATTCAGATGTGCGTGGAACCAAGACAGTAATAAATTTGGGTGGATTAGTTACCAAGCGAGCATCAAGATCCTAATATCGGTATGAGAAACTTCCAAATTGGAGCAAAGCTTTTCAATTCCTTCTGGACTGTTGATGTGATGAGAAAGAGTGTGAGAACTTGGTCGTAAACGAGTTGCATTCTTCAAAACCATACACAAATTTGTTCCAGGTAGGAGTAGAAAGGAACAAAGAAGAGGAAAGTGATGGTATACTTACTCAATCACACGGGAAGATGTATTTGCATACTGATTAAACAATTGATCTATTCGATCCATCTCTTTGGTCGAACCCTTACTCGAAGCTGTACCAACACAATTTCTCTTTGTCAAATTTGATGTTGCCAAAGTCGTTTCGTTTGCAGAATTTCGAATTTTATAAAAGATGAAAAGCACAGAACAGCGAAAACCGAATTCCAAATAAAACCCTAGGAGGCGATTTATCGGTGGCATGGTGTACCTGATCGAGAGAGATCCGTGGCTGAAGAGGTAACTGAATTAGGTTGATTCGGTTTCTTCGACGCAGAACGACGCATCTAAATCGCAACCAAAGTGCACAGAACTTGAGACTTGAATTTTCCAGAAAATAATATACTATAATATTCAAATATCCGAGGAAAAGGAGACAAGTACCACGAAAGACCGAGGCGGAAGCTTCTTGCTGAAGAAAATTTGGAGGCGAAGCAAAGGAGGGAGACGACGACGATGACTGTTAAATAATAAAGAAAGAAGCTCAAGCTTACGCCGATTTCTCTCGTTAGCTTTTTATACCCACGGTTTTACCGATAAACTAACAAATTCTCCTCCTTTTAATTAAACTAGATATTTTCCCTTTTCTCTCTCTCTCTTTTTCTTTTCTTTGACTCCCACCAACTTTACCATTTTTTAAATATTATGTATATTTTTAATCATAGATATTTTACAAACGAAATGTATTTTAATTGCATAATGTTGCTTTTGAAATTTTAATTATGAAGACAGTAATATTCAAACAATTAGGAAAGAAAAATCAGAAATTTTAAGATAATTTAGAAAAAAAATCCCTCTTAAATCTTTTGTTTTTGATTTTTGTTTTGATTTTTGATCTGATTGTTTAACAAAACAATATGTAGTATTAGATTTGGGAAGTTTCTAAACCAATTAACCAAACAAGACCAATCAATCAATCAATCATTCCCGCTTTCTTCTAATAACATACAGACGAAAAAGCCAACTGAATCTGTTTCACTGACCAGGAAAAGACCACCTCAACGAGTAAAGTGTTTACTACTAAGCCGAGGTTTGGCCTGTCTCCGAGAGATATAGAGAGAAGAGAGACACTGCATCTTGCAGATGTGATGATCTGACATCTCCTGGTAAAGGAGCTTCGAAGGCCGTCACAAAACAGCTTAGCTGAGACTCTCGACCACCATACACACTCAGATCTGACAGAAGCAACTCGCAGATTTCCTCTCCCATCTTTGAGTATGCCACTCTGCAACATACACACAGATTAATAAAATAAAATAGAATAGCTTCTGCGATGAACACAGAAGTTGTGAGAATCATGTTTGACCCGTATCTGTCCACACAGCAAACTTGGGCTGTGTAGTCATCAGAAGCCAACTGCCTTAGTTTAGGAGCAATTACTATGGATGCCACCAGATTCAGAAGGACCCATCCAAAATTGCTCCATTTATGTATTATTTCCTAGGTTATTATGGTAATATATGTACGAGGTTGTGTCCTAAGAATGATTCATAACGCACGACATGAACAACGACGACGGATCAAACAAGTGCATCCAATTAATGAGTAGTTCTTAACGATTCAATGCTATTGGCAAGTGTGAGACATATGGAAATTACTTACCTAGCTTCAACTGGTAATCTATCGCCCCAAACAGCCAATGACTCGTTTAAACGACCGACAAAACTTCTGCATGACTCGTTTCTGCTCTCAAGGGAATCCTGTGGAAGCAAAGTTTGTGTTGTTTGTATCTTACATGTATTTTGCACATCGATAATAAGAACATTATGACTACGATCATAGGGAGTTGTTAAGACTATCAGTACGAGAAACTATATATTTTACAGCCAACTTGGCAACCGTAGCTAGCCTAATTATTGTTTAAGCAATTTGAGAGCTAGAGGAGTTAAATTTCAAATTTAAGATTATAATAACGTAGGCGTACCAGTTCTGCCATCGTATCAGCATCTTCTTCCAGTGAACTCTTTAGCAAATAGAAAGATATGTAAATCCCAGCGCCCAAGTCCCAGTTTTCAATTTCAGACTTGCGATCATCCATTGAAGTAGCGATTCTCCATATTTCTGAATGGTTAGCTGCATTTATTTAAGATAAAACATATCACTCCAAACAGATCCTTCCTCAGTTGGGTCTGCACATAAGAAAATGCAGGAGCTTTACCTGACAAAAACATTGAATGAGCAACTGACGTCATAAATATGGAATGAGCTCTTTGCCAGTTTGCGCATTCAATAAAGTGGTCAAGAGCCTTTACGAAATCTCCATGGTAATTGTAATATACTGCCTGCAATGGAAAACAAAAAATCAGCAATCAACATATATTAGTATAAGATGGAAAAGGTTTCATTTATAACCAGAGTAACTTTAGCATTAGTAGAAAAGAAGGAAATTTCTATAGTGTCCTTACCAGAGCTTCGTGCATCCATTCAGAAGGGACACCAAGATCCTTAATAAATTGCCTCTGTGATTCCATAGAACTCCAAGTTTCACAGAATTGAAACAGGATTTCCCGAATGACAATGACGTGTAGATATGGATGATCTTCGCGGTAGGGTATGTGAAGAACAACGTAGATAGCCCAATGACAAAGGCCCTGAGAGAGAAGCTGCGCAACAAATGCCATATCGATAGCGTGAAGGTCATCTGAAGTGAAAGCTCCAACTGCTTCTAGGATTCCTCGGTGGTGCCAGATCATATGATAGTCAAGTGGATCGTCAGTTGAAGAGAAGGCACTGAACATAGTCTTCAGGAAACCAATTTCTTCCTCTTCTCTGCTGTGCAGAAGCATAAGATAATACAAGAGATCAGAATGCTTGGTGTTGCTTAGAAAGCCATCTGCAGGTCCTTCGTCAATATATATTGGGACGGGCCATGGAGCTTTTTCCTGATCTAGTAGGAGTTGATAACTTCTGAAGATGGCAGGTAATGAACTGTCGGGAGGCAGATGATGCCACATTAACAACCCTAGGAATCTCTTCCAGTCAATTGTCAAATCGTGTAACGCATCGTGGATATTACCAGCAAGCAATTCGTAAAGCTTAATTCTCTCCTTCTCAATGAAATTAAAATCCAGCCCACTCCTTCCCCAAAGGTGAAGCTGCTGCATGATATCATTGCGGTTTACAGTTGATCCACCAGCCTGGCTCAACAAACAAGCAAGTCTAACATCTCCCTTAGATATGGCAAGTTCCACAGCTGAATCAAGCTCTCGTCCAGTTAGAAGAAAGAATAAGTGCTCAAGGTAGCAAGAACCATTTAGATCACTCACATCTTCTTGTACACGGTGACTGACACTTTCTTGAAGCCAACAACTGAATTCTGCTCTTCGGATAAGTGGAAGAGCTTCTGTATCAACTTCTGCAGACTCTTCTTTCACATCCTGCATCATGTCTTCCTCATTATCAGAAGCTGCATTATTCGAGCGTTTAGTACTCTGTCTCTCAGAAAAGAGCACTTTTATAAGTTCCCAAACCATGACTTGGTGCATCGAAAACAGCTTGGCGGAGGTGGACAACCCAGCAACCTCCAACTGTTTCTCGAGTATATCGATATAGCTTCGGCAGATATCTGGAAGAACCACACGATCAGTGACAACTTTCTTAAGTTTAAGACTGAAAGAGCCAAACCTAACTTCTTCTTCTTCATGATCCAATTTCTTGTGGAGACTTAAGGGAGCCTCAAATGTAGAGTCAATAAGCTCTTTCTTAACTGTATCCTTTTTGTCCCGAACCACCTTGTCCATTGCTATCTTTTCTACATTGATCACAGAAGACAATACCCTCTGGGAACTAGAACTGCCTATTGGCTTACCAGTGTGAAGAAGAACGCCATTTGGACCCCAGCCTGCTCGGAATGACCTTCCCATGAACAATGCTGCATCAACAACATTCCGGGAATAGTTATCCGTTAATGGCGTGACATTGCTGATGTCCAGCTCGAAACCTCCCATTTTCGACTTTCTCACTGCCAGATTCTTATTTTGTTGGACCATCAGGATACTGCTTGGGGAGCTTTTATCATTACCAGGGTTATACTCCAGCAAAGCAAGCGGAGTTTTCCGCATGACCGGTGGAGTATCTTGATGAATATTTCTTTGAGAATTTTTCTGTGAAGGTCTTAGATTTCGTTTAGTCAAGGATGTCATTTGAAGAGAAGTTTGATCTCTAAAGCCCTCCCTTTCGTCTAGATCTTCACTAGGAAACATCAGCATTCTCATTTCTTTCATCTTTTCAGGATCAAGTCCTAGATGAGCTGGAAGAGAATGAGAAAGCTCTGGCTCGGAAGTTTCCATTTGATGTTCATTATCAATGTCAGCAACCATGTCACCATTCTGTCCTACATGATTCTCCAAACCCGGGGCATCATCCATAGCAATATCTTCTGCTTCATCATCACACAACCCAAATCTGCTGAAATGAGGAACCAAAAACTTCCATAAACCTCTATCAGGATCAAAGGAGATGAAAGTTGCCCCTTGTCTTTCAGCACTCTGTTTTAATTTATAAGAAATTTGGTCGACTCGCACTTTCCCCAAAGTTGGATTTGGTATGTTTACGATCAGAGTCACCTCAGCAGCCTTGTTAAGCCCCTCTCCAACAACTGGCTTGGAGCTCTCATCATCATAAACAATGACCTCGTGCCTTTGAAACTTAACTATCTGATCCAGGTCTAACTTTCTAACATCTGTACATCCGAGAAACTTGATATAACCGTAACCAATACGCCCAACTGTGAAATCAGGAACCCGGCTGCAATAATCAGGGTTTTCAAGTTCTCGCTGAACCAGCTCGTTCATGCTTGGCTTCAAGAAGTAGTCAGGTGAATTCAACGTAGGCAATGAATCCCTGATATCTTTGTAATGTTCACATACGACAGGATTTGCATCTAGAGAGATCCTTCTTTTCTTTCGCGAGTCCAAATTTGAAATATCTGTCAACAAAGAATTTTGGGAAATTAGGATACAAGAATTTAGGAGAATGAAGGAAAAATTTCAACATCAGAGAATAAAAGTGGATGCACACTGCACACGACAATGCCTAAACTTAAGTTGATAACTTGAGATAAAAACCTAGCTGAGAAATTCTCAACTCCTAGCAAACTAAGCAAGGCTAACGAATCATCTGTAGAGCAGAAGAATTGAGAACGGAGTGATTCTGACGAAGTCCATTGAAAAAAAAAAAAAAGAACCGCAAAATACTAACCTGGAGCTGGAAGAATAGAAAGAGACGCCATGACTGACGAAATGTCGAAAACACCTAGGCAAAGCGACAGTCTAGGGTTTTCCTTGTTTACAGTCTGTGACCGTACTGATGTTTTTTTGTTCTCTGCTGATTCCTAGAACAAATCCATTGCTGACGGACGGACGGCGGCGACAAATGATCAGAGAAAATCTGAAACCTTATTGAAGTCCTTCTTCTCTTCTACACTCTCTCTACGCCGCGGCAGGAAAGGGAGGGAGGCAAAGCTCTCAAATTTTGTCAGATCTGCCAGGTTTCCCGACCCGACCCGAAACCCACTCCAGCATATATAAATCTGTCGGGCCTAATATAAGCCCAACAATCAAGCCCATTTCTTCGAGTTTTTATTTTTTTAAGTACAGCGTCCGATCAACGCTTCGCCGGACTTCAAACTGACGCAGGAGACCTTTATAAATTTGTGTCGCTCTCCGCTCCTCTGTCTGACTTCGTTTTCCCTCTTCTTCTGTGCTGCTCACCGGAAAAGACTGTCTCCGACGAAGCTTCTTTTCTAGGTTTCTCTCATTTCTTCTCATTCAATTTCTCTTCTGATTAAAGTCGTAGAAGAGCATTACTTATGTGATTTTGTCTCCTGGATTGAACTCTTTACAGATATCCGACCTCGGCTCGTGCTCATGGCTACCTTTGGTGCGGCGGCTACCACGAACACTAACCCTAATAAATCCTATGAGGTATTCCTTCTATGTCTCTGGGTTTCTTCTGTGACCGTTGATTATTCCGTTTATCTGTTTGCAGTTGGTTTTTGTATATTAGGTGTTGTTCTAATCCCTGAGATCACTATTATCCTTTTCTGTCTTCTTTCGTTGGGATGTTAACTTCGGACTTGTAAGATTCGTCGATTTAATCTTGCTGTTAGTGTACTAGGGTCTTACGGCTGAGATCGAACGGTGGGATTTATGATTTAACCGTTTGTTTCATGCTTACTTCACATTTTTATGAGATTCGTCTTTAGTGTATCTCATTGACGTTTCTAGAAAGCCAAATTGATTTCTCAGAAAGTCTAACCTTGGCGTATTGCTGACAAATTCCATGCTAGTGTCTTGTTTTGTAGCTCAAATCGTTTAGCTTTTGACTGAATACTAATGGTTTTGTATCCTACTGAATGAAATCTTTTTGAGACGGGTTTAATTCCTTTGTATACTTCTCATTAAGGTTTGCATTTTCCTGCAGGTTACCCCATCACCCGCAGATTCTGTTTCGAGCTTAAGTTTTAGTCCAAGAGCCGATATACTTGTGGCCACTTCATGGGACAATCAGGTTTTCTGTTAATTCTTTGGCTCCTTCGTTTTTTCATGGCTTAAAATGTAACTTGTTAGTCCTTATACAATGGAGTCACCCTCTGAAATATGGACGTATTTATATTGTAAATTATATTGAGTTTGCTTCTTCTATTAACAGGTGAGGTGTTGGGAAATATCTCGTAGTGGAACTTCTCTAGCCAGTGCTCCAAAAGCATCAATATCGCATGATCAGCCGGTAATATGCTGTTACCTTCTATCGTTTTTTTTATATGTATAATCTTGCTTTCGTTTCTGCTTAGATTCTGATGACTATATCTTTTCTTTTCTTCTTTTTGTTGTGATGAAGGTCTTATGTTCTGCTTGGAAAGATGATGGAACCACAGTCTTTACTGGAGGATGTGATAAGCAAGCAAAAATGTGGCCCTTGTTGTCAGGTGGTCAACCTATAACTGTAGCCATGCACGATGGTCCTATTTCAGACATGGCCTGGATCCCGGGAATGAATCTCCTCGTAACTGGAAGCTGGGATAAAACTTTGAAGTATGAATGATTTTTCATCATATTATACGACGATATCAAGCTAATGATAGAATTTCCTGACTGATAAAACTATTTAGCCCGTAAGGTTTATTTAACAATGTATATATCGGTTTTCCTTTCAGATATTGGGACACAAGACAGCAAACTCCTGTGCATACCCAACAGCTTCCAGATAAATGCTATGCATTGTCTGTGAAACATCCTCTGATGGTTGTCGGAACTGCAGATAGAAATTTGATAGTCTTCAACTTGCAAAATCCTCAGGTAAGATTTTGTCCTTTTTTTCCATTTTATAACTTGTGCATGAGTTCTGAGGGCTAAGAATGTTGAGCATCACATGGTTTCGGGAATTCATGATCAATTTAGGACCATTCTGTCTCACAAATAACAAGTCTCCTCGTCTTTCTGACACATGAAAGGCTTTCGACCATCAGATAACTGTTTCTCTTGTGTATTAAATAAACTTTTTATTGATTTGGTGAACTGTAGACGGAGTTCAAGAGAATTTCTTCCCCACTCAAGTACCAGACGAGGTGTGTTACTGCCTTTCCTGATCAGCAAGGATTTTTGGTATGTCTTATTACATATATAATTTCTGAAGTGTTTGGGTTAATTTGGTAGTATAGGTAATTAGCTTGTTTTCTGATGCCAACGTTTAGGTTAAACGTATACCAATGTTTTCCTTTTCATTCTGGAGAAGTTTCTATAGGTTATTCTAATGACGCATGAAGTGTTTTAATGTTGGAAGTTTTTTTTATTAGTCAGATTCAGATCACACAAAATGTTCAATATATAACCAGATCCAATGCTCTCTGTAGGTTGGTTCAATTGAGGGGCGGGTCGGTGTCCATCATCTGGATGATTCTCAACAGAGCAAAAACTTCACATTCAAATGCCACAGAGATGGCAATGAGATATATTCTGTGAACTCTCTGAATTTCCACCCGGTAAGGCTCTGTAGCCTTAAGCTTCAACACCATGGAAACTAGTAGAATTGTACAAATGTTGATTGTCTGAGTTGTGTTATTAAGGTACATGGCACTTTTGCCACTGCTGGCTCCGATGGTGCTTTCAATTTCTGGGACAAGGATAGTAAACAAAGACTCAAGGTAATTATCATGTTGCATATGTGGGCTTTTCATTCCACTCTTTTTCTTCTTCTTCTTCTGAAATTTATAACATGGTCTAACATATTTTGTGCACATTGTTCCCCACGAATGTCTCAGGCCATGTCAAGGTGCAATCAGCCGATTCCTTGCAGTTCGTTTAATCATGATGGGTCGATATATGCGTATGCGGTATGCTACATCTTCTCTGGTTTCACTTTATTATATGGTCAACTTGGCACCATAGAAGCACTGATGTTATATGTGCAAAATCGAAAGAGTATTTTTGTTCTAATCATAATTCAAAAACCTTTCGAGTAGATAGAGTAAAAGGATGGTTTTAAACGTTTTATTGTAGTCGTGCTATGACTGGAGCAAAGGTGCAGAGAATCACAACCCGGCAACTGCGAAAAGCAGCATTTTCTTGCATCTCCCACAGGTGTGTGTGCGCGCCTCGCTCATAAATAATAATTATTATACATATAACCCAATCATGTTGACAAGCATTAGTAGTATGTAGTAGTAGTGTGTATAATATTGATGGCATTTGTTTTGAATGAATTGCAGGAAAGTGAGGTTAAGGCGAAGCCAAGAGTAGCAACCGGCAGAAAATGAGATATTGCTATAATGAGTCGGCTGATTTTTTCCTAGTGATCTGTCGTGTTTTTTTTTTTAGGTTCTTGATATCGTTGGACGTTTGAATATCCCATATATAATAGATCTGAGTCTTGTTTCGTCATGTAAAAGTAAATCCTCCCGTCTTTCTCAGATGTTTCTCTCGTTTGGCTCAATATCGAGTTGTTTCTCCTTTTAGGCTCACTTAGGGAATTATTTTGTCAAGACTTCTCTAAAACATAATGAGTTTTTTTTCCCTACAACATCTAATCATCTAATATTATCCTTAGTCTACATTAGTATATAACTAATATAAGAAAAATCAATTAGACAATATATTACAAAGATTTTGCATAAAACATACAAAACATTTTCTTTGTGAAAGAAAACAAACATGCATCTTAAACCGGAGAAAGAGTATCATCAAATCAATCATGCAAGTATCATCAAAATGAAAACAAGGGAAAATGTGGAGTATATATCTTTTCTTTAATTTGTGCACTCTACTATATGAGCAAATTCTCCTAATTATGGTTAGTGAAGAGAGAGGTGGCAGTTGATGAGTGGAAGGGGGAGATGAAAGCGGGTGAGAGCGAAGGACCTGGACTCGGAGAAAGCACAAAACTCCCGCTCCTTCACTACAAGTGCCCTTAATTATCTTCACTCTCTCTTTCTCTCTCTTCCCCCTATATAACCCCCTTCAACTTCAACCTTCATTCTTACATAAAAATAATTTCTTTTTTTCTATAAAAATATATATATATATATCTATCTATTTTTCTCCCTTTTTGTTTCTTCTGTTTCGTTAAATAACAACAGAAAAGAAAAGAAAAAGATTGAGAAAATTTTCAGTTTGAAAACACACAAAAAGCTGCAGAGAAACTTGGAAAAAAAAAACTAATTTTGTCAAGCAAGAAAGAGTGAAAAAGAAAAGTTAAGTCGACAGGCAGAAACCCCTGTTTCTGAAAATATTAAGATGGCAGGGAAAGATTCTAGCTGGGACGATATCAAGAACGAAGGCGTCGACCTCGTAAGCATTCTCTTTCTAATTAAGTATCTTGTGTTGCTCTTTATAGATTCCAGTCTTTACGTTGAAACGCTAACTCTTTTGGAACAGGAGAAGATACCGATCGAGGAGGTGCTTACGCAGCTTAGATGTACAAGGGAAGGACTCACCAGCGACGAAGGCCATACTCGGCTCGAGATCTTTGGTCCTAACAAGCTCGAGGAGAAAAAGGCAAGCAATGACCTTGAAATGAAAACCTTACTCTTTCGATTTCTCTGTTTCGAAACTAATACTTTCCCATAATTATTATTATATGACACAGGAAAGCAAGGTTTTGAAGTTCTTAGGATTTATGTGGAACCCTCTCTCATGGGTCATGGAGTTGGCTGCTATAATGGCCATCGTCTTGGCCAACGGAGGAGTATATCACCCTTTACTAATCTCCACTCTTTTCTTTGCACAAACCCGGATCCATATCTTTCTGAATTACTATATATATATATATATATATATATATATATATATAATAACACATTTGTGAAAATCTGCAGGGTAGGCCACCAGATTGGCAAGATTTCGTGGGTATCACGGTTCTTCTAATCATAAACTCTACCATAAGCTTCATTGAAGAAAACAACGCCGGAAACGCAGCAGCCGCTTTGATGGCCGGTCTAGCTCCCAAAACCAAAGTAAGCTATTCACAAACTTTTATTAATGTATACAAGCAACTAAGTAAATTGGATGATGACTAATAACGTGCTCCTCACTACTTGAAGCTTCTGAGAGATGGGAAGTGGAGCGAGCAAGAGGCAGCTATATTGGTTCCCGGAGACATTATCAGCATCAAACTTGGTGACATTATTCCAGCAGATGGTCGTCTCTTGGACGGTGATCCTCTCAAGGTTGACCAATCTGCTCTCACTGGTGAGTCTTTACCAGTAACTAAGAACCCTGGCCAAGAGGTTTACTCTGGTTCCACCTGCAAACAAGGAGAGATAGAAGCTGTTGTGATCGCCACTGGTGTTCATACTTTCTTCGGCAAAGCCGCTCATCTTGTTGACAGCACAAACCAAGAAGGCCATTTCCAGAAAGTGTTGACTGCTATTGGAAACTTCTGCATCTGCTCCATCGGAATTGGTATGATCATTGAGATCGTTGTGATGTATCCTATTCAGCACCGTGCCTATAGAGATGGAATCGACAACCTTCTGGTGCTTCTCATTGGAGGAATCCCGATCGCTATGCCAACTGTTTTGTCTGTCACCATGGCCATTGGATCTCACCGTCTCTCCCAACAAGGAGCTATCACAAAGAGAATGACAGCGATTGAAGAAATGGCTGGCATGGATGTTTTATGCAGTGACAAGACTGGAACTCTTACACTCAACAAGCTTACTGTCGACAAGAGCATGGTTGAGGTTTTTGTCAAAGACTTGGACAAGGACCAGCTTCTTGTGAATGCAGCAAGAGCCTCCAGAGTTGAAAACCAAGATGCTATCGATGCCTGCATCGTAGGAATGCTTGGAGATCCTAGAGAAGCAAGAGAGGGCATCACTGAAGTCCATTTCTTTCCTTTTAACCCCGTCGACAAGCGTACTGCTATCACTTACATTGACTCTAATGGAAACTGGCACCGTGTCAGCAAAGGAGCCCCAGAGCAAGTAAGACAACAAAAAAAAGATTTGCATATATGTTCTTCTTCTCTCAAGAGTGTTTTTAGTTCTTTCCCACTGATTGGTCTCTGTAACTTTTCAGATCATTGAGCTCTGTAACCTTCGCGAGGATACAAAGAAGAGAGCTCATGACATCATTGACAAGTTTGCCGACAGAGGACTTCGTTCTCTTGCTGTTGGCAGACAGGTAAAAGCTTTAATTAGTGTAAATCCCAAAACTTTGGAGACAGTTTGTGTTTTTCTCTCTTAAATAAATGCTCTTTTCTTCTTTTGACTATTAAATAGACTGTCTCTGCGAAAGACAAGAATAGCCCCGGAGAGCCATGGGAGTTTCTTGGTCTTTTACCTCTCTTTGACCCTCCAAGACATGACAGTGCAGAGACAATCAGGCGTGCCCTTGACCTCGGTGTCAATGTCAAGATGATCACTGGTGACCAGCTCGCCATCGGTAAGGAAACTGGTCGTAGACTCGGTATGGGAACCAACATGTATCCTTCTTCTGCTCTACTTGGACAGGAGAAGGATGAATCTATATCTAGCCTTCCTGTTGATGAACTCATCGAGATGGCTGATGGATTCGCCGGTGTCTTCCCTGGTAAAACATCCAAACCTAATGAAACATTCTCTCTTAATTAGTAGATTCATGTATTCACAACTGAATATCTTTCATCTCTTTGATTAGAACACAAGTACGAGATTGTGAAGAGGCTCCAGGAGATGAAGCACATTTGCGGCATGACTGGAGATGGAGTGAACGATGCCCCGGCTCTCAAGAGAGCTGACATTGGAATAGCTGTTGCTGATGCGACTGATGCAGCGAGAAGTGCATCTGACATTGTATTAACAGAGCCAGGGCTCAGTGTTATAGTTAGTGCTGTCCTAACGAGCAGAGCCATCTTCCAGAGAATGAAGAACTACACAATCTATGCAGTTTCCATCACTATCCGTGTAGTCATGGGATTTTTGCTTCTTGCGCTCATATGGAAGTTCGACTTCTCACCATTCATGGTCTTGGTAATCGCGATCCTGAATGATGGTACCATCATGACGATATCAAAGGACAGAGTAAAGCCGTCTCCACTTCCTGATTCATGGAAACTCAAAGAGATATTTGCCACAGGCGTTGTTCTTGGCACTTACCTAGCAGTCATGACTGTAGTTTTCTTCTGGGCTGCAGAGAGCACTGACTTCTTCTCGGTAAGAGAACTCTTACCTTACTATGAGTACTCAGATCACCACATCAAGTAAGTGTCTTTGACCCTCATTTTTGTCCTTGGTGCAGGCAGAGTTTGGGGTGAGACCTATCAGTGGCAATCCGCACGAGCTTACAGCAGCTATTTACCTCCAAGTTAGTATCGTTAGCCAGGCGCTTATCTTTGTCACAAGGTCACGTAGCTGGTCATATGTCGAACGTCCTGGCTTCTGGTTGGTCTCTGCTTTCTTCATAGCTCAGCTGGTGAGTTAAAGCCTCATGTCTTATGAAATACTAATATTGTGGAAGAAGAAGAGGCCACACTATACTGACACTGTTCTTTTTTCTTAATACAAGATTGCTACTCTCATTGCCGTGTACGCAAACTGGAATTTCGCAAGAATCAGAGGTATTGGGTGGGGATGGGCTGGAGTTATCTGGCTCTATAGTATAGTTACTTATATCCCATTGGACATCCTCAAGTTCATCATCCGGTATTCACTAAGTGGTAGAGCCTGGGATAATGTCATTGAGAACAAGGTGCTTTTTTAATAAGAACAAGAACACTTTGTCTTTTTTTTTTTTTGGGCAGTACAGTTTCTAAGTTTGTTCCTTTTTGTTCAGACCGCTTTCACGTCAAAGAAAGACTATGGAAAAGGAGAGAGGGAAGCACAATGGGCACAAGCTCAACGTACCCTTCACGGATTGCAGTCTCCACAAACCTCAGACATGTTTAACGACAAGAGCACTTACAGAGAACTTTCAGAGATAGCAGATCAGGCCAAGAGACGGGCTGAAGTCGCAAGGCAACGCTCAAGTAACTGATTGATCCATAAAAAATCTGTTCCTCAGAATATGGCCTAACAATATCCTCTTCTCTTGTAATTTCAGGTTAAGAGAGCGTCATACCTTGAAAGGTCACGTGGAATCAGTAGTGAAGCAGAAGGGACTTGACATCGAGGCTATCCAGCAACACTACACCCTGTGATTTCAGAAACAAGTGTTTCTCAGTTTAGTTTAGAACCAACTACAAGAGTATTGAGTAGTAATAATAAACCACCTTCATTATTAGAAAATACTGCAAAAGAAAAAGAGAAAAAGAAATGTTTCTTTTATTAGCAGTGGCTGTTGGCTGCTTTATCTGTTTTGAGATATTCTTGTTTTTTGCCTTTACAAAAGTAATAAGATTTTACAGTTACTTAGAAGAATTCTTATTCCACCATTGAGTTTTCTTCGAGTCTTTTGCCTAAGAAAGAGAAAATGCATCACAGCTGAAAGTAAGAATGCTCAAATCTTCATTGCCAATGTGAACAATACCAAACGATTTTCTTCAATCCAGTGTACCTGTGCTGAATCTGCAATTCTTGGCCTTCACTAATAAAACATGAGGAGAAATATAATAGCACAAGGAATGAGATAAAGAGTTAAGAGAAATTATAACCATTGAACATTTACTCTCAGTAAATACTGATACAGACTTGAGGACCAACAAAAAAAAAAAATCTGATTTAGATCAACACTGTAGTCTGTACAATCCATTAAGTAACAGATGGTATATATTCTAAGACTCTCTCTTACAACTGTGTAAAAACTCTAATCTACTCTCCCGTTGCTTCACGGACAAAGCTAGATGATGCTTTACTGATGCAGCTTTGTCTGGCTTCGCCTTGCATGCTCAAGATACCAGAGGGCTGCTTCCGCTGCATGCTCAGCCGCAGCTTTCTTCTTGCGTTTGGGATCCCCAAAACACTCCAAAACAGTTGTCCCTGAAGAATCTCTAATCTCAACCACAGTTTTGTATGTAAATCTGAACCAAACAAAAAAAAAAAGGAACCAAGTTCACTCAAAAAGTTCGTGATTCTGAGAGACTTACGAAGCAAGTGCAGGTAAGTTAATGTTCACTTACAATCTCATATGGCAAGGTCCATCGACTCTGCAGCACTCATAAACCGGAGGTTTCCACCGCATGGAACTACATATTTCGTGTAACACCAATTTTGCTGACCCTTTCTTCGTTTCAGCTGAACCAAGCGTTACACAAATGGAGCAGATTTCAGTTTGAATTACTAAAAAAAAATTCAAGAAAATCCAATCTCTTTTATATTTCCTAAAAATTGTATAACGAATTAAACCTAAAAGTTGTGAGATGATTCTAAGTTACAACAAGAAGATGATCTAAACAAACTATGAGGTGAAGAAAAATTGCACCTTTAGGTTTTTGTTTGGTGTCTTCTTCTTCTTCTTCTTGTGGTTTGGGAACTAGCTTCTTCTCTTGTTTGATGTTTACGGTTCTTGTGCTGTTAGGATCAATCTGAATGTTAGAGAAGGACAGCGATTTGACATTGTCTTCTTCAACCCCATTAAGCATTTTAAGCTTCAACTCACTCTTCTCTTCAAATCTCTGCTTTGCAACATTAACTGGCTCCGTCATTGTTCTTGGTCTCTGATACATGGACAAAACAATTGAAGAAGATTCATCACTGAATCCGACAAAATTAATTGTCTCAAAACAATTGAAGATTTTTTAGACAAATTTTGGAATGAAAAATAAAGCCAAATCTATGAGGAAAATCACAGAACAATCGAAACTCAGGGATTCTTCTATCTTATTAACCTAGAATAATCCTTATAAAAACAAATCGATTTAGTACCAGAATATTATCTGTTTCATCTTCACGCCCTCTAATAAAGAGGAGATGAAAATATTACCGGAGAGGAATTTGTGGGGATAGAAGATGGATCGAGAGGAGGAATATCCTTGAGACTGATGATAGATCTTGATGGGTTTTGGCTTATCCGCTTCGTTTTCTGATCCTCCATCTTTCATAGTAGTATCTCACAATTCGTCGCGTTTCGTTTCGGGAATCGAGAAATTGCATGAAACAGAATTTGAAAGAAAATATGCAATATTGATTATATCGACAACAGATAAGGTTTAATTAATTAAGTCAATTTATTCATGGTTTACCCATTTTCCTTCTCTTATGGCCGGTTGAAAAAGTCATACAGTAAAAGTTTTTTTTTTTACTCTCGCCTAAGCTTAATTAATTAAATTTACCAAATTACTTTGACTCTGTACTATGATCAATAATGAGCTACTCATTTATGTGAACTTCTGTATTCAGTTTCTCGTCGCAATGATCAACAGAGAAAAAAAAAAAAAAAAAAGTGGAATTTGCCGATGAACAAACCAAAAAAAAAAATCATCACATGCAAGTTGAAATAAAAAAGCTACAAAGGGAAGATTTTTCTCTCATAAAATTCGCAATGATCCGCCGAGATCAACTGGTAAAAGAGGGATGAGTGAGTGCAAGACATCGGTTATAAGTGGTCTGTAACTTGGCTCTGGCTGGACACACAAGACAGCTACCGCAGCAACCTGTTCGGATCCAATCCAGAATATTTTTCAAAACAAAAAATAATGAATCTTTTTCCGATATGTGGGTAGTAAAATCTTGGGTATGAAGAAAAATGACTTTTTTGATGAAACTGACCTGGTAGAGATGCTTCAAGTCCATGGTTCCTTTGATTGCAGGATCCAAGATGTTGGGCAGATTAGCTCTGTCACTGAGCTTAGGTACAGCCTGTTCAAGAAAGATAGAAAATATCATAAGCCAGAGGTTTTTCCTGCTAAAACAATAAACTTTCTCGGGAAAGTGTATGTACCCAAGTGACGACAGATTCTGGTTCCGATGATGGTTTCTCGGCTGATTTCTTCCCCAGGAGAAGTTCTAGGAGAATCACCCCAAAAGCGTAGACATCATTCTTGTCTGTAACTTTCCCTGAAAGATGAATCAAAGATGAAGATCGAAACCTGAAGGCTGCTATAATGTGAGACTAAGCATAAACTTATTACCATCAACAAGATACTCGGAAGCTCTGTTTCCTAAAGTTCCAGGAAGCTTCAGGTTTCTGTTCTGAGTTGCGAACCCAAAATCTGATATCTGAAGAGAAGCAAAATGTGGCCTTACAACTCGTATGTCTATCACAAGAACTTTACATTATATCAATCTTTGCTCTTCTTACCTTTGCGTTGAACTCCGAGTCTAGAAGGATGTTAGATGATTTTAAGTCTCTGTGAACTACCGGAGGGTGGCAATGCTCGTGAAGATACTCTAATCCTCTTTATAAAAGAGAAAAATTTGTAAGCATACAGTTATGCTTTACTGCTTTGGAGATCACAGGAAACTGCTAAATGTGTGAAACGTAATTATCGATGAATGGACTTTACCGTGCTATATCAACCGCGATTTTCATCCTAAGCTGCCAAGTCAAACCTGAACCTTGGCTAGGCCCTTAAAGTATACAAACGAAGGAGAAACAAAACATCAAAATCAGAAGATCGAAACAAAAAGTGCCTAAACTTGGATCATCTTCCTTACCATGCAACTGACTTTCCAAAGATCCATTCTGCATCATCTCATACACAATACATCTCGTTTGGCGATATACACAAAACCCCAATAGGGAGATTATGTTCTGATGCTTGATCTTAGCCAACCAATCTACCTCACTCTGCATACAAATTCAACAAGAAACCAAAAAAAAGTTACGGTTTGTGTTATCGAATGAGATAGTTGGAGTCTGTGGAATCTTATGGGTCAAGCCAATCAAACCTCAAACTGTTTTTCAATGTCTATCTCCCCACCACCACCATCAAGTTTCTTCACAGTGACAGAGGAGTTTTCATCAAGAAAAGCTCTGTAAAGACAACCACGACCACCTCGGCTCAACACATTACTATCACTGAACTTGTTTGTTGCAGATTCCAGCAACTGATAATCATACACAGGGATAGTTCCTTTCCTCACAGACACAGAATCAATCTTGTGTACAATGGGCTTCGTGGATACACTCTTCACAGAATCTTATAAGATAAGCAAATTACCAAGATAAGCCTCCACTAGCAACAAAGAGCCAAGAAATAACAAAATTGTAAAGATACACAAGAGATAAACATACATACCGGATTTTTGTTTGATCCCGGTGAAGCTGTTCTTTAGATTTCTGTACCTCCATAGCAAGAGGTACACAAGGAACACGACTGTGACACAGAGGAGAGTCGATGAGACTATAAGAGCAATTAAAATCTTCTTGTTCAAGTCCTCGCGAAGCACCACTTTAACAATTGGAGGTCCTGAGGATGTAAAATATAAAAAGGTGAACTTTTTTTTGTTAAAGATCTCGCTGAATCATTCTTTGCCTAATTATCGGAAAGTTTTCAGTTTTCTTCCGGAGACATTATTAATTCAACTAAATTCGATTCATTTAGACATCTTTCAGCAAGCCCATTTCGGCAATTTCACGAACTAGTAAGACCAAACAGCTCAAATCAGCAGCTATGTTCTGAATTTGTCCTCTCCCTCTAGGGCAACATCGAGAAAATCAAAAAGGGTAGAAACTAATTATTACCTGGGGATTGAGCTCCCATTCCCTGAGAAATAGGGATTTCGTGGGGAGTGCCAGAAACGAAAACAACGGAAGATTCTTCTGATTTAATCACAGCAGCGAAGGAGAAGATGGAGAAACCCAGAACCCAAATGGGAAGTAGAAGAAACAGGAAATGACGAAGGAAGCACATTTTTGTTTCACAAACATGCACAGAAAAGACAAAAAAAGAAAGAAAAGAGAGACAAGATAGAATATGAAACTATGAAGTATAATCCACTTCTTATTCTTGTTAAGTTGATGTTTTTCGTAAATCTTGTTTATCGAGATGGAAATCTTGAGATTATCTTGTCTGGAGATGGAGACAAGAGAGGAAGACACTGTTGGGGTTGGGAAACAGAGACAAGGACAAGGTTTTAGGTGTTTGGTCTTCATGTGGCAGTTATGAAAAGGTGGAAACCAAAAAAAAGAGAGTGCCCGAGGAGAGAGAGAGGCGGACGTGGGTGATAAGACGTGGAATTGTGGACTGATAGATAAATTAGATTACAAAGCTCCACTTCCTTTACAGAATCTTTCATTTTGATTTTCTGTAGATTTCAAAATTTAACATCCCAATGCTACAAGATATATTCAAACCTTTCTCTTTTATACGTAAAGCTAAAAGAAATATTTTATACTACTAATGTTTTCTCATTCCTGAAAGCATCAGTCCATTTAATTTCATAAACAATGTATAACATAGGTCTGGATTCGAACCAAAAAAAAGATTTGAGTTGTTATTAGGTTTCTACGATTACAAAGTTCTAGATGAAATTCTGTATATTCTTAAGTTCAAAATTAGAACATGTAATATGATTTCGCTAAATAGTAAATATTATTCAATAATCTAATTCTTTGAACTTTACTTCTTATATTTTTTTAGTTGAGTTCTGATATTTAGTTAGTGAATTTATGATGCGGATATAATGGATTGTTTAAAAATACATATAAAAGGATTATGTAATCTCACTAGTTTTGTTTGCATCGAGGCGCATTAATCCAAAGGATACGATTGGGTCAGTGCGTAAATTCAATTCATGCGGATTTAGTGAACAAAAGGACAAGTCGTGGTTTAAGAGTGAATCCAACAAAAAAGAAAAATTAAAAATTAAAAAAAATGGACAAAGCTCCAAAACTTTGAGCATTATTCATGTGAACTTTCTATATCTGTCCTCTTCAACTTTAATTACCGACTCAATTGGTCACATACTCAGACAGCTGTATAGAGTTGACAACAAAAAAAAAAACAATTTTTAAAAATGGAGTAATTGGGCCTTGAAATAAAAATGAACCTGAGATAATATTGGGTCATGACAGGCCCAACAAATCAAAGTGTTTCGAGATTCCGAATGGGATGTAGGTGACCAGTCATTATCGAGAACAAATTTGTAAACTCTTTTCACTACACTGATTCTGCTATCTTCAATCGAATTTGGGGGATGAGAGGATCCATGGATTTACCTGAAGAATGTTGGGAATTGATCTGTAAACTCATTGATGAAGATGACTATCGGTTCCTGGAATCTGTTTCACTCGTATCGACCTCTTTCCTCGCCATCACCAATCGCGTTCGCTCCACTTTCATCATCACCGATCGTACTGTTCCCTTTCTCCATCGGCATCTCCTTCGGTTCCGGAAGCTGAAGCGAATCAGGTTCCATGATTTCCATGAAGATCTCAATTCGTCTCTTCTGCAGGTTTCGCTTTCCGGTTTAGATATCGAGTCGCTCGATGTGTCGGGAATGCCGTATTTTCCAGATTTCGGGATGAAGATGATGAGAAATCTCAAGGAATTGAACTGTTCTGGAGTTGGGGAATTGCGAGAAAGCGATCTGGTTTCGATCGGAGCGTGTTTCCCATCTCTACAGAAGCTGGACATAAGCTATCCTGACTCTCTTCCGAGTCCCGTCTCTGATTCTGGGATTATCAGTCTTTCGTCAAATCTCAAGGGGCTCTTGAAGATCAACGTTTCTGGTAATAACCTAATCACAGATAAATCTTTGGTTTCTCTATCGCGGAATTGTGTCCTCTTGAGAGAAATAATCTTCCGTGACTGCGATTTCATTTCATCCGGTTGCATCGAATTCCTTGTGCGCAATTCTGAGAACTTGGAGTCTCTTGCGATCAATGGAATCGGATGGAGGCCCAGGGCTTCCTTCTCCAACGATGCCTTCTTATTCGCTCGCTCTTTGTCTAAGCTTGATCTCTCGGATTCGTTTCTGTCCGATGACTTGCTCCGTTTGATTGCCGATGCCAAGTTCCCTCTAAAGAAGCTTCTTCTCTCCAATTGCCACTGTCTCAGTTTTGATGGGCTCTTGTATTTTCTTGCTAAGCACCAAACACTAGTTCACTTGAATCTTGAAGGATCAAGTTTCCTCTCTGATGAGATGATAGTGGAATTAGGGGTGTTCCTTCGGCGCTTAACCTTTGTGAACCTCAGTTTCTGTGCCAAGTTAACTGGTGTGGCATTCTTCAACATCATCGAAAGATGTGTGTCCCTCAAGCGCATGAGAATGGAAGGGACGAATTTTGGAGTGGAAGAATACTCCAAGGAGCTGGATATCAAGTCAGGGATCAAGTCGTTGTGCATATCTGGAAACCACAATTTGAGCGACGAGTGTCTCGAGAAGATATCACGCCATTGCCCTTTTGTAGAAACTCTTGATGTGGCTCAGTGTCCTGGCATCACGAGAGATGGGATTCTTGAAGTCTTGAGGAATTGTGGCGAGCTAAGATCTTTGGATATAAGCGGATGCACTGGCATAAGGGGTTTTGGTGTAGTAGACTTTGAGCTTCCAAAGTTGGAGTCTCTGCGAGCATGTGGAACTTGGATCGACGACCAAGACCTAGATATGATCAGCAAAATATGTCGAGGGCTGTTGCATCTTGATCTGAAAGGATGCTTGACTGTGGGATCAAGAGGGGTGAAGGAAGTTGTGCAGAGCTGCAAACGTTTAAGAGAGATAAACCTTGGGTATTGTAAAGTTGATGATGGAATTTTCACTTGGATGGTTTGTGCAAATCCATCTCTTAGGAAAATAGTACCCCCGTATGGTTTTTCTCCAACTAGAAAACTCCACAGCTTCTTGCTGCGTCATGGATGTGTAATCTGCCAAGATTTTTCTAAGATGCTTTCTAAAGGATACAATGCCAATGGAAGAGATGGTGACAACAGTGACTAGACTGGTCGTTTGACCCGATGAACTTTGGATTGATTTGTGAAGAAAGAAGAATCTGCAAAATAGTCTGAATGAAGAAAACGGGTTGATCTTATAGTTCGGGTTCATATTTCTCACTTTCCATGTTTAAGATTTGTCCAGCCACAAGCGGGATTGAGTTTTCGTCAGATACTCGTCCCTTCTCCTCGTGTTTATAAGTAGAACATCACAACATCAACTCTGCTTTGTTTTTCTTCCTGAAATAATGCAAAAAAAGTATCAGGCTTTCAGTAATCAGTATTCTTACATGGTATCGTTAACAACAAATCAACTACAAAGCATATGATATGTATCATAGTCTACGGAAGATCTCATTTCAGACTTTTTTTTTTTTTTTTGATAAGGATCTTTATTAAAAGTAATTGATCTGCTAAACTAAAAGACTTCAAGATTTAAAAAGGAAAAACTTACAGCTTGCTCTCTCAAATGTCGAAGAATAACGAACCGGTCAAAAACATCGCCTGAATCTCTCGTCGGCGAATAGTTCCGACGGGAATCGACAAGAGGCTCCCTAGTAAAGCAGTTCGACGATGGTGATTGAGAGGGTATGTTTGATGGCAATGTCGAGGAAATACGGATCACAGATGCGTTCAAGTGGAACCTGTGTTAGTGTCTGAGGAGATGAAGCGCCATGATTCTTACTTCTTAGGAGCGTAAGATGAAGAAGACGAGAGAATCATGTTATAAGAAAACTGGCGTTTAAACTGCCTAAAAAAGAAGTAAAAAAACTGGCGTCAATTGATTTATCCCGGTCCTATATAAACCGAATTTAGCTACGCGATGGTTCAGATTGAAGGAACGGTTTACTTTAAATTTTTAAACCAATCACTGCCTTCTGAAATCTGAATCCTCCTAATTTGGTAAATGCCACTGATGAAGATTGATTTATCGATTCCTTGGATTTGTTTCGCTCGAATTAACTAACTGTGATTGTTCACTTTTCATGTTTGAGATGGATATGTGTTCTAGAATTAACTTTATTATCAATTCCCGGGTAATCGAAGGGTCAATGTCAACGAAATAAACCCACAAATTAATTTCTTTGCCTAAAGAGGCTGCAATAATAATCTGTGGTAGAACAAGTTTCCTCCCCAAAATGGTGATGGATAATAGACACACATTCTCTCTTTTGTCAAAAGTAAAAGAACAAAAAGAGGAGCACCGAGATCACGATTCATTGAGTCACTAGCAAAAAAGTTTAACACTTGTGATCTGGGTTGTCACGAAGGCCGAGTTTTGACAGTGAAAGGCAGTAAGAGTCCCAGTCCGTTCGTCTCATATACTTTAACAGTTTCTTCCGTCTCTGCACCATTGCTATAAGTCCCTTTCGCGAATGCTTGTCCTATATTTGGTTATAGGATTCCCGGTTAGGTTACCGTAGAAAACTGCCCCTACTAGCTTCAGGAAAAGGATTAAAAAAAAAAGGATTGAAAGTTTACCTTCTTATGTAGAACAGAGGACAGATGCTTGATCTTAGTAGTCAGTTGCGCCACTACAAGGAAAGACCATTGAGATCACTAAACAATAATGCAAAGAGGCAATGATCTCTTGTAGCTAAAGGCAAACATTGATCAGAAGAGTTGTTACTTATGCGCAGGAATCAGCTTACCTTGAACACGTGCAGAACCACAATCCGATTCCGACATCTTGAACTCTTCCCTGACCTTTGCAAGCTCGATTTTCATCTTCTCCGCAGAAGACATGTTATCCGGGTGGAAATACTGCGTTTGAATTTACACATGTATAACATAATCAACGCCAAACAAAAAAAATCTTAGATGGTTACAAGCTTAAGGATTAAAGAACTAAGAACGGAAAAAGACTCACAGTTTCAACTAGCTGCTCTTTCGGAGGCTCAAGTAAATACTTCGGTGTAGTTATAAAGCCGAAAATATCCAAGTTGTTAACTGCAAGCAAAATTAACCTTCCAGTTACATCACAACAAGGAACAGCAAATCAAAAACAATAACCTAGAAACGACCTCAAGCCCCAAGCATAAAAATCAATACTTTGCTGTCGTATAGGAAGTAGTTCACAAGTAAGAGATGGAGCGTTATAGTGAGTTAAAATCAGAATCCACAGAAAATTAATTCAATTCTATCTTAAAGCAACCATTTATAACTAGACAGTCAATATCTAAAGACGCACACAGAGAAAGAAAGAGTCGTGAGCGTACAGGCTTGTGCTCTCTTGGCTTCCTCGTTCTTGGATTGAACATCAAACCTCAACTCATTGAAAGCAAACCCCTTCCTCGTTTTCTGTGCTGCTTCCTCTTCCACCTCCCTTAGCTTTACAAGCCTCTGATTCAGCTCCTGCAACGAGAACCAACCTTCTTCTTTCTTTCCTTGTGGCCTGTACAGCCTTAGTATCTCCCCCAATTCTTGTGGTTCATAACGCTTGATAAACTCCGATTTCATCTCCTCTGTATCATCTTCTTTATTCTTCCCTTCTTCTAATCGCTCCCCATACACGGAAATGGGCAATCCCTCTGCTCCGCCGAACACATTTGAACGCACATTTTCAGTGGGTTTCGTCTTCATAATGCTCTTAAGGCTTGATAAATTTAAATTGGATAATCTGGTCTCGGTGTTAGCTTGCGACCTCATCTGTCTTAAGTTTTGTTTTAGGCTTTCATAACCCGTACCCTCGGCTTTACGAGTCCCATAATCTCCGGGTTTTGATAGCACGTTTCGCTTGTAAAGATCCTGCAAATCCCTCGCCGGAGGAGCTGATTCTCTATTCCGGAACTCGTTGAGATTCCTCCTGATATCCTGTATATTGCCTCCGATTTGGTTACCGGAGAACGACGGCGCCTGATTCTGAGCTTTGGCATCGAATCTGACAAACTGTCTCCTCCCATCCTGAGGCTGAATCTGTGGTTTCTGTTTCAGGCTGCTCTTGATACCACTTAAGTACGAAGAGATTTTCAATTCCGACGCCGATGATGAAGAAGTCGGTGATTGAGAAGCTTGTTCGCCAGATTCGTTCCCGTCTTGAGGAGATGATGAGGAGGTTGAGAAAAGATGAATCAGAGATGGGTTAGAGTGTAACCTTTGTTTGGGTCTGGCGAGATGAAGCGCCATGGAAACTGACTTTGGGCGGCTCCAAAAGCTTTAGGGTTTTGGTGTGTAGACGAAGAAGGTGATGATGACGGAGCCGATCCCCGTTCGTTCAAGTGAAATGAAAACGATGGTCTTGGTCCGGTTATCTGTAAACCCGAATTGGTTACGCGATTTTAAAAAACGGGTTAGAAGGAACGGTTTATTTGCTTTCGGTAAAAGTAAAAGTCAAATTGAAACCATCATCATTAGTACTGACTTTAGAAAACTGAATCCTACGTTAGTGAGGTCAGAACTCAGAAAAAGTTTTATTCCCTAAGGTCAGGTTCTAACGCACTTTAAATTATTTTGTTAACTATATTAAATTAGATTACAATATCATACGACATAAGAATTAGGCGATTTTTTGCTTTGTGTGCGCTCAAATTCGTTTTTCTGTGGAGTATTATAGATTATTGGAACTATGACCATACCACTGAAAGTAGCATTTTCTTTTCAAATTCTGATTTAATGAGATTGAAATGATTTCAGTGAGATGGGATCACGTAATAGTTTAAAATAGGTTTCCTTTAAGAAACCTATGCTTTGTGAAACTACGGTGAATGGTAAGATACATTAAGGAAAAACTTAAATGTATTTAAATAATATCCATATTGACAAATATGTAAAATGTTACAGTTCGCTAGACTGCTTTAGGACAATCGGAACGATCAAAGTACATTTTCCACAGAGGAGACGTATGCGTTCGACTATTGCACGAACACATCAATGTCTTGACACGTGTTGTTACTTACACTTTGGTGTTATATCACCACCTTGTAATTTAAACGTGTCTAAAACTCATTCAATTTTCAAATCCTGATTTGTATGGTTACCTTTTCAAACTAAAACTATCCACTTTTAACTTATTTATTACCAGTAAAAAAGAAAAATGGTGTATCAATAAACACCTTCCTAAAAAGTAAAAACTAAGTAAACATGTCATTTATAAAATTCATTAATTTTAGGCTAATTATTATTTCTTTCACACATAAAACAAAAACTTCACATTAACAAGGACAAATATATAAGTCTACATACTAAAGTCATATCTTTGTACGTGAAAACAAAAAATATAAAGGATCATTTTAGTATATATCAAAAGTTGACCACTTAATTAAATATATATCAAAAGATATTTCAAAATTAAGTGACTTATACCACATCAGCAAAACTTCACATTTTTAACCCTACATCCAATTGACGTCACTACATTTGCCAAAAAAAAAAGAGAAATTAACCGACAGCAGCATTTAATGCTCGTCAGTTGGGATCAGAGATAGTCTTGATAATCATCTTCTGGATAATGACACCTGTCACCTGCCACAAGATATGGTGTATCATATGTGGTAGATGCGATATAACGGTTTATGTATTATGTTATCGTTTGCTAATTTTAATGTATATATATCCGATAACTACATATAAGTGTTATCGTTTGTCCGGATTATGCTAACAATAATATGTAATACAAGTTAACATGTTAACAATGCTTATTGTTACATGTTAACAATGACATATGTTAACATCTATATTTGTTAACAATGATATATGTTAATATTTCTACTTGTTAACAATAATATCTAAGTATTGTAACATGTTAACATAGTTTGTTACTATGGTGTAGTAAAATATATGATATTTGTTAACGTGCTAACAATAATATCAGATATTTATTAAGATGTTAACAATAATTTGTAGTGTTTGTTGGCGTGTTATCCGATATTTGATAGCGTGGTAACAATAATAACAAGTATTGTCCAAATGTTATAAGTACAATATTATTGTTAATATGTTAACATATTAGTTAGTGATGTAAAACATAAGAGAGCATCTGTAATTTAGTTGGACCCGACTAAAAAATGGTAAATAACTACTCTCTCTCTCTCTATTGCCTTTGTTGTTTTATCTTTCCTCTATTTTATCTCGATTACAGCGAACAATTGTATGTGAAATATACAGAATATTTTCTGACACTTTTTCGTATCTTTAAGATCTACCGCATGAGAGAGAACTTAATTTTTCAGATATATGTCTTAGGGGCTTTATGGACTTTTCTCAGTGAACAGTATGTGGTCAAAACCACTTTTCAGGACCACTTATTTTTTATATTATCTATTGGTATATAGTGATATTACTCAAATAACGGCACCTAACTTTAATAAGTCTAACATAAGCTAAAACATAAGGAAACATTACAAAATGGACAATGTTATACTTCCCGGAAAATGCCTACAGCAGAACCCAACATTAAGCATTGTCAAGAAGAGGGCATGAGTCTCTCACGCTCAACCAAGTCACGAAGCCATAGTAGTAGATCATGAGGTAACATAAGACTTAAGACAAAGATCCTTCGTTACACTTAGGATAATGAGAATGGCTCCTTTATTCCAACTTCTACTTTCCAATATTTGCTTCCTGCTAAAAGAAAAAAACTAATTATTAAATTTCCTGAGGAATGAAGGCCAAAGTTGAGACGTTTCCACAAATTCAATTCCAAATATTATATGGTTAACTTTATGACTAAGTGTATCTTCTATCGCCATCGACGCAATCAATCAATTTTTCATTTGTTAATGTTTGTTTTGCTTACCCTCGAGGTCGACTCTGTATGCATCAATAATCTTATTTTCCCATTTTAAAAACCCAAGCTCCACCACATCCCATTTACCAACTTTTTTTGGACCAATCAACACTAATATTGCATTTTAATTTCTAACCATGGAGAGGGAGGCATTCTCTATCTGCTTTTTTGCTTAGATCCCCTTGTTTCTCTTGCATCAACCTTCTGAGGCACAAAAACAGAGAGTGATGTTTCTCCCTTAAACTTTATAGTATAGTTCTAGACTCTTCATTAGTCTAGCATAGATTATGACTGTCATATATTATAAGAGTAAAGTTGAGGATTTGACGAGGCCAGGAAATTAAATATGAGGGAAAAATTTGTAAAGTCAAAAAGATAGCTAATAACTCGGTCATTCATTAAAAAATGTAATTGTTTTTATATGCCAAAGCATTTTTTAAAAACACAAATAAAATTACCATACAATCTAAACTAACTCACGGAATTTCCAAAAATAAGATTTTAAAAAAGAAAAAGAAAGAAAAAAAAGTTGACAAAAATAAAGGAAAATTATCCAGAATACAGGAACGCTCATGACTCGAGTCGCGCGTGTGTCCAGACGCTACCCTACTTCTCTTACTATTCCAACACACGATAAAATAAAAAAAACTTGCCACAAATGATCTATGCCACGTATGTATTCAAGGAGGGTCCCACAGTTATCAAGAAAAATAAGAAGAATTTAATTAGTTCCAATCTAACTGTGCAATAAAAACTCGATATAAATACACAAATCCACCCATTAATATGCCACAGAGATTTCTTCCTCTCTACTTTTTTCGCCACCATCTATCTCTCTCTCTTCCTCTCTTGAAAAAGGTCGAGTAGATTCCGAGTATGTCCGGCGAAAACTGGATTAGAGCGGCCATGTCTGACGATTCATTGGTGGCAGAAGCGCTGCTTCGGCTCCGCCACTCGGAACCGCCACCACCGCAGAAGACGAGCGACGCGTCTCCTCTGAAGCTGAAATGGAGCGTGCGTCAACGGAGGTCGAAAAAAGGAGACCAAACGCGAGCCAGTCCCACCACGCCTCTCTCCTGGAGCGGCGCCACGTCTATAAGCGGCGGCGGCGGCGGTGCTACCACCGTGGAATGTCTGGAGGAGTCCAGCGCCGCCGTAAAACAATCCGAGACGTTTAGATCTACGGTTTGTCCGAAACATTTCACACGATTTTTGGTTTTCCCGATTTGAAAACTCCGTGATGGCCGTAGACTGCGTAGGTTTTTGTGTCTGTGTGTGACGTTTACATCTCTCGTGATTGCGGCGTTTTACACTGTCACAGTTTTTTTTCTTCTTTTTTTTGCGTTTTCTCTTCTCGTATTCATTGTTGTTTTTTGGCTGATCTATCGCCGATTTTACCCTTGGCCGTACCCACACGACGAGACTTTTTAGTTGTTCGCTTGTGGGTATTTTCGTCATTTAGGAGGATCCTCGATCGTCTTCATCGTTGATCATCGTGTAGGTTCACCGACTACATGTTGACCGAAATACCCACACACCGTGGACTCAAATTAGGGAAATTGATGTTTTTTTTTTCCAGGGAGAAACAAAATCTATCTTTGACGACAGATTTTGTTGTCTTCTTAGAAACACATGTCCGATTTGAGTTTCAAACTGATAAGTTGGGGGGTGATCTCTGCTTTTTTGCTCTCTTTTGCAAAAACAAAAGAGTCACGTTTCCCACTTTTGTGCATCCCAGTTGCTCTCTCTCTCTCTTTCTCTCTTTTTACGGAAAAGACCAAAAGGCCCTCACATCGAGGGGAGGTCTTTTAGAGTCAAAATCACCGCTGCAAACTTTCAATGCTCTCTAAAAAAAAAGAGGGAGTAGCCGAAAGAAAGAAAACACATTCATTTCCAGTTAAATGACGAAACTAACCTTGTCATCCAATGAGCTCATTTCCACGGTGGAAGGATTATCTCGGAGAGATTTCCGCAGGCGTTACTTTGGGAGGCTACTTCGTGGAATTGAATTTAGGTTAAAGAGTATTTGAGTGGATTAGGTACGTGTGTGGTAGGGTTTAGTAGTGGGGAGGGAGGGTAGTTATCAGATGTGGCGCAGTGAACCGTAACTAAGTGTGGACCCAGGGGGCCAGTGGTCAAACTCAGTTATTGCAAGTGATTGAGTTCCCTGATTTGTCCGTCAGATTGAATACCGGTGACCGCTTGTTGAGTTTAGCCCCCTTTTTAAAAACTAAATAAGATTGTTTTCTGATTTTTATGTTGACCTTGATCGGTGGTTATAACTTATTTTTGAAAACCAAAGTAGAGTTTTGTCAAGTAAAGAAAAGGAAAAAAAAAGAGAGTAAATCAACGATAAGCGAGGACAAGTGGTGCTATGGAGAATACGTGACACTAGTTGGGGTCGGAGGAGCAAAAAAAAGCATGACGTGTGAATGTGACGACCAAACACACGCGTTTAAGTCTCTGAACTCACGCTCCACTCACGTGATTTTCCTTTTTTTATTTTTTTTTTCTTCTTCTTTTGAGGGCAATAAGTAGTTGACCAAGAAGATTCTTTTGAATTTACTCGGTTTGGAGTTTCTTTTTAAGATTTCGAAGTTTTTGGTTTGCTTATATGCTGGCTAATAGGGAGGTGATTCTTTTTTATTTCACTGGCCTTATCGTGCCTCTAAAGTTTGGTAGGTGTGTGGTTTTCTTCAAGAAATGATATAGAAAACAAAACTATATGATATTAGGTTGGTGTTGTTATTGATTGAATATTGAATTTGATCTGGCTTTATTTGGTGGTGTCGTATGTCTTAAGCCATTATCTGATTATTCGGTTTTTGCTCCCTAGATTTCTCAAACGAGTGCTGTAACAACAACAACAACTCTTTTCAAGAGATCAAGAAAGAAAAAGGTATAAGCAAAAAGAGACTGCTTTATTTACATACACTATTAAAGGTTTAAACTACTTACTAGTTTTAGCCCCAGACATTGAGCATATTCTGACCAGGCTTGTTTAAATATGTTGAACTATATAGTCTGACCTTCACCGATGAATCTTAACCTTTCTACGTTTGGAATGATATCATTACATATTGCCTAATTTTCTCTTATAATCAATGTACAGACTTTGGCGGAGCTTAAAGAGGAGGAAAACATGCTCTTGATCGAAAGAAAAGGCCTGAAAATTGTATAACTTTTGTTATTCTTCATTTCTCTCTCTCTCTCTCTCTCTATATATATATATATTAAGTCCGCGTGCTAAGCTTAGATTTATTGAATCAGGAATTGGCAAGCATTCGTGACATGGTGGAGCAACAAAGAAAAAGAAACAATGCGCTAAAGAAGATCAAGGTGAGCCCATCTCTCTCTTTCTCTCTCACACATTGTAGCTGCAATATTCACACATAAACAACATGTAACCCAAGGAGATCATATTCCTATGTATGTAGGCTGAATCACAATCTGTCTTATCCTGCAAACGTGCTTTCGAACAAGGCTCCTCCTTCTTGCTCCCTGACCTTAACATGCCACTAGATACCGATACGAGCCCTGAAGTTGTCTGCTGAACTACCAACCATGAGCATATATACATAATTCTTTTGTTTTTCCTATCATACATCAAACAAACAACTCCACATCCTGCCACAACCATGTCTTTTAGCTGTAACTATATATATGAGTACGAGGAAGATAGACTAAAAATTTCATATATATCCTTACCCATTAGGCCATTTCCCGTTGCCGCTGAAGAATATTCGCCTCAAGGTGAGGTGATCCGAGTTTAGGGTCAAGTGTTTTCTGACGAATTTTCTTTGTTTAGCTGGTAGTATGATTTTTTGCTCTGCCATTCAGATTCTCCTTAGTGGTCGTTATCTTTCTCCCATTTTCATAGGATGAGATGTAATTATCTACATAGATAACATATATACACTTTTCTTCATTTCTTATTATCTCTGCTGAGATGTATTGCAAAAGATTACATCGACCCTTTTTTTTAATATGTAAGACGTTCCAAAACTGTCATTTGACTAATGGATTTAACTATTTCAAACCTCATATTTGCTATAAAAAAAAATTTGCTAGTTGTGTGGAATCAAATTCATCAGCCCTAAATTGTAATTAAGGAAGAGATAGAACATAGCATGCCTTAAAATGCTAAAACCCCTTTATCAAAAAAAATAATGTTAAAACCCTAGAATTAAATTAAAAGTTGAGCATTTTCGTCTTAACCACTCTTCACTGTCCCAACTCCTAACGCATAACGAAAGGGAAGAGCACAACGAAATGGCGTCTCTTGGCCAAATCACCCTCCCGTGCGCGCCGTCATTGGAGATTGGCTTCCTACGCCGTCGATTTGATCGACCGATCAAAACCCGAGTCGGATTCAACGGCCGGATCGCGAGCGCATTGACAAACGCCGGCGAACAAGCGGGAGTGTCGGTAAAACCGAGTGTGAGCGAGAAAGTGATTGAAGAGGAGGCGAAACTTCTTGTGGGTACCTACGCGCGTGCTCCGGTGGTGTTCACCAGTGGTAAAGGTTGTAAATTGTTCGACCCAGAAGGGAAAGAGTATCTTGATTGTGCCTCTGGAATTGCTGTGAATGCTCTTGGCCATGGAGATCCTGATTGGCTTCAAGCCGTCACTGAGCAAGCTGCTGTTCTTGCCCATGTCAGCAATGTCTATTACACCATCCCTCAGGTATAATTTCACTAGTGAGTGTGCGAAATGATTTTGCTTGATAGTTATGGGTTTAGTGGTTATCGTGATATCTTTCTCTTGTGAATTTGATGTATTAGTTCTTGTGTCATGCCTCAATCTTGATTCCTGGAAGTCACGTTGGTATAGTTTGGTGTCTAGACCTTATATGGCATTCTTAATCCTTGTGTATACCTTCAAGCTCATGTGTTCTGAAACGTTTGAACTTCTCTGTAGATAGAACTCGCAAAACGCCTTGTGGCAAGTTCTTTCGCAGACCGTGTCTTCTTTTGTAACTCTGGAACAGAAGCCAACGAAGCAGCAATCAAGTTTTCAAGAAAGTTCCAGAGGTTCACCCACCCTGAAAACAAAGAAGTCGCGACAGGGTTCATCGCATTCACAAACAGTTTCCATGGAAGAACCTTGGGAGCTCTTGCCTTGACAAGCAAAGAACAATACAGAACTCCCTTTGAGCCCATCATGCCTGGTGTAACATTCTTGGAATACGGTAACATTCAAGCCTCCACAGATCTTATCCGCTCGGGTAAAATAGCTGCTGTGTTTGTGGAACCTATTCAAGGAGAAGGCGGGATTTACTCTGCTACAAAAGAGTTTCTCCAGTCTCTTCGCTCTGCTTGTGATGCTGCTGGATCTCTTCTTGTTTTCGATGAGGTACATAGTGCAATATCTTGATTGTCCTTGATTTCATTCCTTGTAAAGTTCATCTCTCATCTTGCTCTTTTCTTCTCTACATCTCCAGGTTCAGTGTGGTTTGGGTCGAACTGGTAACCTCTGGGCATATGAAGCATTCGGCGTAACTCCAGACATAATGACGGTTGCAAAGCCTTTAGCCGGTGGTTTGCCAATTGGAGCGGTGCTTGTGACTGAAAAAGTTGCTGAGACCATAAGTTACGGAGATCATGGAAGCACATTTGCTGGGAACCCTCTTGTGTGCAATGCAGCCATTGCTGTTGTTGATAAAGTATCGAAACCCTCTTTCTTGTCTAGTGTCTCAAGCAAAGGTCGATACTTTAAGGACCTGTTGGGGAAGAAACTGGGAGGAAACTCGCACGTCAAGGAAGTGAGAGGAGAAGGGTTAATCCTAGGAGTGGAGCTTGATGTCCCGGCGAATCCATTGGTCGATGCTTGCCGTGATTCTGGTCTTCTGATTTTGACGGCAGGGAAAGGGAATGTCGTCAGGATTGTTCCGCCGTTGATCATATCGGAGGAGGAAATCGAACGTGCGGTTGAGATTATTTCTCACAATTTGACTGCGCTTGATTGAAGAAGATTGAAGTTGAGCACAAAATATGTATGTTTTAACAATCTTTTTACTTTCATTATTTAGCTCCAAAGTCTACCATTAATACTGCATCTCACACTTATTCACAAGAAACTTGACAAGATGACAAAATGTAAGGTGCACTATATTCAAAATGTTTCATTTGAAAGTCGACTAAAACCAATTTGTACTTACTTGCATAGTTGGTCGAAAAACTATAATACATAAATTGTCAATTATGCATATGGATTAGGAGTCCTCAATTTCGCGTTTTAACCTCGTTTTGATTTTTTTTTTTCAAAGAAAAAAAACTGGCAGTAAAGCTCATATTCATCCAAAATAAAATAAAATTGAGAAACTTAAAAAGACAAATTAAGGAAACTCTTCAAAACAACTTTTCTTTTTCACCCAGGTTTCATGGAGGGGATTTCCTCAAAACCCAAGAGGCCAAGACAACTGAAGATCTTAACATAATGTTCAATGGATAACACACATACAGACGTATATATGACTATGTTACTGTATACATACAGGGAAAGTTCCCTATATCAGTCATTACTTGCTCAGCTTTTGTAGCTTTTAGTTTCAGCGAAGGTAATAACCAGTTCCCAAGTTTTTCGCCAGAAACAAGATGTAGTATATGTTTCACTATTCATCAGAAAGTTACTGATCCCGTAGATTTATGCACCCACCCTTCTATATCTTATTAATGAGGCTACCTCTATACATATGACCCAACAATATATAGTCACTAGCACTTTAGTCAGTTTCATTTAGTTCTACTTCTACACACTAATGCATAGTCATATTCCAAAAGGTAAACAAAGGACCACGATTATGCATGCTCTCTTGTTTCACCAAAAGTACTTCATAGATACTCATGCACATGTTGTTAAAAAAAAGAGAGAGAGATTCAGACACATAAAATATAATCTAATGAAAAAGAAAGCAGGACAAGTCATTAAAGAACCCAACTAATCAGCCTAGAGTGATTAAAACTTTCTAAACAATCCTAAACCCAAAAATTTAGATCAAGATCATGAAAAGGACTAATCACGTTTCCATAGTGACAAGTAGAAGAAGTCAAGGTGTTGGTATCACTGAACAATTGTGCAACCGAAGTGACTTTAACACACTTGCTCACATTCACCCTTTTCTTCTTCTTCCTCCTCCTCCTAATATCCTCCCCCGACTGAGCTATCTCCTCTGGAAATACCGGAGCAACCGCGAAATTGGTCTTGGCTTTCGTCCCTCTCAGCCTCATCGCCGCCGCGTCATAAGCACGCGCCGCCTCCTCCGCCGTGTCGAACGTTCCTAACCAGTGTCTGCACCGCCCAATCCTGTCTCTTATCTCCGCCGACCATCTCCCCCACGGTCGCTTCCTCACCCCTCTGAATCCTCCGTTCTTCTGCGCCATCTTCCGCCATCTCTTCACGCCGTCTTCGGTCTCCGTCGCGGTAAAGTGATCATCGGTAGCTTTGTTATTATTACCGAACAGTACGTCTTCGCCTACCACGGCAGCGATAGAATCATCCATAACTCTTGCGGGTTCGGGTTTTGAGTCAGGAGGAGAGAAAAGAGAAGAGATATCGAACGACTCAGGTCCGACGTTGAACGGTTCCGTCACCGTTAGATGATTAGTAAACGGAGTTTTGGGTCCGAAGAACGGCATGCAGACGAATGGCGTCTCTTTGTATAACTCATACGTTTCAAAGCTTTGATGGATTTCAACGAGGGAGCTTAACGGGACGGAAGGTTGGAGACGGTGACCGTCAACGGTGTTTTCCATTTTTTTTAGACGGCGAAAGTTATAATGGAAACTATTTAACTTTGTTGTATGCAAACTGTAGTGCAGTGTTTTGGGAAGCATTTTATAGGAGGATTAAAACAACTTTTTGATTTATTTATTTTTATTTCCTCGAAAAAGGAGAATACTACTATTTTTATTTTTATATTCAAAACCATTTTTTTTTTTGTTTTACAAATTAATGCTGGTGAGTAAAATCGAAACCTATAAAAAGATTATGGAAAAAAAGAATTTTTGTTTAGTTAGAGAATTAAAAGATACTGCTGTCATTTTCGACGAGACGGTAAAATCTTTCACATTTATGCTCCTGTCCTTCACAGTGCAAAAAGGCAGTTTGTACCTTTTGTTTTCGATATAGAGGAAGACAACCTCTTAATTCTACTTAAAAAAGTTTTAAGCAAATAGATTTCATTAAAATAAAAGTTTATATCAGTTCGATTCATTCAGGTGGTGTAATTTTGGACAGAATTTTAATTAATATCATATAGTTTTAGTATATTTAAATGTGGAACGAAATTCAATTACTTTTATCTTGTTAATATTCATTCTTATTTATCAATAAATTTTACATCTTATAAAAAATGATATATTTGTATAAATTTCAAGTACTAAAATTTTAGTTTAGTTTTAGCAGTCCTAAACTCCTAATTGATACTCCTAATATAAAACTTCTAATATAAAAGTGACTGACCCACAAGAGTATTGTTGACCATCAACAATGATAAATTGGGCCTTGCAAAAGAGTTAAGCCCAATAAATATAAGAAAACTAACAACGGCAAATCGTGGTCTGTAAATTCAAACGATTTGACTTGGTAGAAATGACATCCGTTTGATTACGTAAGGCGCTTAAGCGCACTCATGCTGGCGTCAACAGACACGATTGTTTGATTGCAACTCACTTCTGACAAAGTATTATTAATCTTAAACCTTTATCTTTTGAAGATTAACAATATTATTAGCTCATTTAAACTATTTTTACTTGGTCTTAAAAATCTTGCCAATGAGTACCTTTGGGAAGAAGTAAACTGTATGAGACTGAGATGGTGAGTGTTAATTACCGACACAAGATCTTTTACATTGTCAGATGAAGTCAGGCCACTTGCAGAAAGCATCTTTAACTGATCAAACGAGTACGTGCATCGTGACGTGGCACTAACACCAGTGTGAAGGATCTAATTAAAAAGGAAAAAAAATCTTCAGAATGACTTGATAATTAAATTAGCTGATGGATTTGATAGATATCTATCAACTTTTCATAGATGCAAATCTCTTATCCTTTGATTGTGAAGCTTATAACCCGTCATTAAAATTAAATAACCGTAACAAACAACTTTTAGCTTCTTCACAAACGGGCAAGCCACCACTACGTCATCCATAGAGCCCACACGGGGTAAAATACACCACTTGCATGACGTAATTCTAGGACACACACGTGCCATCTACACGAGGCATTAGTAATTTCTGACCAGCAAGGCCAAACAATCTCACACTTGACAGAGCAGTATTGTAGTTTGTACTAATGTAAAGATATATGTTAGCGAGCGAATAAAGGAGAGATCTCAATACATCCATGACAAATCCTGCCTGAAAGATACAGACGTTGCAGCACCATGAACACCTCTTCTTGAGACCTGAGGACAATCCTCGACCACAAGCAGGTCAAGCTTCTGTGATCCAACAAGTGGTCTCAATCCATCGTCTGTGACTCCGAGACATTTTGATAGTTTCAACACAGCGAGACAAGGGAACTGGCTCGCCAGAATCAACCCCTCGTCGCTCACTTCCTGGCATTGGACAAGCTCCAAGATCTCTAGATTCTGAGCTGAACACAGAGCCTCCATGCCCATGTCGCTGAAAGAGCATACGTGGTCAAGAGAAAGCTCCCGAATAGGGCATTTCTGGATCAGAGCGATTATCCCCTGGAGGGTAAAAGAGGAGAGGGAAGGAAATTCACCGTCTGAGAAGGAGACCTTGAAAGATTCGAGCTTTGAGCAGTGTTGAGCTATGGCAATGAGGCTTTCATCGGTTAACCTTGGGGTGATGCTGTTTAGGAGAGGCAGAGTGAAATCGGATGGCACACGGAGTGAGATGCTTCTGAGGTGTTTAGCCTTCTGGACCAAAGTTATAATGTCCGAGTCGCTGACACCGACACACATGTCCAGATGAAGCTTCTCCAGGTTCTTGCATTTGTTCAGAACACAAGCGAGCCCTCTACCTGGAGCTATGATGCAGTTCCCAAGACTGAGCTCCACCAGACTATCACAGGGAACCATGTGGTGTTCCACAGCTAATTGATCATTGACCTTGTTGTTATACCTGTAACTGGCGTCAACCTCGAACTCCAGAATTCGAAGCTTCCGCCAGCTATTTCCAAGCTTGGTTAAATCACCTTCCCCAATCGCTCTGCAGTTCTTGATGCAGAGTTCTTCTAGAATCTCAAGCTTTCCGAAATACTCCAGCCACTCTACACTTGCCACGTTTAGGCATCGAATGAGATGAAGTCTCCTGAGTTTCCTGCAGCCAACTGCAAGCGACAATACGCCACAGCCGGTGATTCTTGGAGCGAAATTCAACTCGAGAGAAGAAAGCTCTGAGCAGGAAGACAAATGACGAATGCCAACATCGGTGATGAATGTGCAGTAGCTAAGAGTGAGATCAGCGAGGGAAGTGCAGCTGGTGGAGAGTACGACAAGGCCTTGATCGTCAAGTTGTTTCCCCAGCTTTGACATCCAACCAGAGTACACGATCTCTACTTTCCACAGATTCTGAAACCTCCTGCAGAGGGAAAGCAAGGCATCGGTCGCAGGAACTAATCCGCAGCCAATCCGCAGAGAGTATCTTTGCTCGTTGTCCAACGAGTATAGACGCCTGCAAGACAAGGAAACCGAGTTTCTGTCATTGGTTTTCTCAAGCTTCCCTAGAATGTCCAAAACTAAATGGTCTGGCAATTCATCCATTGTCTCCTCTTGCTATCTGTGAAACAAAAGAAAAGGAGAATCGAAAACAAACTTGTCAGCACACGACAGAGCTTAAATAAAAAACACACAGATTATTATGATGCTAGTCGCCAGCCCAATGAACCACTAAAAACAAGTTAGGGATCAACAGAGATTAAAAATTTCCAACAACAAAATAAGCCTAGGGGCCTCTTTCAAACGCGATCCTATAGGATGGAAGTCAAAATTAAAGAAAAACGCATCAAGAAAATAAAACATCGAGAAGATCTCCGAAATTCTCATTTCCCAAGCAAAGATTCGAGGAAATTACTGAGCCGAACGTCATTAATCATCAATCAAAAATTCACATCCACTACTACGAGACCCGGGAGAGATCAAGCCCTGAAACTAGTCCTCTATAATAAAATAAATTTAATAGTTAAGAGGAAGAAATCTCACCAGAAATGTTGAAGAAGCCAAGTGCGAAACTTGATCAGACGAATTTCTAAAAGAGACGAAAACTGAAAGGGACAATTTACTAAATATGATTTTGTTTAATCCATCAACGGATCAACCCAACCGCCACGCCCTACGGCCATCTTTTTAAATTCCCATTCCTAGTCGGTCGGATAAGGACTACTTACTTGTCTATTTTTGGATAATTATTACAAAAAAATAAATAATTTGTTGTCATTTACTAAGTATCTTCTCGGAAATATGTTTTCAAGCAAAGATTCGATACTTAAGTTGGTGTTTAAGTATTAGCGATTGTCTTTATAAACAGAGGGTGAAGACTATAGTAGATCCATGCAATGGGGACAATAACCCCAAGTCAAGATTCTCATTACCACACACAACGAAAATCGTTAGATCTAGACATTCACAGCCCTAAGATTGCTTGACCATATAATAGTCTACTAGCTTAGGATTAAGACCATATCGAAGTTGTCGTTGAAACTAACTAAGGTTTGGTTACAGACACTAAAGGTCTTAATTGATTTAACACTTTCTTCTGTTACTCTTCTTTTTACTTGCATGTACAACACTCCCAGACACCGAGGAAGATGTAGTATTGGTAGATATGGGCAACACCGTACCGTCATCCTTGATCTCTTTTGACTCTGAGACTTCACTCTCATCACCATCCATCTGGGCCATTAGTTTTCCAAGCTGCAAGGTGGTGTGTTTTAATTAGCACATTAGACTACTTGTGTATCTCTTTTCTTAATTCTACAAGAAAAATATCGTAGGTTATATTATTGCCTATCGATGATTCTTTACCTGTTCTTCCAAGCACTGAATCTTTTCATCCTTTGCCTGCACCGCCTTCTTCTCCCTAAAAAAATCGAAGCTCAGTTTCATCAATGGAGAATAAACATATTCCTAGTGCACACCACATGAACATACACACCTTTCTTCCAGTTCTGTAATCTTGGTGCTCCATACGTCCTTATTTTTCAAAAGATTTTCGTTCAGCTACATATCAGAAAAAAACAAGTCAGCCCTCTACAGAAACCCAGACAAACCTTGTTGGAACCAATATGTAAGCATGCCATCAAGATAAACTCACATCTTCAAGAAATTGCTTCTCTTTGATACATCTGTCAAGCCTGGTTTGCAGCTTCTGCAGTCTCTGGCCTATTGCCTTGCTCGCAGCTTCTGAGACTTTCTGTTCGGTTTCCTCTTTGACATTTTGTAGCAATTTCTCAAAATACTAACAGAAAAGACAAACAAAAAAAGAGTCTTAATCTCTTTGCTAGACATAATTATACACTTCAGGTTCTAAACCAGACAATGAAAACTTCAAGAGACTAGAGACACGAAAGGCAAACGGAATACGTGCTTACTTGTTTTTGGTTCTCTAGTTGTGCCTGGAGAAGTTCGTTGTACTCACCAATGATCTGTGGTTTGAAAATGAGAGAAAGATGAGGCAACAATAAATTAACAATAGAGTTTTAAAGTTGAACATGAGGATTATGAAAACATGAAACAAAAGCTCTACCATGTCTACTTTGCTGTTTAAGAGAGCATCAGTAATTCCACTGTCAGAATATTCACAGCTTCCACAACCATCCTTGCTCAGACTACCGTGAGAATTCAACTCCACTAGCTTGCCATCAGTTTTGGATTGAATAAGCCGGTGAACATAATTGTCACCAGCATAATCCCAAACACGCTGTGTTTCCAGCTCAAGTGAGTAGCAATGATCCGTCTCCTCCCAGTGGCTTCTGGCATGTCCTCCCTTGTACCTACGATAGGCATTAGACAACAGGATATGGTTAACCTTGGATGGACGAGAAGGAAAAAAGGCTCCCCTGCTGACTGCAGAAAATGAAATCCATACCTTCCGCAGCCAACAACTCCGCAGATAACACACATCCAGAGATTCTCCGTTGTTTGGCAAACACAACACACTGAATTTTCAGGTTGCTGTTGGCAATATCGACAAACCTGAAAACAAAAAACAACACCCCATGAAGAAAATTGACACCAGACTAAAAAAATAGCATGAAAATGATTAAAGAGCCTTACCGGACAAGAAGAATCTGGCCAATTAGAAATACATGAACAATGGAAGGAATGATTGCACATGGTTGTGAGAATGCCACCTGTGTCTTGGTCCAATCTCTCTGAAACATGAGCATATATATATAAAAAAACGTTTAGAATGTACCGAAACCAATAGTAGTCAATGTATGACACCAAAGAAACCGTCGATCTTAATACCAAACTTGTCTCAGGTTAAGACTTTACCGAGACAAACCGGGCAAGTAGGTTGCTCTATCGGGCCGGCAGCAGAAGGTTGTGTATGGTCAATAGATCCACTGTAACCGGTAAACTGAACATCTAGAGTAAAAAGCAGGCGACAGACATCTTCCTGCACATAATTGACAGCAGCTACTCAACCACAAAGATCAGTGTATATAATATACATCTGGCATAAGGTGTCTCAAACAATTCCATACCTCGAGAGAATTGAACCGTTTCCCTCTAAAATGATGGTAGAATGTATCGGTAGATTCCTGACTATCAAACCTTATCAAAATGCTGTATCTATTTTCAATCCCATCATTCCTGTAAAGATCAAAAGCCAGAAGCAAACTACCTTCAGAACGAAATAGTAGAGAGTTTATATTTGCTCTTCTATACTACCAGAACACATATCGATTTCACAATCAGTCTAGCAAAAAGAATTTGATATGACTCTTATTTTCTTACCTCACCGTTCGCATTTCCAGGATGTGCTGAATAAAGGAGCCGCAGAACTGGCAAAAATCTGCATATGTCATATGGTTCGGCACCCCAAGAACGCAAACAAGAGGGTTCCTCCCAATCTTCAAGGACAAAAAAAACAATTCCAGATTCAGTGAAATAAAAAAAGAATCCGGAGACAAATTGATGCAATCAAACGAAAGAAACCTGAGACGGATTCGATTAGTAGAAATCTTACAGGAAGATTCGATGAGGAAGAAGACGACGACGAAACGGCATCGTCGGAAAACAGATGCATTACGCCGCGAGTCTCTCCGATTCTAGGGTTTCCAGAGGAAAAATGAACTGTCTGAGTCATATCGGAGAGAGAAGATTCACCGGAAGCACTTGCCAGCGGTGGAAAGTCCGATTCTTCTCCGGCGATTATGCTTGAGGTTGAGGGCATCATCATAACTACAACAATTGCCGCGCAAAAGAGAAGAGAAGACTTCCGTTCATAAACCACTACGGCGTCGCTATAGAGACCTTGATACACTGACACGTCACCACCGCTATATACATATTATAATTTTATTCGTTCCAACTCCATCAGGATATTGATTTTACAAAAATAAAACACAAAGTTTCATAATGATCAAATACGTCCCGCTAATAATAATTTAACATCACAGAAACTGTCGCTGAGACTCCTCGCGTACAACATCAACAACTCATTGTTGGAAAAAAATAGAATAAAAATCTCTTGATGATTGATTCACACTCTTCAAAGTTGTACATATGAATTAAACAGAAGCTGGAACTTGAGAGTCCACTGACTTCAGAACCTCCTCTCCCATCTTCTTGCAGCCCACCAGTTTCTGATCACACACCATTCAAAAACACACACAGATATTAGCATTGTGTATTCGTTGTTGCTTATGAACTATTCTCACACCTATACACAACGAAAAGGGAAACGTGTAATAAGAAAGATTCAAGAATAGTACAGTTCCCGCAGAGTAGATGTCTCCTGTTCTGAACCCATTGTTCAGAGCAACCAACACGGCGTCTTCAATTCTCTTAGCTGCCTTTTCTTCTCCAAGTCCATATTTCAGAAGCATCGCAGCGCTGAGAATTGTTGCCAATGGGTTTGCTTTATCCTGAAAATTCAAAGAATCAACAAGTTATTTTTGGCATAGAAGTAGTTTTGATATTGGGGAGCAGAAGCCGTGTTTGTTTGAAGAATAGAGCTAGGACCTGTCCAGCAATATCAGGTGCAGAACCATGTATAGGTTCAAAGAGTCCAGGTCCCTGTAGTAAACATGATTGGATTATGTTCAGACGTGATCATAGTGCTGCATAATCAAAGATCAGATTCTTTCATACTATACCGCATCACTGAGACTAGCAGATGGAAGCATGCCGATGCTTCCTGTGATCATTGACGCTTCATCGGATAATATATCACCAAAAATGTTGTTTGTGACGATGGTGTCAAACTGCATTTAAGAAACCATTGTAAGGAATTACACAGTTCCCACATCAAGGCGCTATCAATCCTGCCTAGTTTGGCAAATATAAGTACCTGTTTTGGGTCACGAACAAGCTGCATCGCAGCATTGTCAACATACATATGTGACAGCTCAACGTCAGGATATTCAGAGGCTAGTGCTGTTACTCGTTTCCTCCATAAAACTGAGGCCTGCATAAAAGAAAAGAGAATTGCTTTCAGTGTTATAAGTGTTACATATGAAGCAGGGGAGAGGAAAACGTAGTTATCAACCATACATCCAAGACATTAGCTTTGTCCACAGAACACAGCTTGCCACGCCTTTTCCGAGCAGTCTCGAAGGCAACACGAGCAATTCTATCAATCTAAGGAACATAAGGAAAAATGCTTTGTTACATCAGTCCGTAGTACTTAAGAAAGAGAGAAGGAGGTTTTTAATAGTATATCAATCCGCGAAAAATCTGCATCGAGGTTTTAGATAGAGTACCTCGTGAGCAGCATAAACCTCAGTATTAAACCCAACTTCCTCGCCATTTTCATTAGTCTTTATGCCCCTTGGCTCTCCAAAGTAAATACCTGTTTCCATGGAATATCACATTGTAAAATACTGTCCTACAAAGGAAAGAAAAAGACAAGAATTTAAGACCAGTCTCATTCAAGTTTCTATACACACCTCCTGTAAGCTCCCTCACAACCATTAGATCAACACCTTCAGCTACCTCTCTCTTGAGTGTGGAAGCATCCACCAACTGAAAGAACCTGACAATGTCAGTTTCACTCACACAGGAAACAAAACTACAGGTAACAAAGCAAATCTTGAGATCCGGAAGAGGATGGTTACCTGTGGTAGAACTGTAGCAGGTCTCAGGTTTGCAAAGACTTTGAGACCAGCTCGAAGTTGAAGTAACCCCTTCTCAGGCCTCAAATGTTTTTCATTGTTATCCCATTTGTACCTAAAATCATACCAACATGATCGTAAGAGAAATCGTATATACCCAAAAATAATAATGCACAGAACGAACAGAAAGTAGAGCCGACAATAGTGGGAAGACAGACCCTCCGATGGCACCAAGAAGCACGGCATCTGATTCTTTCGCAGCAGAGATAGTCTCCTCAGGCAAAGGCACTCCGACCAAATCCAAAGCGGCTCCTCCTATGGGCATCTCCCGGAAGCTAAATTCCACTCCTGATAAACAACACAGACGCAATGTCTAGATATCTAGTGACCAGAAGTAATCCAAATAAGTAATAACCCACCCACGATTCTATATCTAATCTCCACACACAGAAACATGGAATAGAGGTTACTAGAATCCCATTCTCCAATTTCTACTTCTCACGGCTTTTTCAATCGATTAAGTATCGCCATTTCCATTTTCAAAGCAGAAAACAGCTACTACAACAAAAGAATGGGAACATGAGAGAGAGAGAGAAACCTTCCAAAGATCCCGCTTGCTGAAGCACATTTTTGGCGATGGAGACGACCTCCGGACCGATGCCGTCGCCGGGAAGGAGAGTGATGTTGTATCGTTTTTTGCCAGAGGAAGCAACAACGCATCTTACTCTAAAGGGTGCGGAAGATTGTTTGGTGAGAGCTCTGAACGTAGCCGGAAACTTGACCGGCCGGATATTCGTCTGCAGAGCCGCCGCCATTTCTGGGAGAAAAGGATTGCGTTTTTTGGTCTATTGTTTCGGTCTTCGCTGGGGTCCTTCCGGATTTTGAAACTGTGGCTAGCTGATACAGTGACACTACTACATTTTAAGACTTTAGGTCTTTGCATTTAAGGGTCCTTTTGCACATTATTTTATTTTCAAAATCCATCCCAAACTTAATTATTTTTTGTAAATGGAAAGGCTCATTGCCAAACATAACATTTATATCCATTTATTATCTGAGCCTGTAAATGGCGGCGATCTTAGGAAAAGATACATGCTTGAATGATTTGGCGAACCCTAATTTCGGAGGCTACACAGAGCTGAGAGATAATGCTCTTGTCGATATATCTGCGGCGATTAGATCGACTTCGGACTGTTTTTGCTCCCTCCGTTCGGCTGATATCTGGAAAACCCATTTCCGATGTTGATGATGAGAACCTTCGATGTCAGATGGATCAGTCCAGTTACGACCAGAAAACAGTATGCGAAGCGCTCACGTGTTACGGCAACGATTGGCAGAAGGCGTTGGAGTTTTTCAACTGGGTCGACAAGGAATCCGGATTCAGCCATACCACCGATACATTCAATCGGATGATCGACATTCTGGGTAAGTATTTCGAGTTCCAAACTTGCTGGGTTTTGATCAATCGGATGGCCGAAAACCCGCTTTCGGTCCCGAATCACGTCACGTTTCGTATCATCTTCAAGCGTTATGCTATGGCGCATCTTGTTCAGGAGGCTCTTGATACTTATGACAAATTGGATGATTTCAATTTGAGAGATGAAACCTCTTTTTATAACCTCGTCGATTCGCTCTGCGAGCATAAACATGTCGTTGAAGCAGAAGAGCTTTGTTTTGGGAAGAATGTGATCGGTAATGGTTTTAGTGTGAGTAATACTAAGATTCATAATCTGATTCTTCGCGGGTGGTCGAAGTTGGGATGGTGGGGCAAATGCAAGGAGTATTGGGAGAAGATGGATACCGAAGGTGTTGCAAAGGATTTGTTTTCGTATTCTATTTACATGGATATAATGTGCAAGAGCGGAAAACCGTGGAAAGCTGTGAAATTGTACAAGGAAATGAAGAGTAAAAGAATGAAACTTGATGTTGTTGCTTATAACACTGTCATTCGCGCCATTGGAGCTTCGCAAGGTGTTGAGTTTGGCATGAGGATGTTTCGGGAGATGAGGGAAAGAGGTTGTGAACCTAACGTTGCCACGCATAACACAATCATCAAGCTTCTTTGCGAAGACGGGAGGATGAAGGATGCGTATGGGATGCTTAACGAGATGCCTAAGAAAGGATGTCAACCCGATTCAGTCACTTACATGTGTCTTTTTGCTCGTCTGGAGAAACCAAGTGAGATCCTAAGTCTGTTTGGTAAGATGATAAGGAGTGGAGTTAGGCCAAGAATGGATACTTATGTGATGCTTATCAGGAAGTTTGAGAGATGGGGATTTCTTCAGCCGGTTTTACATGTGTGGAAGACGATGAAAGAGTCTGGGGATACTCCTGATTCAGCTGCTTATAACGCTGTGATCGATGCTTTGGTTCAGAAAGGAATGCTGGATATGGCTAGGGAATATGAAGATGAAATGGTTGAAAGAGGGCTATCTCCAAGAAGAAGGCCTGAGCTGGTAGAAACGTCACTAGAAGAGACGCTAGTTTGTAGATAATAGAAAAGTTTACATGGAAGAAACTCTTTGGTTGTCTGTTCAAAACGGACAACAAGTAAGTCAAGCGAAACAAGAAGCTTCATGTTCTGCCTTTAGTCTTGATATCAAGAAGCCTCCTTTGGTTGAAGAAATCGCCCAAAGATATCATCTTTGAAATTAATTTACATTGGCATTTTGTTTTCAACGGGAAACTGAGTAATCACTGAGTTTCATAGAGAGGATTGAGGAATCTTGTTTGCGTTCCTTGAAAATTGGAACGAGTGATGGAACAAGTCGGTGAGTGAGTAAACCGTGAGAGCATGAGGCTTGAACCATAGAATTTTTATATTGTAGTAACCATTTCCAAATGCTTTTATTGTTTTTTTAAGTTTTGAACTAAAGAATAAGATGATACCATCTTTTCTTTGTAAGGATATGGAATGATTCTTGCCTTCGTGTAAACAATATGATCATTAAACCATTCTTTCAACAACGTTAATTTTCTTTTTTGGATTTTTCTAAAAACTGGGGAAGTTGGTACCAGACGAATTAAGTGTGGATGTTAAATGCAATTTTCCGTTTTAAAAATTCTAGTGGTAGCTGAGTGAAGTATAGATATAGATATTCATTCAATTTTCCGTTTCAAAATACTAGTAGCTGAATTAAGTGTAGATATTAATACACTTTTCCGTTTCCATGTTCTCCTCAAGGGATTATCCATTGCGACACGGAAAAGTTTTTTTTACAAGTCAATCAGAAAATAAATGTGTTTATCAATTTTGTTCTATCATTTTCAAATTTAAATAATTGTATACTACTAAATGGATGGATCACTGGGGAATAGAAACCGCGTGGAGTTGGTGGTTTTAACTTCTTTTTTTTTTAATACAGATAAATTTAGATATCAGCCAATGAGAACTTAAAGAGTAATTAATATCGGAAAAAAAAAGAAACTAAAATGAGGTTAAAACAAATTAGAATAACAATGGATGGAGAAAATTCTGGAAAAAAAAGATTCTAAATAAGGGAATATATATAATGAGCTATCGTTTCGTCTTCTTTCTCCTTGATATCCTGGAGAAATAAAAGATTCTTATTGATGCATAGATAGATAAACCCTTTTTTTAGAGTTGCAGAAATTAGAAACGGAACCAAACAATCAAAAACATAAGAGAGAGAATTATAAATAAATTAGAAAAAAATGCTTTTCAGTGAAACGCCGTCGTTTCATGATCGCCGTCGACTCCTTCTTATCGCCGTTGGGCTTCTGGTCTTGTCGAGTTTGGTTTCATTCTCTCATGGGGTTTCTGCTTCTTGTCATCACCATCCATCCTCAACCTCATTTCAAGGTTCTTCACGTTCTTTTTTATCATTATTAGTACATTTTGTAAATCTAAAGTTTTGTTATTTCCCATTGTAAAAATTTGATAACTTATGGCTTTTTTGTTTTTATTTAAGGAGTGAGGAGGCAAATTTTGGAAGGAGGAAATGGGACATTGGTGTTAGCTGCGGAGAGGACACGGCGGCCTGACCCTCTCAACCATTTCAATATTTATTCCGATGGTTGGAACGTTACCAATTCTCATTACATCGCCGTGAGTCCTCTTTTGATTAATTTCCCTAAACTCTTATATTCAATATTCAAAATGTCAAATTGAAATTGAAACCAATGTGTTTTACGAACAGTGGCTTTAATGGCCAGAACAAATCTCTCAAAACCCTTTATTTTGTTTTCTGCTAAACTAAGAGGCCATGCGGTTTTAGGTTTTGGGGTAAATCATGTAACAAGAGATAGTGTCTGGCAAAAACAAAATTAGGAAAAAGATGAGGCCTGTGGCGCAACTGCGTATCAAAATCGTAAACGTTGGCCTCTAGGGGGGAGTTTATACGTTTAAGCTAGTTTCAGGGCAACTCACGTAATAACTGATAGTCCTGTACTAAAATTAAAATAACGAAAACTATGATGTTTTGTCGTGGCAACTGGGTAAGCAAGCTTTGGGGTAAATCATGTAACAATTGATTGCACCGGGCCAAAATTAGATTAAAGAAAAAATTTGGTATTTGACTACATTTGTTGTAGTAAGTGGGAGCTTCCGAGAAAAGAAAACCTAATTTGGAAATTGTGTTTCTTATGATTATTAGAGCATGTACATTGGAAAAATTCTCTTTGAAGTTTCTAAGAATATAAAAATAATTTTTTGGGATATATGAATAGTGAAGGATCTGTTTGAGTTTTGTGTTCCCATTGGTGAATCCTTCACTAACAAACCAAAAAATGGTCGAGAACAAAATAGTTGAGATGGTCCAAAAATTTTTTTAGTAAAAATCAATGATCATTCAACAGGTGCCTTAAAAACCCATTAAAACTGATCCTTAAAATCCTTATATAAGGATCGGTTTATAAGTTATTGAGCTTTTTCCATTTCTTTTATTTCATTTTACCTAGGTTTTTGGGCCAAAAATCTCTCTAGAACTGCTGATGGACATGATCTTATTAATTTACAAATGGTTTTTTTCAGTCCGTTGGATTTTCTGCAGTTCCGTTCATAGTAATAGCAATCGTGTGGTTCGTATTCCTCGGACTCTTCCTCGTCTGCTCATGCCTCTGTTGCTGTTGCTGCGGTTGCGGCCGCCGGAACTACGGCTACTCTCGCGTCTGCTACACTCTCTCTCTCGTCTTCCTCCTCCTCTTCACTGTCGCCGCCGTGTAGCTACCTCTTCCCTCTACTATATAAACAAATTATTTATCGATTGCCTACCTTGATTAATAATCATTTCTAAATAATGTCGTTTTTGCAGGATTGGGTGTGCGATGCTGTACACTGGGCAAAACGAGTTCTACGGTAGCGTGGAGAAGACGTTTATGTACATTGTGAGACAAGCAACTGATGTTTTGGGTAAGCTAACGAGCTTATGGGACTCGATTCAATCTGCAAAAGACATTCAGCTCGATGGACATAACCTGTTTCCTCCTGAGTTTAGAGGTAACATTGATCATTTCAACAACATGATCAAGATGTCTAACATCACTTACCCTGACCGTGTCGCTAATCAGACAATCCGTTATCTCACTGGAACACTAAACCCTGTGTAAGTGTACTCATTAGATACTTGGCTTGCGTTACAAGTTATAAACATTAAGCTAGCTCTGTTTAATTATTTGACTCGATTCCTTTTTTTATTTTTGTTATTATTTTCCAGGAGATATGTGTTAAACGTGATCGCTGGTGTTATGCTCGCAGTCGCATTCCTCGGCCTCTGTAAGTTCAAAACTAAAAACATTTATAATTCCATCTGTTTCACCGCTTTTGTCTGTTCTAACATTCCAATTTGTCATTCTGAACAGTGTTTTCGTTTTGTGGACTGCGAGTTCTTGTCTACCTGTGAGTTACACATAGATTTCTTCCATACAGTCGATATATACTAGATTAAATCATGTCCAAATTAATAAAATGGTTAAAATTGATGTTGAAATTACCAGCTTAGTAATCCTGGGTTGGATTCTCGTCACAGCAACGATCCTCCTCAGCGCAGTCTTCCTCGTCTTCCACAAGTAATTAATGACGTTTAAATCATCATCCCTTGGTCTAGTTCAAGATTCAAAGTTTTATTGCTTTTATCAAACAAACTAATGAGGTTATTTAAAACAGTGTGGTTGCGGACACGTGTATGGCTATGGACCAATGGGTGCATGATCCGGCGGCAGAGTCAGCCTTGAGCCAACTTCTTCCATGTTTAGACCCAAAAACCATTGGAGAGACGTTGGATATAACCAAGACGATGACTTCTACGGCCGTTGACATGACCAATGCGTACACGGTCAATGTAAGTAACCATGAGTTCCCACCTAATGTCCCCTTCTACCATAACCAGTCTGGTCCGCTCGTTCCTCTTCTCTGTAACCCGCTCGACACAAATCACAATCCTCGACCTTGTGCTCCTGACGAAATTCTCCTCGCCAATGCTTCTCAGGTACATACACATGACCATCCTTTTTTACATATACAACGTTAATAGTAGAAGTATAACTGTATAAGAGTAAGAATATATGCTAAAAAAAGGTAACTTTATTAGATAAAAATAAGGGAACTGTAGGCAATAATATTAACATGTTTTTTGTCTTTTTTTTTGGTTATGGGTAAATAGATATACAAAGGGTATGTGTGCCAAGTGAACGCAGAAGGGATATGCATAACGCAGGGTAGGTTAACCCCAGCATCATACGATCAGATGATGGGTGCGATCAACGTCGGGTTCACGTTGGACCATTATGGTCCGTTCTTGGCTAGTATAGCTGATTGCACCTTCGTCCGAGACACCTTCAGAGACATAACCACCAAGAACTGCCCTGGACTCAGCATCACCAGCCAGTGGATCTACGCAGGCCTCGCGTCACTCTCTGGAGCAGTCATGTTCTCACTCATCTTTTGGTTGATTTTCGTCAGAGAGAGACGTCACCGATCTCATACTAAGAAGTCTATGATCCAGATGAATAGATTTTAGTTACTGCATGCGGACACCCCATTTCTTGAATTAATGAGTGAGCAGATATGTTAATTATTAAGTTAATCCTTTTTTTTCTTTTGGAAACGTTAATGAAAAAAATAATCCTTTTAGAATGAATTCGTCCAATCAAATCTCTTTTGAACTCCTCACTAGAAACCAAGAACACGCGTTGAACATTGTGTGGGCTGTGGTCAAGATGAGTAGGTTTCGATAAAGCAAGTCATTTAATGAATGACCTTGAGATAGAATGTCCTCGTCTGGCCCCAAATTAAATGTAATTAGTAGGTAGTAATTACGAGTAACAGACTAACAGGCCACAGTGTGGATATGATACAAGTACAACGAATGTGAAATTTGTACGTGTCGGCTTGCTATTTGCGCCTCGAGGCCGGTGCAGATTTTACGTGTCTCTGCCGTTTCAGTTTTCAAATTATATTTTTCCTCGTAGTCGAAATAGGTGAGATTTCTTTTATTTGTCTGTTTTTGACTAGATTCATTTTTTCGTTTCTGTTTGTTAAAGCAAAAAAAAAAACAAAGAAGCTGTGTGCATCCTCCTAGCAAGGCACATATATATACACAAATAATAAATACCAAATACATTGTAAATTAAAATATAGAAATTGTAGATGATTAAAGTAATAGAGAAATGGGATCGTTAAGAACAAAGCGAAAGCCATGCCTCGGGCAGTCCACGCGGGACGAATTCATAGTCAATGACCTCACGTGTTTCCTACACAAAATCTTCGCATGACAACAACTTATTCTGTTTTGCTTATGTGTTATTATTAGATAATTATAAATTCGAATAAAACAAGATATCATCCTATGTTTTTTTGGAAAATAAAAAAAAATAATCAATAAATTCATATAAATAAGTTGTCGACTGATTTGCTCGAACTACAATAAAAATCTGTTTTCAGACCCACCTGCAATTATTAAAAGATTTAACATGATTAGTTTCAAAAGTAATGGGGCTAACAAATATCTCAAGAATCACGCTTTTGCTCTCGACTTTGTATATAAAAAAAAAGAATTCGTATATAACGTAAATGCATAATTAACATATGTTTAACTTTAATACTATAAATAATTGCTGAAAGTTGTGAAGATTATATAGAAACACACCAAACATTTAAAGAGTGATATAAGGATTCATCTCTCCTCTTTGCACTACTTTAAAGCAAAGCAGTTCTAAAATCCCCAGGGGAGAGAGTGAGTGACAGATCGGAGATATGCCGAAGCTGGTGGAAAAATCGGGAAGCCGACCACCGTGGGTGGGATTAGCTGCCGCCGCGTGGGTTCAGATGTCGGCGGGAACAGCTTCGACGTTCCCGCTTTACTCCGCCGCTCTCAAATCGGTTTTGGGAATTAACCAGCAACAGATCACGATCCTTGGCGTCGCTTGCGATTTGGGAGAAAACATGGGGCTACTTCCAGGTTACGCCAGTAACAAGCTTCCTCCATGGTCGATGCTTCTCATCGGACTCTCCTCTTGTTTCCTCGGTTACGGCGTTCTCTGGCTCTCCGTCAGCGAAATCGTTCATGGTTTGCCTTTCTGGCTGGTAAGAATCAAATCGATTGTTTAACTTTTGTTTTGTTATCCATGCGGCAATTTCTGATTCCGAATTGTCTTTCTTACTTCTCCGATGCCAAAAATGAGATCAAAATTTTGTGCTATTACAACCCCTAGATTGCATCGAATGCTTATCAGTTTCCTTGATTTCAAATTTTTCTAACTAAGTGATCTTGCTATAAGTTCCGTCATGGATTAGCTTTGTTAACTTCTATTCAAAGACCGATTGATATGTGACTGATTTCTCCTTTCCACGGAAAAATAAAAGAGAGCAAGAATTGATCATCTCTATTCTCGTTGAACACTGAGCTTACAAGACTAGTTTGTTTTGCTTATCGTGTTGTTGACAGCTATTCATCGCTCTAGTTGTGGCCACCAATAGCAGCTCATGGTTCGGCACAGCATCTCTAGTGACCAATATGAGGAACTTTCCTATGAGCCGAGGCCCTGTGGCAGGACTCCTCAAAGGCTATATTGGGCTCAGCGGTGCAGCATACACTGTGTTGTTCAGCGTGTTGCTTCACCATTCAGCTTCGAATCTGCTTCTGTTTCTTACGGTTGGCGTTCCAGTTTTATGCTTAGCTGTGATGTATTTTGTCCGCCCCTGTATTCCGGCTACCGGTGAAGACCCTTGTGAGCCCATTTATTTTGCTTTTCTGCTCGGCACTAGCATACTTCTTGCTGCTTATCTTGTTGTGACGACTGTAGTCAGTGAGGTGTTTACACTGTCAAGCGTACTCAGATATGTTCTTGTGGCTGTCATGGTGTTGTTTTTGTTTTCGCCTCTTTCGATTCCTATCAAGATGACACTTTTCCGTTCAAATGCCAAGAGATCTCTACCGGGTTCTTCAGACAATCTAGCCAAAGAGGAAGGCGTGTCAGCCCAGGAAGAACCATTGCTGACACCTTCTACCTCAGCTTCAAACCTGGGGTCTCTCTTCCAAGGAGATGATGCATCGGATATGGAAATACTTCTCGCTGAAGGAGAAGGTGCGGTTAAGAAGAAGAGAAAACCCAGGAGGGGTGAGGATTTCAAGCTTGGCCAAGTCTTTGTCAAGGCAGATTTCTGGCTGCTTTGGTTTGCCTATTTCCTTGGCATGGGTTCGGGCGTTACGGTCTCGAACAACTTGGCACAGATCGGATTTGCTTTTGGTATCAAGGACACGACAATACTACTCTGCCTCTTCAGCTTCTTTAACTTTATAGGTCGTCTCGCGTCAGGTGCCATTTCTGAGCACTTTGTGAGGTAAGAATTAATCTCTCTCATATATCACTCAAAAGCAGTCTCTCTGTTTCTTTCTTAGAAAGAAGAAGCGTCTCACATACGGTTTGCCTCTCAGGTCAAGAACACTTCCAAGAACACTATGGATGGGAGCGGCGCAGCTAGTGATGGTATTCACGTTCCTACTCTTTGCCATGGCCATCGACCACACCATCTACGTGGCGACTGCACTTATCGGGATAGGCATGGGGTTTCAGTTCTTATCGATCGCGACCATATCCGAGCTCTTTGGTCTGAGACATTTTGGAATCAACTTCAACTTCATACTACTGGGAAACCCAATCGGTGCCACCATATTCTCGGCGTTTCTTGCGGGATACATCTACGACATGGAAGCAGATAAGCAAGGGAACCCGACCTGCATTGGCCCGGATTGCTTCCGGGTAACGTTCTTGGTCCTAGCCGGGGTGTGTGGACTTGGAACTCTGCTGACTGTTATATTGACGATGAGAATTCGCCCGGTTTATCAAGCTCTCTATGCGTCAGGCTCTTTCCGGTTGCAGCCGCAGTCAGGTGGTCATTGAGGTATTCAGGGAAAGCCAGAGAGACTGATCAGTCATAGATATACACTTATATAGTTGCTATATATCTACTTTTCGTTGTTATTATCATTAAGGCTCCTGATGTATCATGAGACGTTTTTTTTGGGGGGAGATTTGTAACTTTGTAGTGTATTATTCCAGCTTCGTAATGAGTTTGTAATGTTGGTTGTGTCTGTTTGATGTTTTCATTTTAGTTATTTATCCATATCTTTGACAGATAAACGGAAACAAATAGAGTTTCTCTCCTCGACAAGCCAACCATGGAAACAACGATGGTCGTATTGTTAGGAATTGTGTCTTTATCAATGAACATTAGTAACAATTAAAAAAATAATTATCGTCACATAACAACAGAATCATTTCTAAATTTTTAACTGTCAATAACAAAACTCAGTAGTAGCCTAACAAACACACTCGAAAACTGTTAATTAACAAAACTCAGTAGTAGCCTAACAAACACACTCGAAAAATGAGCAAAAAAAAAAATCAAACCAGTGGTAAAAATATAACCATCTTCTAAGTAGGTTTGAGATTCTGAAACATTGAATCCCACTTAACCTCTTGAGCATATATCCCATCGTGGCAGCATTGGAGCCTGCATGGAGTGCCGTTGGTCAAGAGAAGAGTCTCTTCCTTGCAGCTGGGCATGATCACAGATCTCTTGTTCCTCTTGAGAAAAGAGCCTTTCCTTCTGGGCACGACCACGAGAGCCCGAGACGACGACGATTCCTCGCGTCGGATCAAGGCGCGAACATACTCGGAGAAGCGTGTCCCGGTTTTGCGAATGGCGATCATCAAGACTCTGGAAATGGAACGAGGGGTGAGCGGAGGAGACGGTTTGAGATGATGGCGAGCGAGCTTAAGGATCTCGAGACGGTGCTTGGCGATGGAGATGCCCATGCTCTGGAGAAACTCGTGGTTGAAGAAAGCGATGTCTTCATACTCGAGCTCGTTGTGTGAGAAGGAGAGACCGTACTCGTAGATGAGGGAATCTTGCAGCTTTGTTCTTGACAGCCATGAGAACCAATCCATTCGATCTTAATAAATAATTAAGAAAATTGGATCGATCTGGGTGAGAGTAACTGTGTGGTTTTTGGGGAGGTTAAAGTCTCGTTCAATGGAGTACCTTTATATATATATATATATATATAAAGGACAGAGAGAAACAGAGAGAGAAACAGAGGTTGGGGTTCTTTTTGACTTTATTGAAAAGTAGAGAGAGGGCCTTTACTTGGTAAGGTGGGTGAACGCAACGAATGGACTCAACTGTAGACCCAAAGTGACAAAGAAAGGCTCCATAGTTCACACAACATTTCCCATTGTCAAAATAAATATATTTGTATAACTATTTTATAATTTTTTTAAAAAAATATATATTAGCACTTTCAAGTTTCAACACATGGAGTTGTCTGAGTGTGGGTGTGTCCAATAATCACGCACCGTGTGGGAATTGGAGCATATGCTATCTTGCTTTTTTTAACCACTGTCTACTACACCTATTTGTGCCATTTTACTATTCTTCTTTTAAAATCTATACCAATATATCAGCAATTTTATTTTGGTCAGCAATATACAGCAAATTTTGCTTTATCTACCCTTTAAAAAAAATCCAACACAAATTTGCTTTGGATTTAAATCTAAAAAGAAAAAGATAATGAGAGCGGCTTGATGCTCGTTTATACAGGAAATGCAATGAAGACTACCGTGACATTGACACTAAACTATAAAACTATTAAAGAGAAATAAAAAACAAATATGATGGACATACAGATTATTGGTATTATTTATAGATTATCTTCGCTTTTCTCTTCTTTACCGGTAAGATGGATTAATTAACTAAATACTTAAGTATTATCTTCGTAGTTTGGTCAACTAACGATAACCAACAAAATACTACCATACAATATGGAAATTTCAATTTCACCTTCTGTAGTCAACTGATATTTTTCTGTATTAATTCGCGTATATATATATATATTTTTTTTTTTATTTAAGTCAATGAACACGAATCTATTCTTTATGATTATCCTCAGTTTGGCTTTAGAATTAAGGAGGAAAATATATTATTATTGAGCTTATGAGGTACATGCGAGCCACAATCATCAGATGGTGTGATTACAGAAACATCGACACTAGTGGATGCAATCATGCAAATATCCATCCATCACATATCACAATATGTATTGACATATCTACAGTTTAAACTCATTTATACAGGAAAATAAAAGGAAGACATGATTGGGAAGCACGGGTCATGACACTCATGTGGAATTTAAAGTAATCTTCTTATGCACTACCAGCCACTAGCTAGTTGCTAGCTCCCACTTCTATCTTCGGTTTTTGGCCATGTTGATTAAACTTTGCGCATTAATTATCACCTTAACTGCTGTCAATTTTTTTTTTTACTATACTAATTTGCCATCTCTTGAACTATGGGGTAGTGGTTACTACATATGTACATTGTGCTTAATTAAAATGGTCAAAGGCTAAAAATTGAATTAGAAGATTTGCTTATACAACCGAGGTAAAGTCGTTGGATCAACATATAATTTAATGCTCCACGCTAACAAAGTTATTACTTTCCTTTTTTTTCATCGTAAAGTTGGGTAGTGATAACCTTTAAGTCGGACTTAAGTTTCGTTGCTTCGCTTTAAATAAAAAATGACTCAAATTAAAGTCTAAGCTCCAAATCTTTCTAACAACCGGCTCAAAATTCATAGCTTGTAACCATCAGTAATATCAGATACCTAGTCGATTCAAATCCGGTTAAGTGTAAACCAGCTCAGTTTCAAACTACATTCATAACCCCAATCTCCCATCCCCACACACACACACCAAGAGGATCGAAGAAAACACAAACGAAAAAATCATTAAACTGCAGCAAAAATAAAAGGGGATTTATTATAAGAAAGCAGCAAATTTGCGTATATATAATAAAATCATAAGAATCTGGTCTGTATACATATAAGTCATCATGGGTATGCTGAAAATTTCGTCACGTGAAACAATTCACAAACCGGAAATATTTGGGCTTAAGCATGAACAAACGCCATTGACTGAGATCCTAAAGGTCCCGGTTCGGTATTGGACTGAGAATCTCTGATTTGTATAAATCTACAAGATCCTGAAAACCGCTAAAAAAACAAAAAATATCAATCTGATTTGCTTCTGATGCTGTAAATGTTGCCTAAGGTTCCCACAATGCTAACCACCACGGCCAAGATTAGCATCAACCACGACACAGATCTTTCCACGAGGCTTAACGAATTGCTCTGTTTCCCTAACCGTAAAGCGATAAGAGCAGGGAATGTAAAACCAAGTGAAACCGCTGATGTTGCGCCTGTGAATTTGAAAGCAGTCCATATATTTGGGATCATCGTTGAGCCAATGTAAATAAGAGCCAGCAAGATCACCGTGAGTCCCAAAGATCTCTTTTTGCATTCGGAGAGAGGAGGCGAGCCTTCAAACAATAAGGTATTGACGGTTTCTCTCAGGGAGAAATGGATCACGGGGAAGACGAGAACTAGATGAAGAATGTATCCGATTCTGACAATGTAATTCACGGCAGAGCTAAAACGGATGCCGAGATCTTGATCAAAGTTGGTCAAGATATCAGCTTCAGTGTCCATACCGAAGAGAAGATAACCCGATATAGCAGTTGAAGCATAGACAACCACACAAATGGCTGTTGTGATTCTCCCGACTCGGTTCATCTTATGAGGCGATCGACCTTCGAGCTCGTTATAGATGGGCTGGACATTGAAATGACAGACGTAAGCGTTTGACATTATCGGGATGACAACGAGAAGATCCAGGATTGCTTTCTTGGAGCCAAAATCAGGAGCCATCCTTGGAGGGTCGATAGTTCCTTCGATGAGCTTAATCGTTGCGACAACAAAACAGACAACCACAAACACAACCGCAAGAGCAACCGAAGCAGCTGATGTCAAGCTTAAGGAATCAATCTTGTTCAAAGCACAGAGAGGAGCCAAGAAGACGACCATAACAATCAAGATCAAAACTTTACGGTGATCCCAGAACCCATTTCCTAACCATTGATCCAAAACCCCAATGTGATGAAGTGAACCAGACATGACATCGCCCATAATAATGAGATAAACAACGAGAACGCCACCGTTATTGACAATGATACAAATCTCAGACAAAACCCTAGCGGTTTTGCCCAATGCGGACTGCACCACATCGCCGTAAGATCTGGACTTGTAAAGAACTGAAAATCTAATCAAAAGCTCAACACTAATCTCGGACAAAACCGCCATAAGGATGATCAAAACAAACCCGAGAACCAAGCCGAGAACTTTCATGGTTGCCGGCAATGCCATGATCCCGGCACCGATGATCGATGTGGTGAGGTTAAAAACCGCACCGTAGATCCCAGATCCTTGATTCGGTTTCCCATGAACGAGTGTATAATCAGCGACATCGAAATCCAGATCATCACCTTCTTCATCGCCAACAACATCACGGCTGTCGTCAAAATCATTCACGAAGCTTTCTTCATCAGAAGGAAGCAATTTGGTGGTTCTGTGTTTGCCTGGGATTCCATTATCCGTCTGTTTCTGTAACTCGACGTACGAACTTTTGGAAATCACAGAGTAACTGCTATCCATTCAATAGATCTGATATAAACGCCCTCTGAAATCGCGATTAAGAATAGAAGATAAACTTACAGATGATCCGAGATCGAAGAAGACGAAAGAGGAGACTTTTTTCCTCTACCAAGAGAGAAATAGAGAGAGATTGTTCAAAAAAGAATCAAAGCTGCTGAATCTGGGGTTAAGGGTCAACGTCTCAATTGGTCGTTCTTCCTGCCTCGTCGGCGAGAGAGAGAGAAGGAGATAGTTTGGAAGGAGAGATGTAACTTCTATCTTACTATTGGTGCTTTTTACTTCACACGTGGCGTCCTTTATTCAATAATAAAGGAAGTATAATCTTATTAATTGGTGATTAGCAATTAAAGTTGCGCATTAGCTTAGGTTAGGCGTTAGATCCTTAAAGAATCTGAAAATAACAGACACATCGCTTGTTTTACAATAGATTCAATTTAAAGGAGATAGAGAGAGAGAGATAGAGAGTTGATAACAACCAAAGTATAAATTTTTACAAGGAATCTCAAACATTAAAATTTTGATTGAAAGTGATAAAGAACAGAAATCAAGCATTAAACATAAAACACCAAAGAATTGATTGGAACTATGATACTAAATCCAAGACATCGGGCCTTTGGGACTGAATCTTCGTCTTCCCTACAGATACTTTCTTGCAAGTGCACGTACCTTTGTGTCAAAATGTGACGATGTAATCCGAGAACCAGGCAAATACAATGAATTCAGAAGACTCTGCCATGAAGAATGGTACAGTGTTACTACGGTGAGCAGCCGAGTCAGATCAGATCAAATCCAAGAAAACCAAGAACACCTACCTTTATATAAAGCTCATGCACCTCTTGGAAGAAGCTCTTGATGCCGTCCTCATTGCGTGAATCATGAAGGAGCATGAGTCGAGTATGTGCGATAAAATCAAGGAAGAAACAAAGATACAAAATTTGGAGATGAATATGTTAAGCACAAGAGCCAACGTACCAATCAGACAGTATTTAGATGAATGGATCAGAAGATCGTTAAATGTCTAATTTAGAAAAAGGATATGGCCTGCGGTAACATACACTGACACAACCAGATCGTTAAACCTGTCGACTGACTTCGAAAACCTGAGGAGTTATATGATAATGAGATGAATCCTTAACATAATCAAATATTTCACAAGGGACTTTACTTACATGGCACTTGTAGTCCATGCTAGGTCTTGGACGACATCTAATGCTGCATGTAATATAAACTGGTGTAGCTGAGCAGCATCTTCTCTCTGCCAAACACAGAGATAAGTGTGAGAGACTGATGTACAACTTATAAATTAGACCACACAACAAACTGCTATCATGATTATAACATCAACATATATCCACCAGGTACATGAAAAGATAAACACTAAAACAGATAAACTTCTATCGATAAGAAAGGATAACCAGCCCTACGATAGACCTGAAACTGATTATTCATGCAGTTCCTGTTCAGCGAGCTTAGAGGATCTTACAGAAGTATTTTTTTTTTAATCCTATAGTTAGAACAAGCCCCTGCTTGGACATGTAATACAGCGTGAAACGTTTCCTCACCAAACAGATTTTAAACAAGGGAAATAGCAATCCTTTTTCATATCACCAGCTAAATGAACAACAATGATAATCAAATTTATTTCTCCTGGATACTTCTATTCGCAGGACGCTAAATGATATTTCACCTCTTCTGAAGTCAAAAAGAAAGAGCTGTAAAGTATGTTGTGGAATATATTCTATCATGTTAAAGAACCTAGGATTGTAGATCCAAAAGAACATAGATGCAAAAAAAAAAAAATTGAGGAGAATGGAGCAAAAAGGCACTAACATGTACGACAAACTTCAATAATTCAAAGTTATTTTCCTCCGACTACAGATATAATGTGAAACTGGAGTAAGAAATGTACTTCGCAGCAGATCCAACTTCGGCCTCATAGATGGGAATATCATTCCGACCAACAATTATAAAGCAGGCAGTGTTAGCCATTCAATCCTTCGTCTCCAAATAGAAGAAATCAGATAGATCTTTGTGTCTCCTGAAATATATTTAAAAAAAAAAGAAGGCAGAGATATCAAGGTTCAGTATTCATTACAAGCCTGCACCCACCCTTGTTCACTAACTGAGTTTGCGAGGAAAGCAAACCAAAGTGCGATATTGGGATACAAAGAGCTCAAGAGCAGTACCCAAACCTCAGCTAAAAAAATATATCATACCCACATTTCCAAAAAAAAAAAAGTGCTTACAGAACCTAAAGAAGTTTTTATTGAGAAATAAGTTCATCTTCTACAAAAGGGATGGTTTTACGGACGATCACCCTCAACGGAGCTCCTCCACTAGCTTGATCATATTCAGTACAGACTGCAGCATAATGAGAACCAGCCAACTCTAAAAGCGCAAACTTCCAATCTCCGTTGCATTTACTCGTATCCTCCACTGAATTGGCGCAAAGATCGTAGCCTTGTTTTGTATGAGCCTTAGCCTTGATCGTGAAGGTATTAAAAGGTGCAGCAGAGAATCCTTTTCCTAAGGCTTTTACATAAGCCTCCTTAAGAGTCCATAGCTTGATGAATTCCGTACGCTGAGCTTCCGGGTCCAAGATAGTTGACAGGAAGTTGACTTCATCAGGTGAGTAAAACCTTTGAGCAAACGCTAAGACGTTATGTTTGATCTTCCTTTCCTTGTCTTCAACGTCGATACCAACGGGAACATGTACAGTCACTCCACAGGCAATTAATGAATCTGTGTGGGAGATGTTGAAATGCAAAGGTGGGTTATCTACCTCAGGCTTCCCATAAGCATTCTTCTTGAAGATCAAGCAGCGAGGATCATCGGAAGCATTGTTTGTTTGATATCTGGCAATGGTGGTCCGAACCAAGGTGCGGGCAAGCAAAGCGTTCTTCTTGAGCTCATCGCCTCGCATCTGAAGCACTCTGTGTTTCTCGGTTGGTGAGAGAAGCTGAGAGTAGTGTTTTAGAAGAGATTTGCTTTTCACTTCATCTGGTAGAATATACCATAGGTGAGTCTCCATCCGAGATGGAAGTTGCAGAGGAACCAGTGAAGGCAATTCGATGGAGAAGCCTACTCGTTGCATTTGCGACATGGCACTGATTCTCATCAGCTCAAGTCCTATTCTGGAGGAATCCCAAAATCGCTGTCACACGAATCACAGAAAATTCTCCAGCTCAAGTCGTATTCAACATCTATGAGTAAACTTTTGTTTCAGATTTCTTGCTTCGTATGGATTAGAAACAATCAAAACAAGTCCTCTAGATATGATTAGATCCAGAGTAATCGAGGTAAAGATGAGAGCAGAGATCCGACAATCAGGTTTCTCAATCGACACAAAACCTTGGAAAAAGGGAGGAAACTTACGTCTAGATACCAAATGCTTTTACAACCAGACAGGATCGCACAAATTTCGAGAAACGGAGCTCCTGAGAATAAGAAAATGTTACTCTTATGGAGTGATCAAACGGCGATGAACCACCCTGCCCACCACTTCTTCGAGAGAGACAAAAGGAGTTGGAAGAAATTAGATCCAATGTGTGCGAGAACAATGATCAACCAAAAAGTTTTTTTTGGGGGATCCTTAATGGGTTTTAAGCCCATTGTTGCCTTAAATTTTTACAGCACCATTTTTTTTCAAATTTAACTTTTGTAAGAAAAGAATTCGAACCAACAAAAAAAAAAAACACTTTTGAAAGACACAACCGACAACTTCTCGCAGCAAAGCAATGAATATATGAGAAGGTTATTTTTTTTTGTTTTTTTGGTAAAATAGAAGGTTATTATTATTACTATGCTGAAGAAGAATAGTATAAAAATAGCAAAGCAATTAAGCTTTTAAGAGGAGGGAACATACATAAGTGGAAATTGACCAATCGCGAACACCCTCTCTGGCCTATGGTCCTTCCACTCTCTGGAGTACCTTTTTTTTTTGTCATATTATTACCAATAAATAATTTGATAAAAACCAATCCCAGTAAAATAGCATAGCCAATAATGATGAGTAGTACATAATAGTTAATGTTGTCTACTTATAGTGGAGTTTAGGAATTTATGGACACTGTTGTTTCCTTTCTCTTGTTAAAGATTTCATAAGCGTTAGCATCGACCTGTTGAGCTATGAAGACACTTTTTCTTAGCTGTTTTATGTTTAATTTTTGACATTTTTTGGATTTAGTTTTAAATTTAAAAATAATAAAAATTACAATTACCACGTAAGATATACTCAGAGTCGAATAGAGTATCTATACTTAAGATTTCGTAGTACACACGTACACTCACGTTCACGATTAACATCGTGAATGATTAACAAGATAACTTTAATGAAACATATTTCATATTTGTAAGAATTTAACAATTCCGTTAGACTTTTCGACAGACCCTCCAGATGGGACCCACTTGCACTATTTTTTTTGCCTTTAAAACAAAAATAAATGCAGTGGCTACTTGAACCAGTGACCACCATTCGACATTTTATTTATCCAACTGTTCTATAAAGAAACAAAAAAAAACATATCCACTTATTTAGGATGTTTTTCCGAGTATGTTCTGTTTTTTTTTTAACTAATCCGGGTATGTTTTGTTTCATGCTAGAAAGACTTTTACATGTTTTTCAAATCATCTTATTGGTAAATTATTTGGGACAGAGCTTCCGTGATCCGAAACTTTCATAGGGGATGATAGCATCGGATTCTCAAGTCGTTGCTGATGTCATATCCAAACCGTCTGAATGATCTCGCTACTATCAGATATTGGTTTGAGCATGTTAACTGCCTTCGTGCAAGTTTTTTTTTATTTTTTTTTTGCTAAAAATGACATATGTCTAAAAATTATTCGAGAACCTAGGTAGAGAGTATTTGTCATCCCTAATTATCAATAACTAACTTGAAGCAGTGAAGAACTAACATATTTTGAGATGCGTTAACCTTTTAAAAAATAAAAATATCTTATATTCAGATTAATAAGTAATAATTACATCATGCACATGTACCTAGCCTCGTAATGAAACGTATCATACTGGACTGACGAGTTGTTGTCTGATATTGACATCTTAATTTATAACTTTCCTTTTCATTTTTAATGTTCCTTACTAACTTTTGATTGATTATATGACGTTGACCTACCAAACCAAATAATTAATTTCTTTGTTCTTCAAATTTTCATCATTCTTTCATCAACTCATATATATATATATATATATATATACCACTTCTAATTTATCAAGAAACTCTGAATCCACTTACATAACCTATTCGAAAATCACTTGAGCTTGTTTCAGTGGAAATGTATGAATGGTAAATTTTAATTCGAAAACCTATCTATAGTTATACACTTATAATATAGATTATCAATTTAAATTACATATATATATACATAATGACAACGAGAAAACTGGAATATGCAGTCACTATGTCAATTTTGCTATTTATAAAACAAAATTTTAGTTCACAGGAGAAAAAAATTATGTTAATAGACATTTGAAGTGTTATTTTAACACTTGGGGAAATTTTCAGTTTGTTAAAAAACGACTCAATGTTTTATGTTTGGTTATTTTATTTCTTATTTGATGTATATTAATACATTTCCCGGGCTACAAAAGCTCATTTCATCAGTTTATATTAATCACTGGATACCATATTTGATATTTCTTGTTATTTAGTATTCTCACTCACTCATCAACATATTTTAAATAGTGTTTGATAAGTATTCGCATCTTCTTGCATACTATACAATCGAAGCATTGGTTTATACATCTCTTACTAGATAGTTTCCATGTTAAAATTTAGACAAAAGGATTTTGAAAATTTGTATCGCATATTATGTTCGTCGTACTTCGCATCAAAAAGCAAATTAAATCGTCAATTTCACTTAGATTATGTATTAGCAATTTAACATTATTAGATACTAATAAGTAGATACTCGTGGTACCGTGAAAAATAAAAGAGTAAAGTATGCTTTTTAAAAGTTATACTTTTCTTGTGCACCCATAACTTTAGCAAAAGAAACAATTATCATCCTTGAGCAATTAAAACAAATAATTTCTTTTTCTTCTTCTGGTTTCGAAAAACTTTAAGGTAATCGACGTCAAATTATATAAAATTGATTTGAAATTAAAAGAGTCTCACTGAATTATATCTCTTATCTGAGACAATTCTTCCCGCGTGTTGGTCACAAATTAGATGACTATTAGAGCATGTCTAGTATGGGTTTATAGCTCGAGTTCTAGGCAGTTTTGATTAAAAAAAAAAATAATACTTACTCCCTCCGTTTCATAATAAATGTCATTCTGACACATTTCACATAGATTAAGAAATTAATAAAATATACAAATATACTCCTAATTAATATATTTTTATAATATTTAATTACAAAAACTATTATCTTTAAATAAGGATAAAACAAGAAATAAGAGTAAAAAGTTACATTGAAAATGCAGAATGACATTATTTTTGAAACAAAAAATGAAATCTAAAACGACATTTATTATAAAACGGAGGGAATATATGAGAAGGATTGGTTCATCAGGACAAGCCTGAAGACCCAGACTTTTATCCAGGTGGCAAGATGTCATTGGGCGTTAGTTTTTTTTTTTCTAATTTTTACATTTTTTTTAAAAAAATATTTTTTTTAATTCAGGATAAACCTCTTTAAGAAGAGTTCATTACTAGACATGGTCTTAAGTTTTCATATCGTGAAAGTAAGTCACAACCTTTTTATAATCTTTGGATATGATTGTTTGTTCTATGATAATAATAATGAGGAAATTTTTTGTTCTCTTGGTCTAGCACAAATGGGTATAATGTGTTATCAATTTTTTTTATTCTCTCAGTTATAAATTTTCCTAGGAAAAAAATAAAAAGAGTTATTCTACTACCTTTTTCCACTTTCTAACACACCAATCATCTATGGTTAAATTATCTCTCCATCACGTGATGTTCAACGAGTACCGCATTTCAAGAATAAATGGCTGAATGGCAAATTGGGTAATATTTGTCATTTCAAGGGTAGGCAACTTAAGATACATCTCATAAGGAAAAGCTTTGTCGTGTAATGAGAGAGCTGTGGGGACGCATCTACTTCGCTTCGAAAGGAATACAAACCGTTGGATTAATGGATATGGTTTCGTCCTACCAGATCGACGGTAATTACCGAGGGTGTAAACTTGTCTCGAAACAGAAGATCATGTCTCCGTGGAGTACAGCTAGCAACTAGAGGTTCCGAGCCGATAGCGTCGATTATTGTAGCCGGCTAAGTCGTATGTCTTGTTTTAAGTGTGCTTATGCATATGCTATTTCACTTATCGCAATCAGAGTGGTTATCGTTTAATAGGTGAGTTCGCTTATCACGCTCAGTTATCCGTCACCTTCGCATATTAAAGTCTCCTTTACAGAAAATTAATAAAATCTCCATTTCAGCAAGATTTAATGTTCGTATAAATAATTTTCGAGAGAGAGAAAACTTTTTTTTTTGTTACTTTTCCTTCTTTTTTTTCGGTCGAGAGAATGAAAAAGAGTCCAAAACCAAATTCCTTCGCCTCTTTCATCTGAGGAGAGAGAAACCGAAGCTCTGGCCTTCCTTGTGAAATCGATCTCTCTCTCTCTTGTTCATGGTAAGTAAGCTTTACGCTTCTGGTTGAACGGAATCTAGCTCTTTGAATTTTTTTATCTTCTTACCGTAGCTTTTCTGGGTTTTTGCTTTTCCTCCCTTTTGATTTTTTTTTTTGTTTGTTCATGTAGTAAAAAGATGTCCATTTGAGCTTATTTAATTCGATGGCAATAATAGTAGGAAAGAAGACCTATTGTTTCCCGATTCCTACCCTATAATACACTAATTATATCCGCCGAAATGGAGTTTTTAGGAGAAATTTCCGGAGATAGATAGTTTAAAGATCTAGTTAAGAGGGTATCCATTAAATTTTCTAACTCCCATTTTCGTTTTTAAAAAAACATTTTCCAGGAATATTTGAAACCAAGTCTTAGATGATGATGTTCATTCATGGTTATCGCCGCCATTAATATATTTTGCAGATCTGGTGATAGATTTGGTGGGTTTTCTGCATCTGAGTTGAAAACGTCTCGGAGTGAGTAAACAAAAAACATGTCGTCTCTTAGTAGAGAGCTCGTCTTCTTGATCTTACAGTTTCTAGATGAGGAGAAGTTCAAAGAGACTGTTCATAAGTAAGTCTTCTTCTATGCCCTTCCGATCTAATTGCGTTGGTATTTTTTTTTCTTTTTCTTCTCGTTTGTGAAATCGCTGTATGTGGCGAAATGTAATTAACTTGAGATTTCTGAAAATAGGCTTGAACAAGAATCTGGATTTTTCTTCAATATGAAGTATTTTGAGGATGAGGTGCACAATGGAAACTGGGATGAG